CCTCTTGAAATTAGCTCCCTGGCATAAGTCTACACAGCGTTACCTTTCTGAGAATTTTGCCTTGCTGTGCCCCTGTGCTGGCTTCAGCTAATAAGTTTGGGATAATTACCTTGAGCAATACAGATCTAGATATGAAAGGAGATAAGCAACTTGCCAAATTGGGCTTACCTTCTCCTTGCCTGGGTTGCTTAACTTACGTGTGGGCTGATGCTTTGTCAATGGGACTCCTTGAGTCCCCAACTTCTCTAGCATCTAAAAAGTCACCAGGCATTGTCCCACACATTTGTGTATCTTCACAAGTATTAGACATTGGCTTTTAAAGAATGTAAAAGAAACAAACTTGAGTTGCAATTCTTATGAAATTTAATTTTGCAACTTTTTCTGTACTCCATCAGAGTCACAGGTATTGGATACGCTTAGCAGCCACAAAGTTGATTAACATTTGTATTAACGGATAGAAGCAGTTTGAGGTTTTACAAGATGAGAGAGTAAACACAGTGGAAGGAGCCATTTAGTAAATAGATGCACTGTGTAGGTGCACACAAGCACAAGAACATTATTGTTTTGGACAAAAGAGTGGCAGAACGTTTGATGGGCTGGCTAGAATAAAATGTTTGTCCATAAAAGACATTCATTTCAGGGAGGTCATACTAACCTTAGTACCTCCTTTATGAAATACTTAACTTCATCAATAAAACAAACTGGAAAAAATGGAAATTAAGTTTGGGAAAAGATTTTAGTGCACAATCTTCTCTCATTAAACACTAGTGCAATGGATGTATCAATTCCAAAAAAAGGACCAAAGTAAAAGAAGTCCTCAACAACCTTTTATTACAAATGACAAAGTTAAGTGGCACAATTCTGCTTTCAGCAGGCAAAGAAATTAAGTATCCTGGCTGCTGAATGCTAGCTTGCCTCAAACTGTGCACAAACTTTTGGCAGCTAGCCTAAGCAGAGTGTTAAGGGTGAGCTGTTGGAATATTAATCATGTTTCCCATCTAGATTCACTTGGCATCAGCCTTATCATCACCTAAACTTGTAAGGGGAAAGGATTTTCCCAGCTCGGTTTATATACTAGCTGAACCCCAGAGCCCTTTTAGTAATGTTTTGATCCAGATAACTTCCTTGGTGACAAATTGCCCCTCTCCTCTGCCTAGGAAACCAACACTCTTATTCTGAAAGGATTTCACTGTCTGCAACATGAAACTTCCGTCGCCTGCCCTCTTTACTGCCTGCCCCATTTCTCTCTTCTCTCCCAATTTATCCTCTTCTCCATCACCAGCCCACAGGCAAGGACATCCTGACTACATTTGGCTGCAAGATTCTCCTGCTACTTTGATTTTCCTTCTGTGCAAAGACAATTAGACTCTCTTCGCTTCCACAGCTTTAATGGAACGCCTTCTCATCCCAGCATTAACACTGCTATTGTAGCAATGTGTCACCTTGGGAAGATGAAAGATGATCAGTTAATGAATCCTAGGATCTTTTCAACAGTAGGCAGAGCTTTTGTTCTTCCTAAAATAGTCTAGCTGTGTTTGGGCTCAACCTATTCAAATTGCAGGTGGGGACTCAGACTATTCCTCCATCCAAACAGAATTCCCACCAATCTACAAAAACATGTTGATATCAGGGTATCTGTCTAGTTCACCATTCTGTTCACACAATGGTCAAACAGCCACCCACAGGGTCCCACGAGCAGGATATGAGTGCAACAGCACACAATGCCCATTTGCACAGCAACTAGCATACATGGGCACACGGCTGGATACTTGATAGCATCTGTCAGGACTAGAAACCAATGATAGCCTTCTCCTCCAGTAATTTGCCCCATCCTCATTAAAAACCATCCAAATTGGTGCCCTCATGGAAGGGCATTCCATAATTTAACTATGCACTTTGTGAAGTACTTCCATTTATATGTCTGGAAGCTCCTGCCAATCAGCTTCATGAGAGGACCCCCCACACACACACACACCTCCAGTTTCTACCATTATGACAGAAGAAAAATGTCTCATTGTCTACTTTGTCCGCACCATAATTCTGTACACCTGTATCATGTCTCCCCTTGTTTACCTTTTCTCTAAGGTAAAAAAAGTCAGATGTTGTAATAATTTGTCATGAAGGAACTGTTCCAGCACCTTGATCATTTTTATTGCCCCTTTCTGTTTTTGCAACAATACAATATCCTTTCCTAGGTGTGGTTACACCACAGATTTCTGTAAGGACAGGATGCTACTGGAAGTTTTATTTTCAATGTCTTTCCTAATTATGGCTCACATGGAGTTTGCATTTCACAGCAGATGCACACTGGATGGAAATTTTTCATTGAGCATTCCGCCACAATCCCAAGATTTCTCTCTTGGTCCGTCACCACTCATTCAGATCTCTTCATTTTATATTTGAAGTTTTTTTTCCCTCCAGAGTACATTAGTTTACAATTGCTTGCACTGAATCATATTTGCCACTTCAATGTCCATTTTTCCAGTTTGCAGAGATTCCTTTGGAATGCTTCACAATCCCATTTAGCGGCAACTACCCTAAATCATTTGCTGGTATCACCAAACTGCTCACTCAGCTGTTCGAGTGATTTATGACCATCTATGAATTAAGTTGAAATAAGGATTCCTGAAGGACACCTATGTTTGCATCCCTTCACTCAGGGATTTTACCATTCCTACTCTGCTTTCAGCATTTTAAGTTACTGATCCATGAAAGGACCTCCCACTTTCTTATTCCATGGCTGCAAAGGTTGCTCAGGAGTCTTTGATGAGGGAATTTGTTAAAAAAAAGGGCAGTGTTTGTAAGCAATGCCTACTGGATCAACCCATGTGCTTATTGACACTGTAAAAGATTAGTGAGACAGGACTTGCCTTTGTGGAAGACATGTTGTTTTTTTCTCTGCAGGGCCTGTCCTTCTATATGCTTACTAAATTTATCTTTAATAATGCTTTCAACCAATTTACCTGCAGCAAGCATTAAGTAGCTAGTAATTGTCCATATCCTCTCCACCCCCCCCCCCGATCCCTTTTTAAAAAATTGGTATTATATTGGTCATTCTCCAGACCTCTGGTACAGAGGCTGATCTTAATGGATATGTTTATTTATATATAACAGGGTCACCAATTTCATATGTGTTTTAAGTACTCTGGAATGGGTTTGGTGATTCATTAAGTTTCAACTTGTCAAAGGTTGAAAACTTCATGTTTTGTCATTATTTGTGTTAATTCCTCAGACATTATTGCAAAAAACATCTGTTTGGGCACAGGTGTCTTTTCAGTATCCTCTGCTGGGAACAGATGAAAAGAATTTATTCAGCTTTTCCACAATCTCCTTATCTTCCTTTAGCACTCCTTTGCCTCCATTATCATCCACTGCATCTACTTTTTTTCAGAATTGAGATCTGAACACTAAATGAGGAGACTTTGATTATGCACTGTCCACATTACTTCTTGATGGTACCGTGGTATAGCATAGAGAAAAAGAAAACTGTGTTTTATTTCTGCCACCAGAATTACTCCTTGGAAGGCACCAGAAACAATAAAAAGGCCTTTAAAAATACAGTAAGAGTGTGCACCTCCTCAAAGAAAATTCTCGCTCCTCCTGTATCCCCACATTTCTGGACCACCCAGTGATCAGGATACAGACAAGCAATACAAAAGAATGAAATGGAAAAGGAGTGCATAGACTTAGTGACATTATAAAGGTTGACAGTCAATCTCAACAGAAAAATTGCAAGAATAATTGCAAGATACAGAAAGGATCACATTCAAAGCTTTGCTTCAGAACTCATACAAAAGAATGAGGCGATCTGATCCCTCACCATCTTTGAAAATTAACGTGTCGGCTCACAAGGCAGGTCTAAAGGTTTAGCCTCTCATATCTATAGCTGGTTAATCATGCATCATAGCGAAACAACATGACTGAAAATGGTTTGGGAGAATGATAGTGGGAAACAGATTACAGATTGGCACTGGAATACAATCTGGGAAAGGAGCCCGCTTACATCTATTTCAATAGCAGTTAAAGACACACATTTAAGATTAATACAGAGGTGGTATCTGACACCCATGGAACTAAGTCATATTAACACAAATATTTCTGCAAATCACTGGAGAGGTTGCCAGGTCAAAGGTATGTTGTTGCACATGTGGCTTGTGAATGTGTGCAAGTATTTTGACAGCCATGTTCAACTATACTTCTCAAATAAAGAACAGTTCATGGCACCCCATTATTAGCTCTTTTTTCCCATTTCTGCTGACATACAAAAGCAGCTGTAATATAAAGACCTAAATGTACTATTAGTAGCAGTGACAAGAATAGTTCCTGCATGATACTGGAAAATGAAAATAGGATACACTGTGAACAGATGGTTTCTGAAAATTTGGGAAATGGCTCTTGCTGATAAACTAATACAGCATAATGGATTGATCAGAGTGAGGTACAAGCAGGAGTCATTCCTAGAAACACTGTTCCCCTTCATTACATACATTAAGGCTGGGTCTGCAGACCAGCATCTCCCAAGTATGCAGTCCTATTTTTGGCAAGGTGTAATAACTAGCAAGACAAAGAATGGAGAAATGATTTTGTGGTTGTAACAGTGCTAAAAATGCATGGGGGGAGCAGGCACAACTATCCTAAATTATGCACAGAATTATGTAGGACAAGCTGCTTGTCTTGATGTTTATTGTATTTCTGATATTTTTGTTGTTGCCTTGATTTTCTTAAATAAAATATTGTTAAAAAGAAAAAACTCCCATTTTCCCTATTACTAAAAAAAGTAACCAAAAGTGTTGTTTATGAGCAGAGACAAAACCAGAAGGTCATACTGCCATCTAAACAACCGTGAGTAGGGAATGACAAGCACACACCGAACATCTCTTGTAGAAAAGCCTTACTGGGAGGGGGAAGCTGATCCGTAGCACATTCCTTACCTGTGTTGTTACTCAGTGACAAAACCCAGCACAGACAACCATTAACACAAACACATTTACTGAGACAAGTTAGTCATCACATTATTTTAATACAAAAGAGAAGAATGTAGAACAAAGAGTAAAAAGCTGATTGTTTGATTCTGGTCCTGGCTTTGAGCTCTAATGCCTGTTTCATCCAGAAGTTAGCATTTGGCACTAGGCAGATGCTATGCTGGGGATCACTTCACTTTTTGGAAAACCTGGACACAAACCTCATCCTCTGCTGTCATGCGCTAGGAGAAGAGAAAGAGAATATGAGAACAGTATCCACCATTATGCTTGCAACTTGGAGAACATTTTATTTAAGAAAGTGTATATTCCACTTTTCCCAAGCTGTTCATGAAAGTCAAAACAGAAAATAATAATGAAACAGTAAAATATTTCATCAACACTCTCCTGATTTCAGTGGGGAGATCATTCCACAAAGAGGGCATCAGCTATTAGGTGGTATATAAATAAAGTAATAACAATAGGTGCTATAAGGGGACCCTCCTTTACACATGAACAAGTGAACATTAATAGGCCGTAATAAAGTCAGCAAGGCCTTTCCTCAGAACATAAAGACCAGGGTAGTCACTGTGAGAGAAGGTGGTCTTTACGAAAGGTAAAGAGATTGAAGATTGGGGAAGATTTATAGCAAGGCTCAAAGACTTACTCTAGGCATCAGTATATTTTAAGTCTATTTGTTGTGGTTACTTTTGTATACTAGGTGCTGTACAGTCTGAAAAAAATAATTGCTTATGTACTGAAAGACAGAGGGGAAAGAGACTAACAGGATGGCAGTACTACTTTCAGAGCGTTTGATAATCCATTTCCCAGCATGAGTGTGATGGATTTGCTTTGAAAGAGCTGTCTGCCCACATCCTGCAGCAATAATTTTGTTGCCTCAGGAAGAATATACACCCTCTCACCCCATCACCACTGTGTGTATGCAGAACAGCCCACCAGAATATGCGCCAGCACAAGTATTGAAAGAATTTGAAATTCCTCTGTGCACAATTGTAAGGACTCATGTTCATTTCAGTGATACCTGCTCAGAATCCCTTAGGTAAAATCTGTGTCCCTCCCTTAGTGGTACCCTCAGAGCCACGTGTTCTTAAGAATAAAAATTTGTCTGACTTTAGCTTATTTATATAATATAGGAAGAGTAAATTCTGATCAGTAGTGTCATCAGGACAGGACTTTAGATATGGGCTTAGGGGCTCTCTCAGCAGAACAATCAGGAGGGTCCCCAAACATCATACAGCTGGATACTTCTGAGGAAGACCAGTGAATTGAAGTACATCTGGGAATGGAAGCATTTTAGTGATGATAGTGGCATTAAGACAATTCTATCAAATACATGTTTGGAAGTTAATAAACGTGTGCTTCTTTATTATTCCATTATTAGAACCATGGCTTTATTATTCAACGTGAACTTGGTTTAAATGATACAAATCATCATGTGGCAGTGTATTTAGCAAATTATTGAACTTTTAAAGCAGGATGCAAAACATGTGAAGTGCTGGCTGCCACCCCCTAAGCCCTGTCTGGCAGTTCCCCCACCCAACTCTCGGGAAGAGAAAGGGAAGGGAAGGGAAGGGAAGGGAAGGGAAGGGGCTCTGTGATTGCTGGCAAAGAGGCCTCTTTCTTAGAATGCTTCCAAAGTGTTTCCTAGGAAGCAGTGTTCAAGGACCCCTGCTTCTTAGGGTGCTATGGAAATGAAGAAAGGAGAACATGCTCCAGGAACAGATTCTGCTCTAGGTTGCTGCCCTAGAAACCCCATTCCTAGGCTGCCACTCTATACAAGATGGAGAGTCATGCTTCAGGTTTCAGTAAGGTATCTTTCTTCCTTCTCTCAGCATACCATTAGATCCACCTGTCTGCCTACCGACTGCAGTATCTGCAGCTGATCCACCCACCCCTGGAATCTTAGCACCCTTATCCAGCACAGTTGCTCCCCATATGAGCAGATGGCGCTGAGCCCTTCGCAGACAGCGCAGCCGAGGGGGCGGGGGGGGGTGAAATGCCTCCGCAAAGCAGAGAGAGTTGTGCAGGCCCCCACACTAAGGAGCACGACATTAATTTTCCTCCACAAACTGCTTGCCAGTATTGTTGGACTGGTGACTATGGAAACTCGTGCACAGACAGGCACATGTTTTGCTAGCACTAATTCGAAGGTTTTTAAAGAGCATCACACACAGGAATGTGGTGCTTTGATTTAATCCTTCCTTACACTGTGCCCCATGATCTCTGGTCAAACTGCAGGGAAAAGACAATGGGTGGCTCCCACTGAACTCAGCCAAGTCAACTTTTGAACTCTTGGGAAGGATGTTTTTGTCAAGGGGCCATTGCCTTCAGAAAAGGCACACATAACTCATGGGGCCTAGGAGGTGGGGAAGAAGAGCCATTCTGTGTTTCTGAGAACTCCTGCATGCATTTCCTCAAGATTTCCTTGGTGGTAATGGTGGGAAACTGGTTAGGGACCCCTCCTCACCAGATGCAGTTGATCTCCTTCTAGCCAGTGTCTCCAGCCCCGATTCCGTTTCTCTCCTCGTTGTTCGCAGACCAGCTGATCTCCATCCCAAAAGACAGTTGTCTGAAGGAGGTGGGGGGAGAGATAGGCAACATAAGTAACTAAAGGGCAATATGCTTTCAGTCACATATTGAGGCAGAATATAGACGCCAGTGGCTCTAAAACATACCCAGTTAAATCTAGCAGTTATATAGAATTGTAGCCTTAGATACTACATCTCAGAGGGGCTTACTTCTTAGTAGAGAAGTGGAGACACTCTAAGATGGACATGGTCTCCTCTGGTCTCCTCTGGGTCACAAACTCAAAAATCTAACTGCTGTGTACCAATAGCTCACAATTTTGCTTTCTGGAAAGGCCAAATAGAATAGTGTGACTATGGTCCTAAAATTGTGCAAGACCTACTGTTGACAATACGTGACTCCAATTTTAAAACAGGAAGCTTAAATTATATCTACAGCTTCTGCATGGCTCTGAAGTATACAGAGCTGAACTCATTTTAAACAATGTTCCTAAAGCTATTTAGACACCCCGGGGGTGCTTTTGGTTTTATTTTGCACTACAATGGGATATAAAAATCTAACAGAAATAAAAAATGCCTCTCTTTTCTTTGTAAATCACCCTGGGAACCTTTTGGGCTGAAAGGAGATATAAAAATATCACAAACAAGCCACTCCTCTATTGGCCAGAAAACCAAGGGCCACAGAGTTTCCTCTGCCTTTCTAGAAGAGCACTGTGACAAAGGGGAGACCAAGCTGGTCTCATACATCAGCAAGAGTGAAAGCAACTGGAAAAAGGCTACTCCCTCCCTCCCTACCAGAAGGAACAAGAATTAAAGATACACAAGAATTTTGAAGCTAAGAACCTATCCCTGATTTTTGCTTTTTCTCTCCCCCCCGTTTTCCTTTTGTTTCATGTCTTTTACAGTGTACACCCCAGTGTAGGAACTGTCTCAACTGTTTTTGGCCAAAGAGTTGGGTAAAAACTACTGTAAATAAATAATGCATATAGCAGAAGATTTCAAAGATGCATCTCCATGAACATTGGGCATTTTGTTTGCCCAAGACTGTTTTCTTGGACTCAGTTCAACTGTCTTAATTCTATGAGTTTTCTTTACATTATTTGCTAGGTGTTGATGTGGGAGCCACTATGATGTAGTTATTAAAATGCTGGATTGCGTCCAGGAAAAGAAGATCCAAATTCACATTCCCATGCAGCCATGAAACTCAATAATTTTTTTACCTAACCTATTTTCATAGGGTTTTCATAAAATGGGGGAAGGGCTATGTACACCAGCAAGAATTCCTTGGAGGAAAGATGCCATAAGTGAACGATCCATTTAAAGAAAGAGGATGCAGCATACACCCCTGAAGATGTTCTCTGCCCTAAAGCCTCTGCCACTGCTACATTCCTGCCACCAGTGTCTTGCTCACGTCCTCTCCAAGGATCTGCATACATGTTGCCCTTTTCCTGCCACCACTACCAGTAAAGAAAGAGTCATCTGTATCAAGGTGGCTGCAGCTGGGCCCAAACAGAAAGCCACACCACTCAACTGTCTATACGCAAGAACAGGACAGAGCACTGTGGTGCTGACTGAGCCTAACATGAACTCACAGAGATAGATTAAATGATAGTTTTGTCCTCAACACATTGTTCAGGACTCTCTGTTCAAGAAGCAGCATCTGCCTGTCGGGGTAACAACCATACCTAGCTAGAATACACCTGGTTCATTTATGACCACCAAGCTGAATGCTCAGAGCTACGAACGGCAGCCCAGTGGGGCTACAGAAGCTAGCTTTTCTTGCCTGCCTGCATTTGCAAAGAGGCGAAGGACTGCCCGGCATGTGGCAGCACGCAGCACACCAGCAGCCACAAGTTGTGCAGATCTAACATGGAGCCCACTTTCGTAACAAGCAAGCTCCAATTTGCATTAGCAACTCATGTGACTGGGGCAGGCGCAGGGAAGAAACATCAAGAGCAGGGATCCCTGCAGCCCCATGACTGAACATGGCACTACATCTTCTGAAGGCACTCCTAGAAATCCTGGCTCCGGAGAGAGCAGGCCATTCATGACTGGCACACATCAGAGTTTTTCCACAGCCTGCAGATGGGTTTTATCTTTTTTGCTTGTCAGATAGTTAGACTCATAGAATAGTAGAGTTGGAAGGGGCCAGGAAGGCCATCAGGTCCAACCCCTGCAGGACACCAAGTTACATCATCCCAGGCTTTAAATACTGCTGATCCATCACAACTCAGGGCCAAGATCTGACTACCAGGAATAATGCAGACAACAGAGTTCTGCTCTGGAAGCCACACAGTCGGTCTCCTACCTGGCACTTGCGTCCATCCACTGGCCCCAAGTCCTCTTCAAACTCAACTCCCAGGTCAAAGTCCATGTTATAGTTCCGAAGTGAAGTTAATGTGCGGATGGTCATGTGGTCCCCAGTGTGGATGATCTCTTTGTCTGGTTTCAGGAGACAAACCAGTTTCCTCAAAGCGACATTAATGTCTAAGTAGGGTGGCAGAAGAACATTGGTAGGTTTAGGAAGGACAGCATGTACATGCATAGGAAGGTCAGTAAATATGTATTAAACAAGGTTCGTGTTATGCTAAGGTACATACTAAGGAACATTTCCCCCGTCTGGACCTACACTCGGAAAGGAAGAAAAATAAAAACAAGCAATTTCACCAAAAACAATGGTGCCAGATAGTTAATCGTATTCCCTACCTCTCCTGTCCCAGCCCAAGGACAGCCACAATAGTATAATACAGCAATACAGTCAGAATAAACATGCCCACAAAACATGGTTTAAACATGGCTGTTTTGAGAAATATGCCCTTCTTTCTCAACTTGCCCCAGGAAGTGGGTGCTGGCTGAGAGACTGTGTGGCCTGTCAGGAAGTCTCCAAGCGAGGCTCACCTCTGCCAGGCACACCGTAGGGAGCGTTAAAGCCACTCTTTGTCCTCAGGAATATGGGGACAAGTGTCTACCTTGCAAGGCTGTGATCAAGATTAAAAGACAGGTTATGCAGAGCACTTGAAATTGCTATGCCGGTGCTAAGGTGCAATGCCTTAAGATGTTGATGTGAATGCATAGAAAGTGCAAGACAATCTTTTCCAAAAAGAAAGAGAAGAGCGGTGCCAAGGCTCAACGCCGCCCAGAAGCGGCATCCTCTCATTTCTGTCTGCTGCCTTCCGAATCCTGGAAAGTATGCCTGGGCCCGACAGAGCTAAGTTTTTTTGGGCTTAGAAAGCGCTCTGCACATGCTCTAAGCCAGAACTTGAAATTATCGCCTCGCGGTGTAGCAAACCGGGACTCCTTCGTTTGTTCCCCGTTTTCGGGGGCTTAAGCTCGAGCCAGCAATCCTGGCAGGTGCGGGCTAGCGGGGGAGAGCGCCGGCCGGCGAGGCGTGCTTACCTAAGGCTCGGAGATAGTTCTCCATGTTGTCCTGGGAGACAAAGCGGTAGTAGCCGGTGAGGTTGGGAGGCATCAGGCAGCGGGGGCGAGGGACGTGGCCGAGGAAGCGCCGCCGCGGGAGGGAAGCTGCAGAGCGCTGGAAGAGGCGCGCGCCAAGCACTCGGTCGCCGAGGACGGGACGGGACGGGAGCGGCGTAGCGACCTCGCGGTTGCCCAAGCGCTGAAGCTGCTGCTGCCACCGCCGCCCCGCTACCGCAGTTTATATAGCGCCGCGGCGGTCCAAGGCGCCGCCGCCGTAAGAGTCCCCTCGCTCGGCCCCCGGGCTGCGGAGCGCCGCGGGAGGAGCCTCCTCCCCGTTCAGACCGAGATGAGCAAGCCGGAAACGCGCGCCCCGCACGGCCCCGGCGGAGCACTTGGCTTTAAAGTCTTCAGGCGCTTGCTCGTCGCGATGGGAACAGCGCGGGGGGCGGCTTCGGAGGAGCCCTGGCTCGGCGTGGCGCAACGCTTCCGAGGAACAGCGGCTCTCCTCGGGGCTGCATATCCCTGACCGCAGCCGTGTGGGACGGGTCAGGCTTCCCAGCTGCAGAACAAGAACTCTTTCCTGGGATCGCCGTTGGCAGGCTCTCAGCCGGCGCAGAGGGTGGATGAGGCAACCGGGGACTTTTCCCAGGCATGCTTACTCAGAAGCAGCTCTACGCAGTTCGGTGGGATCTATGAGTAAGGCAGGAAGTCTGTGCACGCATCTCGCCCCTTTCCCCAGCGTTGGCACTGCAAGCCCGCTGGAAGCGGAGCTGGCTCTCCGAGTTCCTAAGGCCCGCGCTTGCACGCGCTCCTCTGGGTAATTCAGTGCCCTTCCCTCCGATTCCAGCCGCTCCGCTCCGCACTGGTCGGTAATACCTCTCACATGTCTCAAAGTGGTCCGTGAGACTGCTGATCCCTCCAGATACCTCCTTTCAGTAATCCTTACCGCACACGGGGCAGATAGGCCAATATTGTCTCCATGCTGCCGATGGGACACTGAGCCAACAGCTTGCCTAAAGCCCCTTCGTGAAAGCGCCCTGAAGAGGTGGGCCGAATGTGCCATGGGGGCCGCCATGTGCTGCCCGCCCTTCTGCCTCATGCCAGCTGAGCGCCTTCCCTGGCTGATCCGCGCGGGCACTTGCCCATCGTTTGGTGGCTTCCGACGGGGAAGAAGCCTTCTGGAGGCAGCTCTTTGCGGACAGCCCAGGCAACGCGGGGCTCCACGTGTGCCCCGGCACCCTCCGCAGCAGTCCTGCCTCCTCCATGGGGCAGCCGCCTGCCAGGCTGATCCTGCACCACGGAAACCGTCCCGTCTACGGGCCGGTTCGCACATTCACTTTCCTCGCTTGGCGATGGCAGATAGTGTGGGGTGTCTTGCATTCGCGAGCGATTGCAGAGGGATTTCACGTCCCCTGGCGCTGCATTTTTTTAATTTTTAAGGGGGCACATTATGTGCTTCGCACTTCTTCGGCCAGACACCAGGTGCTGACCAGGGAGCCTGTTGTTCTCTGCGGCACCCTGCGCTCGGCGGCAGCGTGTAATAGCAAGGCGGCAGGTTTGGCTCAGGCCAGCCGGGAAGCCTCCCCGATGTCCCGCTCTGAACTTCCTCGCCCCAGTGTCCCCCGATGGCCCCGAAGCTGGGGAGGAGGGGGAGGAGGCGCGGCGTGAGGGCGCGGGCGCTTTCCTCGGCGGCGCGCCGGGGCCCTCCCCGTCCGCGCAGCCGGTCTCCCTCGACGCCAGCAGGCGGCCCGCGGGCTCGGTAGACGCCGTCCTGAGCTCCCACGAGCGGTGCAGGAGCGGAGGGGCATGCGGGGCGGCGGCGGGGCGAAGAAGGCGCCCTGCGGATCGCCAACTCCGCCGAAGTCGCCCGAAAGTTCGTGTCCCCCCGGCCTCGACGCCCAGCGGCGCGCGCGCGGAAACACGCGCTCCCCCCCGCCCCGGCCTCTCCGAGGACCCCCGGCGCGGCCCCCCCTCCAGCCCTGACCCCTCCCTCTCCTGCAGCACCTGGCGCCGCCGCCGCTTGCATTGGCTGCGAGCGCCCATCAATCAGCGTCGGGCGCTGCTGACATCATGCTGCAGTAGAGGGGCTGGGCCGGGCCGGGCTGGGCTGGGGCAGAGAAGGCAGCGAGGGGACGCGGCTGGCAGCTCCAGCCCTGCCCTGCCCTGCCCTGCCCTGCCCCGCGCAGCGAGCTCTCCAGCAGCCGCCTGCTGCCGCCAGTCGTGCCTCGCCCGGTGCCGCGCCCGGTGCCGCGCCGGAGCGGGTCTCCAGGGAGCGGCGCCAGCCCAGCCCTCCAGCCGGCGGGAGCGCATCCCGGCGGGCTCCCGGGTCCCTCGAGATGGGCCGGCGGCAGCCGCGTGTCTCGCTGCCCCTCCTCCTCCTGCTCCTCTTCTCCGGCGCCCTCGGCAACAAAGGTGAGTGAGCGGAAGCGCAGGAGGAGGGGGCGAGCTGGGGACGTGCCGCCTGATGCACGCCGGCCATCTGGCCGGGTCCGGCGCGCAGCTGCTCCCCCGGCTTCCCATCGCTGCCCCATCCCCGCCGGGGCTGCGGGGGCGGGGATGGCAGTCGGCACGAGCTCCGGCGCCCCCGGCGCCTCCTGCTCCCCGCGGGCTCCCCTCGCTCAGCGGCGGTCTCCCTCCTCGTTCGCCCGCGCTTCTCCTCCCGCCTGCCTTTTCCCCTCCCGCGGGCGGCACCCGCCCAGCCGTGCCCCGAGCCTGGCAGATGCCCGGGCGTGGATCCGAGCGGGACGTGGCTTCGCGGGCGGCCCCTCCGCCCGGCCCCCGCCTCCGCGCAGCGTCCCCGGGCAGCCGCGGGGCTCGCGCTGCCGGCTCTCTCCCTGCCTGCCTCGGTCAGTTACGGGGAGAGCCGGAGCCCGTGGGGGGAGGGAGGGCGAGAGGCGCGGGCGTCCGTGCGGGAGCCGCCGAGCAGGCGGAGCGCCGCGGTCGAGCCGCTTGCACATTCCGAGCACGGCCCGGAGCGCGCACATGCTCGCACCTGGGTGTGCGGTGCAGGTTAGGAGACCCTTGGCGGGAGGCGCCGGCGCTCGGCGAAGTGTGGCGCCGGGCAGAGCCGCCGCCTTGAGGGAGATGCTGGGGAGCGGGCGGAGCGCCTCGCCTCGCCTCGCCTCGCCTCACGGCGCCCTGCAGCAAGCGGCAGAGGCGAGCGTGAGGGAGCCGCCGCTTTCCCTCGCCGCCGCTCTCCTCCCCGAAAAACGGGCTGTGAGAGGGAGGGGAGGCGATGCAGCAGCATTAAGATTCAGCGTGCCTGTTGGGTTTGCAGAGCCCGTGCAACAGCTCTGCTTCCTTCGCGCTCGCCAACACCCGATTCCGAGCACGGGAGACCGCTGACGGCTGGCTGAGGGCAGGCAGCTGCTCCAGCCGTCTGATAAAGAGCCTCTTTCTCGAGCGATCGCCAAGGGCTCTTCAAGTGGCTGGCAGAAACAGGGAAGGATTTATTCCTCCACCATCCTCTTGTTGCCCCAGCAACAGGGGTACCCTGCATTGCAACAAACCCCCTGTTCATGCCCAAAATACGGGCTGGCAGTGGGGGTCGGGGTGGGGGCAGGGCTTTGCCTTACAGGTTGCATGAGAGGGGCAGAGCACACAAACGAGGCAAGGTGTACAAACTACATACTTCAACCAGAAGCAGGAGATTGGTGGGGGCGGGGCAGAATTTTAAAAATGTCAACCCTGAAATCGAACCCTGGTGTGGTAGATATTCAGACCCGCACAGACCTCCTGCCCCGTGACCCAAGCTGTCATACCGCACACTCCGTATCTCAGCTTTTGCACGTCTTCTGTCCTTCAGACCTGACTCGCATCTCTTTCTATTCCATTTGTGGACTGACTGCAAAAATCTGCCAATACTCCATAGCCCCAAACTGCAACCTTTCAGCCATATTTTCCACTCTACTGTGTCCTTCCGTGTATAGCGCTGAGCATCCGCAGGTGCATAAGAAGAGGTGCCGTGATGGATCAGACCACTGAGGCCAGCATGTGGCTTCCAGCAATGGCAGACCGGATGCCCCGGAGGGACACGAGAGAGCACGGAAACGATGGCCCTGCCCCTGTCTTTGTCCCCAGCTGGTTCCCAAAGGCGTGCTGTCAGCTCTCCATGTCAGCAGCTCTTCATGCAGTAGCCTTACCCTCTGAGGTTTGCCTACGGCTTTTTGAAAGCGGTGACAGCTAGTGGCCACCACCATATTTGTGGCAGAGGATTTCATAAAACGACGTATTCTGGGAGGAAGGACTTCTTTTCTCTATCCTGCTGATTGGTTTCACGAGGTGATGGCAAGTCCTCATGCTACAAGTATATGAGAGAGAGAGAGAGAGAGAGAGAGAGAGAGAGAGAGAGAGAGAGAGCACTTCTGTCCATCATCTCTATGCTGTCCGAGAGCCTTCTGGAACGGGTGTAATTTAGCAGCACTGGCAGCCAGCACCCCACGAGAGTTGCATGGGGGAAAGGGGGCCAAGGCCGTGTGTACAGCTGGACTACACCTGGGTGCAGGCACCGTTGGGTTCACTGGTGCGTCCACATGGGAGCTGTGCATGTGACTGCTGCCGATTCTATGATTCTAGCTGCACTTTTTGAGCTTCGGTAGTCACAATCTCTTCCGGGGACTCCAGGCACGCAGCCTTGCTGGCTTGTTTAGTCACAAGCTCAGGGACACCAGGACTGGCATGTTGGTCTCTGGGGTGAGAAATCCCCAGTCCTTCCCACCAATCAGTAATCCATCAGGCGGATCACCGGCATAAGCCTAGAGGAGGCCCTGAGGCAGGGCCTGGGGGACATTCAGACCAAGGTGCTGATAGCCTCCTCTCTATGGCCATTCTGGAAGCCTCCATGAGTGTGGTAAGGTTGCTCCATTGTGAATGGAAGGAGCCTCATCTCTGTGGAGGCTAAGCTTGGAGAGCTGGGGTTGTAACTAGGCCATTGTGATCTAATCCCAGAGACCCAATTTATCAGAGATTGGTTGGTGGGGAGGGAGTGTTACTTTATAATGGCTTCCCCTCCTTGCTTTTCCTCTACCCCCAACCCTCTGTTTTCCCTGCCCTGGAGGTTGAGTGATAAAGATTAATTTGCTATTTCTGGGCCTGTGACATTTTTCGGAGCCTCCTGCTGGCTGCTGCCTCCGTGTTGAGCTTGGACTGGCTCCAGCCAACAAGATTAGCACTTCAGGCAATGAGGAGGGGCCGTATGGCACATGCTAGGTTGGAGCAAGCCATACTGAGCTGGGACAGATGCGTCCGAGACCAGAATTGTGGGTATTCCTGGGCCGTGTGCATTAGGCACTTTCCTTGGCTTCTTTCCTTAATCTGTGATCCTCCTTTGCATCTCAAATGTAGCCTGAGACCGAGTTGTTGCATTTGCTTACATTCCCCCCTTGTTACTTTTGCCTCTTCTTCTGTTGGGTCTTCCACTATGGAAGGTGAGATGGAAGACATTTCAGGGAATGACTTACTGTTTGGTTGTAGGTTGTATCCATTGTAGGTTGTATCCATGGTTAATTTAATTCAAGTCCCATTCATTTCAATGGATCTACATAAAATAGAGTTATCATCAGATACAACCCTATAAAGAAAAAATGCAACCCAGTGCTGTTGAGATGAATTGCATGAAAGATGTTTTCAATGCAGGTAGGATGTGTTCTTTATATCACTCCCCAGATTTGCGTTCTATAGTTCCTTAAACATTTCATCTGAAGGCAAGGTTAAAATTTCCTGGTTTTCAAGTTATGGGATTTAAAATTTGGTAAAATGCATTGACCTTTGTTATTTTTATCAGATTTTATTGCTCATCGTATGATACTGCTTGTATTATTTTATGTTGTGAGGCAGTTTGAATTCCTTTCTGAGCAGGATGGTGCATTCAGGGCCAGACTGAGGATAAATAGAAACAGTCAGTTTTGTAGTGTTGCCAAGTTGTGTGACTTGTGCAGAATTGTCAAACCTAGCAAAGTAAAACTGTGTTGTGCTGATCTGTATGTAGAGCAAATGAGATCAATGTGTGCATTTAAAAAGAAACATACTTTAAAGCTAATTGATGGAAGTTTGCGGTGGGGGTTAAGGACACTGGGGTTTGGTGGGGGATTGCCCTAGTTCACTGCAGCGAATGTATTTGACAAAGATGGCACCAAAATGACACCACCCGTGCCTGAGGCCAACTTTTAGTGCTGAAAATGAAATGAAATATATGGAACTTTTGATGCTGCCTAGATTCTGAGTTGGTTCGGTCATTTGCCTGGTCAAATACTGTCCAATAATGGTGAAACCTTTTTAAAAGATTTGATGCTATGACAGAAACAGAGAATCACCAATACATTTATTTTTAACTTATTGTTGTAAGCCGCCCCGAGGCTTCGGCGAATGGGGCGGCATAAAAATGTTTTAATAAATAAAATAAATAAATTTTATACTTGCACTAATCAGGATGACAACAACAACCTGCCCACAAATTAGATAACTGCTACTGTGGAACAGTACAATGCAGTTTAAGGAAAATGTCGCAATTAAGAGTGCAGCCCTAAAGGGTGCCTGAAGGAACGGATGGGGATGCACGGGAGGAGCACCATTGGTGGGGCTTCTGTTGCCATGGAGGCGACCACTCAGCAGCTGGGAGCTGGGTGGTTGGACAGCTCCCGCCAGCACTGTTCCGGCTGCGGCTGCAGGCAGGAGGGCCAGCAACAGGGTGCTCCCCTCTCCGTTCATCCTCGCCACAGCCCCGTGAAGTAGGCCGAGCTGAGCGTGAGTGACAGGCTCAGCGGGCCCCTAGCGAGCTAAACTAGGGGTGTTTCCAGACAGGCATTGTTGGGAAAGGCACATCCGTCTGCCCCAGCTGTTCTGAGGTGCTCCAAAAGCATCAGCCGCCTTGGCACAAGCCTGCTTCTCCCACCTGGGCTCGGGGGCATTGCCCTGACCAGAGGCTTTAGGACTTACTTCCTTGGCCAGCCCTTGGCATAAAGGCAGCAGCCCACTCATTCAACACCCCCCCCCCACACACACACCTTTCTGTTCTGTGCCATACGTAGCTATAGTGCCCGCAGCCGAGGTGGCAGATTTTGCTTTCCAGGTGGTTTGACTAGGAAGGAGGTTTGTGTGCAGTAGACTGGAAACCTCCATGGTGATATGACCTCTACTATAATTTTCACAGCATTTGCATAATTCTCTCCGGGGCCAAGCAAGCGGCCAAAAAAATCCTAATTTATCTATTGGCTTTCCCCTTCCTGTGTGAGAGTGATTTATTTCACTGTTACTTTGCTAATGCTGTTGAAATTTAAATCCTAGTAATTCTAAATTTGCAGGTATATTTAGTATACATATAGACTGTGTGGATTCCAGATGCAGGGATGTCAATTGAACTGGGGGAGGCAGGCCATCCCACTCCCTCCTTCCTGTGGCAGCCCCCTTCCATCCCTCTCAAAATGTCATGCAAAAAGGTGAAGGGACCCTGTTGTATGGAATAAACCATGGTGGCGGGGGGGGGGGTAGGGAGATTTCTGAAAATCAGGCCCCTTCCATGAGCAGAGCCCTTTGGTCCATGGATAGCAAATCCTGGATTCAACCTACATGTACTTGCCAGATTGTGTCAATGGCTTATGCCCTGGGTATTCTAAGTACCTAAGTCTAAGTGATGACCCAGCTCCTGGATGAGTCTTTTTAGTGTGTGTGTGTGTGTGTGTGTGTGTGTGTGTGTGTGTGAGTGTGTGTGTGTGTGTGTGTGTGTGTGTGTGTTGGGGGATGGGGTCCAGATCATGATCTTCCACATGCAACCCTCCTGTACTTTCTCATAAGCTTGTTCCATTTTTTTGTTTCCACAAAAAATCTTCTAAGGAGGCAAAAGTAGAATAGCTGTTCAATGTATTTAAGGGGTGGTAGTAGAAGTCATCTGTCTGGAAGCACCCTTGGTTCTCCTTGACCAAGGCTGGCACTATACTGTCTGAGATGATGGTGAGGCGTTTGTGGCTCTCCAGATGTTTTGGCCTCCCATTCCCATCAACCTAGCCAACGTATCCAATGTTGAGGAGTGACTGAAGTGGTTGGCCAAAGTGTCTGGACCAGAAACACAGAAACAGAGCGAGTCAGAAGGTGCCTCCTGGGCCATCTAGTCTGACCCCTGGCTCTAGCTGGCTCCGCTCATGACATGCCCACCCCAAGAAGTCTTAGACTTTGACACTTATGACAGTTTACGTTTGGCTACCTTGAGTAACATTTTCTTGGTAGTAAGTCAGGGTACACATCAAAATGATCAGACAATCAGTGCGCGTCCTGTTTGGAGAAGCTTGCAGTCTGCAGGGAGCCAGTGGGAGCAGACTGGCTGTGCAACCAGCTAAGCCCCAACCAGTGCAGGGCACGCTCCTGTGAGATGTAAAAGGCAAGCTGCCCCCTCCATGGTGCATTCTTGAAGTACTGGGCAGTGTTTGACCAGTCAATTGTCCAGAATGCCAACCCTAATCCCGATTCCCCAGCTGAACTAAAGCTGCTCTTGTGTTAATTGCATCATGTTTATATGCCTTTGATGTCAAATGGTTGTGTATCTGAATCCCATCCATGTTTACTCAGATGAAAGCTCCACTGCTCTTGGTGTGATATGCTGCCTGTTAATTGCACACAGGATCATAACCATCCTCATTACTGACCTTAGCCGGCTTGGCTTGGCGGGAACACTTGGCCTTTCTCAACGGTTTGCTTTGTTCTTGCAAATGGTAGCAATGTATCCTGAGGAAAAGTACAGAAGATGCAGTTCTGTCAGTAAGGTGTGGGGAGGGAGAAAGTGAATGTCAACCAGTACAGAGATGTGGCTGATCTTAATCCTGTTTACCACCCTTTTTATACCCCAAATTCTCTCAGCCAACAAGCACAAGCCTTGGATTGAGGCTGAGTATCAGGGCATCGTCATGGAGAACGACAACACAGTCCTGCTAAATCCCCCACTCTTTGCTCTGGACAAGGACACTCCACTGCGCTACGCAGGTATGTGGAAGCAACCGAGAGTGGCTGGGAGGGGGGAGAGGAGCAGAACCACCCCCTTTTAGACCTTATTTCTGCGCAGCCTTGTTCTGATCCATGCCCAAGTCTGTAATGAGAAACTGGGGGTGATAATACTGAAGGCATGCTGGGGGAGTGTGGGAACTGGGATGCCACTAACATGGTATGTTTACTTTAGAATGATTCGATTTAATTTAGACGATTAGTCTAAAATGAAATTGTACTGCATTTTTTTTAAATTGTGCAAATGGCCCTTCTTGCCCGCCCATTAATTGGCCAGAAGGCAGAAGCAGGTTTGTTTCATGCTGAGAAACTGGGTATTAAGCTGCTAGTTGTTTTTCCTTTTATTTTGCAAGGGGCTACTGTGGTGGAGCTGGGGCTGGCAGGAATGCAGCACTGAAACCCCTTTCTTACTGGGGATGCTGCCACCCCACTCCTTGGGCTCCCCTGTTCTTTCTGAGTCTCACTGCAACCCTTGCCATAGCTGGGAGGAAAGGAATTGTCCCAGCTAGCACATAGTCTTCCTTGTTACACAGCAAATCCTTTTGGGGTGGCTTGGTCTTGAACGAGCCAGTAAAACCCATGAGCTTTATGAAAGAGCTGCTCTTGGCACAGATAAAACTGCTAGAGCTGGTCTGTTGACATGGATGGACACAAGTGGCCAGAATTTTTATACTTTCCTTGTGGGCGGGTGGAGAGACTATGGAGACTATCATGATGCGTTCCTGTATTGCAGAACTGGCCACTACACCCATGGCTTCGATGTGAAGCCAGTAAGTGGTTCTTGTGTGGGTCTTTGCTTAGTAACATGCAAAAGGCCCCAGTGCAGACAGAGATCTGTTTGAGGAGAGGGGACTGGCTCCATTGTCCCCACAGTGTTCCCAGGCTGGACCCCTCCTCTTGTGGCTGCTGTTCATAAAGAACCAAGGAGACAAGGGCCAGTCACATGTTAACATCATGCCAAGGATGTCCCTAAAGACTCCAGAGTGTGAGGCTGTGATCTAGTCTACTACCTGTCTGTAGCAATGCAGTAAAGCACATACCAGGCAGGTTTACACATAATGAAACCCCAGCTCATCACGACAGGTTACCACGAAGAGCCAGGCATCCACAAGGAGCCCAGCAGATGATTTGGCCCATCAGGGTTGCTCTGCTTTCCTCCCTCCCTGCAGCTCCTTCCCTTCTCTTTCCACCAGATGTTATCTCAGGGGACTCTGCAGGGAGGAATGAGGTCCCTCTCTTTGACAGCTGTGGTTGTGAGCTGTCAAAGAGTATCCACTATGCAAACAGGACTCATGCCCTGAAGTGAAGCCAGCCAGTTGTCTGGAGCGGAGCGGGAACCCTGCCAGGAGACCTCAGGTGCTGCTGCCTCCTTCTCGGGGCAGCCTTGCAGAGAGGTCAGCAGCTCCCAGCTCCCGCCTGGAAGTAAGCCACAGGAGCAGCCCATGAGCTCCGTGGGGTCCCCCAGGAATGGCGAGCCACCAAGTCTCCTGGCTGCCGCCAGAGCAGCCTCGACCCAGGCAGGCGTGGGAGTGGGGCAACGGGCTCAGTGGCCTCTCCCTGTTCCCAGGGCAGCCCCAATGTGTGCCTGGCCCTACTCCTGCCGGGGACGAAGCCACTGAGGGGCATGTGCCACGGGCTCGGTGGAATGCTCTGGGAACAGGCATCCCCAGGGAGACCACTGCTGCCCTTCTGCTTCCTTCTGCCCAGACTTCTTCCTGGGAGGGAGTAGGGAGGGGTCACGGGCTCAGTGGGAGCGCTTCCCGCCTGGGGCATCCCTGCCAAGCCCCCACGGCTCTATTCCCCACTCCTGCCGGGGAGTAAGCTGGGCAGGCAGGAGCCAGGAGGGGGGGGGGCATTGTCTTGGCAGGGCTGCTCGGAGAATGGAGGTGCCCCACCTAGCTGATCCCCAGCCCCCAGCTCCTGCCCTAGAGTAGCTCTCTGGGGCAGGAGAGGGGGCAGGCCTCTGGCAGCAGTGCCAAACTGGGGCTGCCCTCCGGAGTGCTCCCCGGGTAGCTGCTTTGCAGGGGTAGCAAAGGCCGCGCTTGCCAAACAGCTCACTCGTTGCAGTGTTTTCCCCACAACAGGTTGTGTTGCCTGACCATAGATGACACAACAAGCAGTAGTGCTAGGAAGACATCCTAGAGCAGGCTGTTGCTTTTATCGTGGTTCTCAGCCCCAATAAGTCATAGTCGTAAATGACCACAACTGGGTTCAGACAACACCACACACAATCCATGATAATAATCAACTTTTGCTGGTTGAGTTGTTGTAAATTTATTTATATCTCACCTATTCCCAAAATGGGGACTCTAGGCAGCTCACAATGCAATTAAAATATTCCAAACAATACAAAAGTTAAAAACATGATTAAATCAGCCACATATTAAAAATAAATTACTCCTAGCTTAAAAACACAGTGAAAATATAAGCTGTAAAGTTAACCCAATGTCAACTCACAGGCCATTCCCAAATGCCTGCTGGAATAAAAATGATGTAACTTGCTTGTGGAACCATAACACCCCAGTCTCCCCAGGAAAGGCTTGTTGGAAGTACCAAGTCCCTCAGTGCTTGCAGAAGCATGGCTCTTCACATGTGGGAGAAAAACAAGGTTGGGAAATATGGTGCTAATTCATGCACAGAGGTCACTATATGATCTTCCTCTGTCCCAGCAATAAATCATCAACAGATATATGTTATAAGTGGCACTGGGGGAAAGTCATGTGCCAGTGACCCATTCATGTGGCAAATTGCTCTTCACAAGCAGATTGCTACACAAAGCGGTTGTCTTGTGGATGCAATTTCAAATGAAATTTGTGTGGCGGCCATTTTGTGCTCTGCGGTCCACTCTGGCAGGAACCAGAGCATGTTGAGAGACTGGGCAATCCTAGGGTGTTTTGGTGTTTGAGGCGGAAAAGCCATGCGGTGCTCGCCCACAGAAGTGGAGCGCAGTCTGCTGAGAAACGACCCTGCGCCAGCTTCTCTGGAGAGGAATTCCTCGCAAGGATTGCGACTCATGTCCAAGGGGAGAACTTTCCCCTGGAGCCTGGTCATGTGTGGGTCACAGCGGTTCAGCTCTGTTCTCCTGCTGGTCAGGGTGAGGCATTTATCTCAGGTGGGGGGCATCCTGCTCAACATCTTTGATGCTCCCTTCTGTTGCGGGGCAGAGCGATGCAAGTGGCCTCAGCACCTCAGCTCGACTGCTGCCTCGTGTGTGCTGAAGGACACGCTCCCTCACCAGCCTCGGAGTGGGAGGGAACTGCCAGTCCACTCGGCTCCTGCGCAGGGACTAGGACGGTGGCTCCATTCGGTCCTTTGCGAAGTGTCTTGAGCTGACCCGGGGCAGATCGCACAGTCTTCCACGTGGCTGTTCGAATGGCATTGAGAATGCACTGCCTGAGACAGCTGCCACGCTTCACCTCTTGCCAACGTGGAGCAGGGCTGGCTGACAGGAAAGGGAAATGCTTGCTTTCTGTATTACCCTGTTCTCCGTATTCCTCTTTTTCCCTCTTTCTGCTTCTTACCTCTGGGGAACCAGGTGAAATATGTGGATTCCGGATCCATGGGGCAGGGGTGCCTTTTGAAGCAGTGATCCTGGACAAAGCAACAGGGGAGGGACTGATCCGGGCCAAAGAGCCAGTGGACTGTGAGGCTCACAAGGAGCATACTTTCACCATCCAGGCCTATGACTGTGGTGAAGGACCAGATGGTGCCAACACCAAGAAGTCCCACAAGTAAGACTGAGGATTTACTGGATTCAGAGTGCTGCTCTTATTTTTCCCTTAACCTGTTTAGAAAGCCGTACGAGACGGTGTCCTGCACTGAGCCCTGCAAATGATTCTTCCTTTAGGAATGGTGCTATACCTTGGATTGTTGTTGGATGCAAGGCAGACAGTGCCTAAACTATAGCATCCCTTTACTGATGCGTCTCTTCCGCTGTCACTAAATTTACTTTGTGTAGGCAGTGTGCAGTAATATATGGAATGGAAGCAAGTAACTTTTCCCTGTCCTCAAAGCAGTTCATTGTGTGTAGGCATGCTGTGCAAACCCAGCTAAAGTGAATGCAGGCATGGGAGCGCAACTGCAGGAATGTGTGGCCTCTTCTGAGCCTATTGACTTTGCTTTGCAAATGTCCCCCTGCACAAAGACCGTTTCCCTGCAGCCCCCCAAGTCTGATTTATTTCAGAGCATTCCTTGCAGAAAAATAAGCTTCCGCATTGTTATCCTGATATTTCACTGGGTGAGATAGACAGAGAGTGGCTCACCTTAGGCCAGCCGGGTGATTCAGGGCCAAGGTGAAATCTGAAGTGGGCGCAGCGGCAGGTCTTCTATGGAGTCAGGGTGTTTAGATTAGCACCGGCTACTCCATCCTGATGAGCACTGACCCTCCAGGTTTCCAGATGAGCTCTTTCCTGGCCCTGCCTGGAAATCCTGGGGGTTGAGCCCGGTCACATCTGCACAGGAGGTACGTGGTCTTCCGTTGAGCTTGGCAGCTCTGCTCTGTTTTGCCTCACAGAGCAGTCGCATAAGCACTGCACCACACAAGCAGGGCGTGTGTGTGATTTTAAGCAGTGCTCGCTTTTCCTTGCCTTCTCTTCTGGCAGTGATGGTCTACTGACATTCACAGGTTTGGATCTTTTCTGCCCTTTTCTTTCATTTCTGGGTCTAGTCTTCCCACTCTGAAAGGTGCTGTGGAGGATTCTTCTTGCCCATGACACAGGAATCAGCCAGGATTTAAATTTCAGCTCAGTGTTCCTCTGCAATTTTCAAATGCCAAGGGCAGCCATAGAAACGTAAACAAAGAACACTGCTAAGAGTCCATTCCTCTTACCCGCTCCAGCCCTTGCATCTCTAGAAAGAGGGACGAAAGAGAGTGGGCGAGCTTCTTTGGCTCATGGAAATTAGTTCCTGGGCGCTGCTATTTACCGCCCCCTTTCCACTTTGCTCAGGGCCACGGTGCATGTGCGGGTGAACGACGTCAACGAATTCGCTCCCGTCTTCGTGGATAAGCTGTACCGCGTGGCGGTGACGGAGGGGAAGCTGTATGATCGCATCCTGCGGGTGGAAGCCATCGATGGGGACTGCTCCCCACAGTACAGCCAGATCTGCTACTACGAGATCCTGACGCCCAATGTCCCCTTCCTGATTGACAATGACGGTGAGGACCCGAACTGGCCCCGGGTGCTGGACTGGCCCAGACACTGGAGAGCAGGCGGACTCTAGGGAGAGGAAGGGGCTGCTGTTCAGGGGTCGACTAGTACTTGAAAGACGTATGCATAGTCTTTTGGGGTTTGGGGGTGGTCTTTAAACCAAGGAGCAGCTGAGGGAGGCTGCTGGTTTCATTGGAGGAATGGAAATTTCCTGCCCCCACCCCTGGAGCAGAGAAGGTACCCAGACCCTGGATGGCCCCACCCCTTGCCCTCAAGGGGGAAAGCAGCTTGGTGGCAATGAATGGGAAGATGAGCCTAGCAGAGGGAGAGCCCTGCTGGAGCAGATGAACAGCCCCTCTGGTCACACCGTGGCCAGACGGTTGCCCATGGAAAACCCACAAGCAGGGCAGGAGTGCAACACCCCCCCCCCACCCGTGTACCCCATTCTGCCTCTGGCACCGGATGGCAGGAGCCAAAAACATTGGGCAGCCCTAAAACCTAGAGCTAGTCTTTCCTTCCTAATCATAGCCTTTGCTTGATGTAGGACAGAGCGAGACCAAACAGGGGGAGATGATCCACTCATGTCTCGTCTGACCATCGAATTCTGCTGCATGGCAAATGCTCGTAGCTCTCTCTTTCTCCCTCTGCGTGAATTCGCCCACACATCTGTCAGGATTCGGTTAATACTTCGGCACAGCAACCAGAGTGCCAGTTTTCGTGCATATGCAAGTTAGCATGTCGAGCCTCTGGTAATCTTGCCCCTGGCAGCATATTTTGGGGAAGACTCAGGCAAGTGACATCAGTCAACACTGACTGTTTCTAACCCATGCAACACATATCGGCAAGTCTGGGTTTGCCACCGGCTGTACCTTCACAGCAGAGCTTAGCTAATCTGAAGAGGTCTCACCACACCTGTGAGCCACACTCACACACCACCTTTTCTGACTATGCGTAAACACACAAAGGGTGCAATTTCTTGTCTTGTCTTTTCTTTTTTTGGTTCTTTGCCGTGTGTGCTGCTACTTGGGGGTTTCCCGCAATAGGCACAGCACGTTTGTGTCAACTGTGCATGCCATGAACACATCCTGGGAAGCCATCATCACATTTCTGTAGTGGTACCTTAAGGCTCAGATGCTCCATGAGACCATACAGGGACAGGGGCATCTTGGCTGGATGAGACCATACAGATGGGGGGCATCTTGGCTGGATCTCCCCATCTAAATTTATGTCTCAAGGGTCAAGGAAAAGTATGGGCACATGGAATTAGCAAGGAACCATATAAATTTATTTATTTATTTATGTTTATTTGTTTGTTTGTTTATCAACTCTGGCCATACCTCTGAGCAGTGAACTGGAAAAATTGGGATACTGCCCACCCTCATAACTCATCCCACTGAATATCTGTTAACACATCAATGTTAGTTCCAAACTCCTGGCTTTCTGAAGTCTGAGCCAGTATGAGAGAGCCTTAACTCTGGCCTTAAACTGGCAGTGTTTTGATGGTTAAATATATGTATATATTATATATGTATGTACATGCACACAACTTTTAAAAGAAATGCTTGCTGTGACACTTCATCTTACCTGTCCTTGCACAGATTTGATTCTCTCTCTCTTTTTTCACTTTCCTTATTCTGTTCCACTTTTTGTGGCAGTCCTCTAATTCTGGAATCTTTCTGTTTCTGATAGGGAACATTGAGAACACAGAGAAGCTGCAATACAGTGGTGAACGCCTGTATAAGTTCACAGTGACAGCCTATGACTGTGGCAAGAAACGGGCCTCAGATGATGCTGAGGTCGAGATTCAGGTGAAGCCCACCTGCAAACCCAGCTGGCAAGGTACGGCACCCTTTTCACACGCGCGGGTCCTTTCTCGTGCCACTCGCTCTACCCTGCCTGGTAGACACTCGTTTATTATGTACAAGTTTTTGATAATGTACATGCCTGTCACAGCATTCTCTTCTAAATCATTTGTATTTAACATTTCACAAAAATGGAGGGCCCTTTTAATGAATTGGAAGCTTTTTGTGGTGGCTCTTCTTTACAGGCATAAGTTGCTTCGTAAATTGCCATGTCCACAGGTAACAGGATTGACACAGCAGTGGTGACAGTGGCGATGATGGTGGCGGCAATGAGATTTTCAACTGATTTGAAGTGCCATTCCTTGGTTTAACCTCACAATTTCCCCTTGGTCTCCATCAGGAATGCCATGATTGCATTTTCACTTCCAGGAAAGGGGAAAGATGCCTGTAGGATTTTCCCTCCAGGGACCTGGTCAGCTTGTCCTGCTACGCACCCTCCCTGGCTGGGTGGGGGGTGCCAGTCACTTCTCCGCCCCAGCAACAAAATGTCCCGGCCCCAGATATGGCTCCTGGGAGCTGTCGGGTGGGAAAGGGTAGCTGAGGGGACAAGGAAAGTAGGTGGGGTGGGGAAACGATGGGGCACAGCGAGCCCTGTGGGCGGCGATCGCATCAAATGGGCTGTGTCATCCTGAACATGCTTACTCAGAAACAAGCCTTACTCCAGAAGTAAGACTGGAGCCTGAAAGCCTTAGTTCATGTGCGCCAAGCCTGGCGATTGTTCCAATATCTGTGTCTAGAGATAAACCCTGCGGATTGAGATCTTTGGTAATTAAACAGAAACAGAAAACACAACTAACCAAAAGCAAAGGTGTGGGTGCTGGTCTAGGAGAAACAGAAAACAGAAAAAGTCCATGGATGGGAAATAACCTTGACTAGGAACTTAGGCTGGTACTAATAAAGGTATCCGACTGTGCATTTGCCGCTTTGATGATGAGGGTCTGCAAATTTAATATTGCATCATTTGCTGTAGATTTCAGGAATTCCAAAAATTAGATCCCCAGACCCGAGTTTTAAAAAAGGCTTCTAAATCCCAGAAACTTCCACAGCAACGCTTTGGAAATACAATGAACCCAACCTTTTGTGGGGGCTCTCTCTGGCTCACTCCTCACGTGGTCCCAGCCAGAGCTGTCTGTCCAGTGCTGTGGTGCTTGGTGCTGGTGGAGTGTGGCAGGATGGAAGAGAAGGTGAGGATTCCCTCAGAAGCAAATCCCACTGTGTTTAATGGGGGCTACACCCAAGGAGTTCTGGCAGCTTGCAGCCCGAGAGCGTGGGTCATTATTGTCTACAGCGCATTTCTATACTCTCCCTTGCCATGTTCAGTTTGCAAGTAGTTGGTGAATGCTGAGGGTGCCACACGGCCCTTGCTGGTTATAGGCACTCCGTTTCCCCCAAATGAATTTAGGCCAGGAGGTACTTGGAGGGTAACTTTTAAGCAAGTATACTTTGGGACATAGTACACTTCTGTTCTGAAAGCAACCAAGATGTTAATTAGCTTGCCTTCTATAAAATTTAATTATAGCAATCATTCCTAACTATGTATAGGTATTTGCATGTATAAATTCACATATTCAGACTTGTGCAGTTGTTTTTATTTTGTGTTGTCCTGAAAGCCTGAGCCCAGATCATATTGGTCCCCTTGCCTGGGGGAGCCAGGCTCTTCCGCTGATTGGGTGGGTGTAATCCTGTATCCCCATAAAGGCCCGGTAGGCTTTGCTTCCAGTTTCCCCACCTCTGTCCCCTGCATCTCAAGCTGCAAGTCTCAAAAGACTCAGTCATCCCATTCCCAAAGAAGTTAAGTGGTCTACATAGTTTAGGAGTAGTGTAAGAATGGTATTAAAATGTCTTTTACAAAGCCATCAAAGCATTTGACTACTAATCCTTGCCTGTATCTCCCATTCCTAAACTGACTATGGAACATGTCCTTAGTACCGGCAAAATTCATATTTACCACTCCCATGCTGGGGGGCATGAATTCTTCTCTCCACCAGAACCAGTGCAGTCAGGCAAAGTTTCAGTTGTCTCCAGTCCCGCCATACTGGGGTGAGGCAGTGGAAAATATCCAGAAGGAACTCAGAGAAGAAGGGAGAAGTAAGAGCAGAAGAGGTAGCCATTGTATGTTCCCAGAACATAATTTTCTATTTATCGCAGACACTAATTCCCTCCCTTTCATGATCCCAGGCGAGGCATATCAAGGGGGAAGTGTAACTTGAACCTGCCCTTTTGCAGGTCACTGACTTGTGCTACCTTTGCACATATTTTCAGCACATTCTTCCTAGCATTCCTATAACGTTATGATTCTGTATTCTCCGTGAGCTTGTTGTGGCTTTTGTTGTCAGCATCTTATTAGATATTAGAGATGATGTATCTGCCTCATCAGGTTTTTATCATCGACTATGATGCCAGATTCTCACATTGACTGTCAGTAAGATTCAGCAAAATCCCCAGCATGGAGCTACATTTTTCCACTGATGATCTATTTTAATCCATCACAACCATTCCTATATTGCTGCTGAATTAAATTGTGTTATGGATGTAGCGCACGCAGACCCAACAGCCGGGTGACCTGGAGCCAAGCTGCTATGATCCACTTGTGAGCACGACATGTGAGGAGGGGAGAAATCATGCGTGCACTTTGAAATTTTGGTGGATGGGTGGGCTAAAAATGGAATGTAACGTTAAAGTGGTTATGGACTGTTTTTCCACAGGTGGTTGGGTGTGCAGTCAATTTTCTAGATCCTCTCTCTGATAGATTTGCTTATTTCAAAATCTGCCGCAGGTTGGAATAAGAGGATAGAGTATACCCCAGGTACAGGCAGTCTTGCTCTGTTCCCCAACATTCACCTGGAGACGTGTGATGAGCCCCTGTGGAACATCCAAGCCACTGTGGAGCTGCAGACAAATCATGTGGCCAAAGGTTGTGATCGTGACAATTACTCTGAGAAGTCACTGCGCAAACTCTGTGGTGTGTATTCTCTTCACTTCAAAGTACGCTAGGGAGGAACAATGAAGTAGGCGTGTGGTGGGAGAGAAGTGGGTACCCCATCCAAAGAGATCCATGGCCAGATCGTGCAAACTGCTATCTCGTGGGTGGATGTGGGTCCGTTCTGTCGGAAAGACAGGGAGTATGGGGTTGGTCTTCTTAGACTTTCTGTAATCAGATGGCAAAGATCTGGGACATCATTAGGAGCACAGAATAGTGGACAAATAGATCTGATGCAAGGAACAAAATCCATGGGAAGTTGATTGCAGGCTCCATGGAAATGAATGGAAGCTGTACCAGGAGCACTGCAGGAACATCTCTGGTTCACTCCCGGTCAGTTCAGTGGGGGATGCTCATGAGATCTTTTGTTTCCCGTGTTAATTACTGGCAGGAGGGGATGCCAAGCCAGTCTTTTATATCAGGCGCAAAGGCCTTGTCCTTCATGAAGGGTCCCATTCAGATAGATCTTTCCTCCCTGATTCTCTTCCCTCTCCTGCTCCAACAGGCGCTGCCACAGGTGAGGTGGATCTGCTGCCAGTGCCCGGTCCCATGGCCAACTGGACAGCACGGCTCTCGGTCCATTACAGCCAGGACAGCAGTCTCATCTACTGGTTCAATGGCAGCCAGGCCACCCAGGTGCCCATGGGCAGTGGGACCGGTGCCCTGGAAGGGATGAGTGACCACTTCACCTTGTCTCTGTGGATGAAACACAGTGTGGCCCCCAGCAAAGGCAAGCGGGAGGAGGAGACGGTGATCTGCAGCACCATGCGCAACGGTGAGTGTCTCCCCCCCCCCCCGCCACCTGCCCCAGACAAATGTCCCAGCAGAGCGTCCCTTGGGCCAGGTGACCTCAGCCAACAGGCTCTGTGCAACACATTTCTTGGATCCTCTATAAACTACAAGCCCAACACCATGTACAAGCTGCTGTGTGTCCCCAGAACACCGTCTGGAGAGGGGGCTGAAAAGGATGGGTGTGTGTACCTTTAAGGGTGACCCTTTACAGCTTGGTGGTGAGCCCCCACACAGGCAAAACTAGGTGAGCTCTGGTACTACTGCTTTGCCTTTCTGCACCTCTACCTCGCCGTCTGTGGTCGGCATTTGGAGACAAAGGAGCAATGCTTGAGCACACCCCCCCGCCCCGCCCCCACCAGGGCCGCCCTCGGGCTGGATATGGCTCTTGTTCTGCTGGGTTTTGCTTTATTCCTTGCTGTGGTTTTGTGTTAATGTATTTGTTAAGATGGCAATGCCAGATAGATCCTGGCAGATCCTTCTAGGTTTTGACTGCATGACCTTTCTGTACTAAGGACAACAACAAATCCTGTGTCAAGGATAGTGAAATCACATGACCCTGACTTTGGCTTATCTCCCGCACGTCTGCCTCTCTAGCCACAGAGAAGGGTCAGGATCTCAGCGAAGGATGAAGGACGGAGCCCTTCCCTTCACCCCCTCCCACTGGATTGAGATCACAGTAGTGGCCACACCTCCCCCACGCTCTTATCCCAGCCAAACTCACCCCTGCAATTTTGTTTTCCTGCCGAGTAAATCACATCTGCCTTTATCTTCTGCAGGGCCATTAGCAGCTTTGTAAGGAGGGGAAGGAGAGGGATAAAGAGGGCAAGCTCCCCGCTCCCCACATGTCATGGCCTCCCCTGTGGCTGTTTTTAAGGCTTTCCCACATGGTACAGATTAGCCTTGCTTTCTCTGGTTCTGCCAGGCATTGTCTGTATGCTGTCATACCTATCTCTGCACCATATGGGCTAGAAGTGCAGTTCTTTTTTGATGATCAGGAAGCTCAGTTTTATACACATTTTGAGTGTCCTGAATGTATGCATAATTGTGAAATGCTCACAGAAGAGCTGGCTTTAAAATCAGTACCTGCCAACCTGCTTGTGACAAAACAGAAGAATAAGAATAAGAAGTTTTATAAAATAGATTCGATTCAAACTGTTGATCTGTAACAGTTGAAAGGTTGTAAGGTATGACCAACCTTAGTATGTTCTGAGCAGCAAGCAGTTTAGAGAAGCAGCATTTGGAGGAATGACTTCTTTCCAAGACTTCTAGACAGGGATGGGGTGCAACAGGGTGTGGAGGGTGAAGGTTGCACATATGTACACATGCACAGGTGCAATCAGTATGCGGATTTGGAGCATCTTCTGGAACATAAGGCTCCTTACTTATTGAATTGAGCACCCAGGAAAGAGAGCAAACCTGGGGAAGGAAATGTACAGGTGGCCGGAAAATTGGCAGGGTGGGAACATTTGGTGGCAGATTGAAAGCACGCATGGCTGTACTCTAAAGGTCTTGAAGGGGGTAGTTTAGAGTGATGGCTGAAGGTGGTTATTTATAAAATAACTAATTTTGCACTAGCTTCTGAGGGACAGGAGCGGAGGTGACCATAATCATTCAGATTGTGTAACCCACCATGGATCTGTTAGTGTTTGTTATATAATACTTGCACTCCAGTTCTGCTTATTATCCTCTTAGGTGGCTTTGAGGAGTGTATATGCAAAGGAAGGAGTGCATTTTGTTAATTTATGCAAGGCTGTGTAGGCATATGCACAAGAGTTGTTGTTGTTGTTGCTGTTATTAGGATATTTTTATCCCGTCCAATATGGCTCGTCTCTGGATGGCTTACAATATGATAAATACCTAATGAATACATCAGTCAATAACAAGATAAAATGTGACCGAGGGTGTCAATAAAAACACAATTAAAATATTTAAACTTTGAAATATTGGGTAAATAAAAAGTTAAACATATCTGTCTCACACTGAAATACTGTGCAGGCAGTCCGTGGGTTATGAATGACTTCCATTCCTGAGAAAATGGCAATAAATCTTTAAGTAGAATTTTGTATGGAAGTCAGATCATGTATAGTTGGCCCTCCACATGCATGGGGGTTAGGGGTGCAGGGCCCCTGTGAAAGTGGAAAAATGAGAGTATTTCAACTCCCCTCCCAATTTACCAGTTCCTCTTCTTTGCAGCAAGGAAAACAAGGCAGGGCAGGAAGTCATACTGTGTGGAGGTCTTCCCTCTCTCCTCTATTGTTTCCTCCAGGGATGGCAATTTTCTTCAGTAATTTTTTAAAAATGAATAGGCTGTATGGCACTTCATTCATAAGTACCAAGTTGTTCACAACTTGGACATTCGTAACTTGGGGACTGCCTGTATTATTCTAGAAGTCCAGTGAACATTAATCTTAAAAAAAAAAAAAAAACCAGCAACAATAATGCCCTTGAAAAATTCCTCCAAAATAAAATCAGGACAAAATGAGGACATTAAATATGTTAACATGGAATAATACACCAGAATTGCTGAGGAATCTGGCTTATCATTCATGAGCAGGATGCTGGTACTTGGCGGTCAATAGTTCCCACCAGGTTCCTATCATCACAGCAGGGCCGTCTTAACAGCATTATGGGCCCCGGGCAAAGCAGTGTACTGCGGCCCCTACGACAACTACAACTACTGTTAATTTTGGAAGTTTTCCAATTTTCCAAAGGTTAACATGCACAGATTAGTCTGGGGCCCACGGGCAAGTGCCCACCAGGCCCATACGTTAAGATGGCCCTGCATCACAGAAGGGACTAAAGTGAACAGAAACTCACCAGGCAGCAAAACCTTAGCCTGGTAACTAACTTAGGACTCCTGACTTGTTGCTTCCAAATAAATCAGGAAAAGAGGCAAATCCTGGTTTGCAGGCTCTGGCTTGCTGGGGAAGGGACCAATCCAGTTCTGCCATAACAGTAAGTTTTTGCTACCTGGTGAGCTCCTGCTCAGCTTAGGCACAGGTGATAAGCAGGACCAGCCTGACTGTTAGGTCAGGTGAGGTGGCTTCCTCAGGTGGCAGATGGTGGGGGTGGGCAGCAGTGCGTTGTTGGAGGAGGAGGCTGTGGGTGCTGCGCAGGAGGCTGCGGGCACCTTGTCCTTGAGCTTGGTGTGAGGGTGCAGAACGAAGCGAGATTCAGCTCTCTCTACTTGGCTTCTGTGTGCAGAATGCAAGGCAGTGTTACTTAATCCTTTGCCTCAGGTAGGTAGCCAAACAACATGGGCCAGCCCTGAGGATCAGCCAAAATTCCCCGCATTCTGGCCTATAGCTGCAAGTGAGCACAGTCAGGGAGACGGGCGCCAGATCCTGGCACAGAGGGGCTGTCGGAGCAGCCCATGAGAGTCCGGGAGGAGCTCAGCTAAATCCAGCCTGGCTGGTCACAATACTGCTGCGATTGATAGGATGCATCTTCCCTGTCTACCTACAGAGGATGGGTTCTCCCATTATTCCCTCACGGTGCATGGCTGCCGCATTGCTTTCCTCTACTGGCCACTGCTGGAGAGCGCGAGACCCGTCAAGTTCCTCTGGAAACTCGAGCAGGTGAGAAAATAGCGGCCCTTCTTGCCCTTTGATCCATGCTCCTCTTTTGGCCACTCACAGATATGCTCATCTGTCTGTCCGGACTTGTCCTTTTCTCCGGCTGCAGGTCTGCGATGATGAATGGCACCATTATGCCCTTAACCTGGAATTCCCCACCGTTACGCTTTACGTCGACGGCGTCTCCTATGACCCTGCGCTGATCCACGACAATGGCCTCATCCACCCTCCAAGGCAGGAGTCTTCCCTCATGATCGGAGCCTGCTGGGCTGGTGAGCACTCCAAAAGGTCGCAGACGGGCCAAGCAGACAGAGCAACTGGCCGTCCAGAATCTCTGGCTATTGTCAAAGTTCAGATGCGCCTTCCCCCAATGTTAGGAACTACTGGAAAAAAATCTTCCCCCACCCCAACACTCGGATATTTTGAGAAGATTGAAATATGTGCACCATTGACCGAAATATCAACCTAAATGTGCTTTGCTAGGTTACAACCCTATGGATATTTAGACAGAAAAGAGGCCTGCAACTCCCAGAATGCCCCAGCCTGCTTCCTGTCTTTAGACCTTTTCTGTCTAAAGGATTGCACCCTTTAGCACATGGGTCCTCAAACTACGGCCCACGGGCTGGATCCCATTTATCCAAGGCACTGGCTTGCTCGCAAGGAGATCATTTTGGACTAGCTTTGAGAAAATGATCTCTACGCACGCATGCGCGCCCCCTGCCCACACCGCCTTGGCGGCCCATACCCATCGCTGGCACCTTTCAACTAGCCCACTATTCAAAAAGGTTGAGGACCCCTGCTTTAGGACATAGAATTCACTGGGGTTAGCTTTGCTGGCTGTTAGCATTTCCAAGGATATTAAATGGCATTAGGTGGAAAAGCAGATATATTATGCTGCGCTTAATTTTTTTGAAAATACCAATGTTCCCAAGTGTTAGAGATCGAGCTGCAGAGAGCTGTGCTCTAGTAAATAGCTTGCTATCATGTGCTATCGAGTTGTCTCCAACTGGGGGGGGGGCTATGAATGAAAATCCCCCTAAAGTTCCCCTCCTTCCTTTGGCAGCCCTGCTCAGCTCTTGTAAGCTCAAGCCTGGGCTTGCTATGTGCAGCCAATCCAGCTCATATTTGGTCTTCCTCCTTTTCTTCTCCCTTCAGTTTTCCCCAGCGCGATGGTCTTCCCCAGTAAGCCTTGCCTTCTCATGATGTGTCCAGAGTATGACAGCTTCGGTTTTGTCATTTTTGCTTCTAAGCATCTAGGCTTAGAAGTGGTATATAAACCTTGATATTACACTGCATAAACAGCAGGGCTTTTCCTGTAGAGGAAAAACCGAGAAATTAATATTCTGCAATCGCAAAAAAGAATGTGCGAATGTCTACGCATTTGTCAGCATCGTAGAACAAGGCTGTGAAACCTAGACGTCTCAGACTTGGCTAAGGGAATGCTGGGAGTGAGCTCCTCAGGGTTATTTTGTGTCTCCGTGGCATGAATTAACTGCAGTTGTTTTGAGGTAGCTCTGTGGTTGAAGCCTGCACTAACATCCTCGGTCACTAGGGGCAGACTTCCCTCATCCGCACTGCGCTGTGCCAGCTACACAGTTTGAAGCCACAGGACGACAAACAGGAGCAAAGGCGGCGTCATCTCCTGTCCCCTGCTTTGATGCAGCAGCCCCTCACCGGCATGTGAACCATGCCTCCGGAGACGATAGCGCAGGGGCCGTGCCCAGGGCTGCCCGCCAGCATGGCTTGACCCGGACAGGCGAGCACAATGCGTGCAGCGCTAATGTCTGCATGAGTTTGCTTGAAGGTTTCTCCGTATCATACCAAGTCCGGTTCCTGCCCATGCAAAACTGGGCCTGTTCTCAGTTATCCTCATCCTGATGATTATGAACGTATCGCATGTCTGTACTGCCCAGTTTCCAAAGCTCTGGGAGGACTCACAAAACTAGTAACATCATGAAAAAGGGGAAATATTTTCCACTGCTTTTCATGGATTTATGAAGAACAAGGCTCTCCAGTTTCTCTACCTCCGGAGGCCCAAAAGGGGGCGTGGGAAAAGGGTTTCCTCTGTCCTGGGCTTTACATTGTTATCAAGGGAGGACCACCTCCGAGAGAGGGTTAGATGAGAGGCTTCCAGCAGCCCCCAGGCTTCAGCCCAGTCTAGCAAGCAAATGGGCTCCCGCTGCCCGGACCCTTGGTGAATGTCAGTCACAGAGCTTGGTTGAATCAGTGAGGACTAGATTTATTGTTTAGAGCTGGAATTAGAGAGGCATCTTCATCCAATATGGCTGGTGAACGGCAGGGACAATCAGTGTTTTGCAAGTTTAGTCAGAAGGAGCTTTGGTTTTCAGAAACCTCGCTTGGAAATGAAGGGATCCTGGAAGGGCTTCATGGTCCCCTTGCTCCAGTCTCCAGGGCCATTCAGTGCCTTAGGCTGGCTTAGCAGTGTGAAATCTCACAACCTGTTGCCCAGACCGCCAGTGGGGCCTCTGAGCTGTGCCTGTTTGACTCCCTCCTTCTCCGGACAATTCTGCATGCGAAAGAAAACTGCCCAGCATCATAAACCCAGGAGTAAGCTGTCCTCTGTGGCTCAGAGGCACCTTGCAAAGACTGACCCATGTTCAATGCTCTGAATTGCATTTTCTTTTGCAGAGGAGAGAAACACAGAGAAAGCAAGAGTGAATGAGAACTCCACAGACTTGGGGCAAGGTACACAGTGTTCTCTGCCACCAAGCATGGCTCTCACCCTCTTCACGCATGTTGTTCTTCCTGCGTCCATCCCCATGATCCTTTCCCTTCCCTCACCACCAGGAAGACTCTGGGAATGCGGCAGCATAGCTTCTTCCGGGCAGGATGGTGGTTTCATCTCTGTGGTTTGTGAGAGGGATCGAAGGTGCAACACAGTGCAGGGGAGCTTCACATCAAAGCTGATCTGTGAGAGACATCAGCTTTAAAAAACATTGCCTGTAAAGGCACCCCATCATTTGCCTTTCACTGTCACCTTTTGGTGAGATTGCCCCGTGAGGAGTGTTTTCCTTCTCTGAAACCACAGAGAGAAAACAGGGTCTGTACACTCGACTTCCACCCTCAGCATCTGTGCTGTGACCTCCCTGTTCCCAGCCGGCTGCGCATCCAGGACGCTTCCCCTCTCCTTCCGTCTTTCCCAGTCTCCCCTCCCTTCCACGTGATCCCCCCCCCCCGTGCTGTCTCCATCCTCTGCTCTTGCCCTCCCTTTCTCTTCATCTGTCTCTCACACCATCCCTCCTCCTGTATCCCCCTTAGGAGACCCTCTGCCAATCCACCACTACTTCCATGGTTACCTGGCTGGCTTCACTGCGCGCCCCGGCAGCCTTGAGAGCCGGGAGGTGATAGAGTGTCTCTATGCCTGTCGCGAAGGGCTGGACTACAGCGACTTTGACAGCCTCGGCAAAGGGATGAAGGTACACCCCACCCCTCGGCAGCATGCCCCCCTCCCCCTCGCTCGCACCTCGGCTTGGCTTCCCAGGACCGCGCCTGCTCCTGCCTTGTGCAGAGTCTCCTTGTGTTCTCCTGTCTCTCGGCCGCTAACCTTTCGGCTCGCCAGAAAACCATCCTCGAAGCCTTTCTCTTTCTTTGGCTGCAGGTCCATGTTAACCCCTCCCAGTCTCTTCTCACCTTGGAGGGGGACGATGTGGAGACCTTCAACCATGCCATCCAGCACGTGGCCTACATGAACTCCCTGCGCTTCGCCACGCCCGGCGTCCGGCCCCTCAAGCTTGTCACGACTGTCAAGTAAGGAGCAACGTCTCAGCTGAGCTGAAACCTGCTGTGCCCAGTGCCTTTCTTGCACATTTCGGGGCAGATACGCCTCTGCCATGCAAATACTATGCTGCGCACTGGTACACTGCCTCCCATATACATAGCCGTGTGTACATACCCATATGTACATGTACATGTGTACATATAGGCCTTTGGTGCTTTGCGGAGACAAATGGAAACTTACAGGGCAAGTGTCACCAGTGGAGAGGCTGCAGAGGAGACCCCTGGCTGGTTGACCGGGCCTTCCCTCTGGAGGCTCAGGGAAGAGGAACACTGCTGTGGCTTTGGATCAGTGACTGGCAGGGATTTCTCTACCCGCGCACTGCTCCCTCTCCCAGTTGAAAATGACAGTGGGAATTCACTGCCCCAGTTGGGAGTGAGAGTGGCTTGTGCACTGTTTTGCCCACCATATTTTCTTTCTGGACAGGAAAGCCTGTGCCCCCCAAAGTTGGAACCCAAATTGGAGGAGGAGCCCTGATGTCACCTATTCCACAGATGCTACCTGGTGGAGGGTCACGTGACCCTCCATGCAAATTAAGTCTTCTGCTCCTCCAGTGGAAGGAGGGAGGACGGAGACAAAGGTGCCCACAATCCTCTTCCTTTGCCCTAGACGACCATTCTCTGCAGGTTCATAGGATGTATAAATTCATTATTAGGAATTAATATAGCACTTCTGAATGCTTGGAGCATTTCACATTACCTTGTTAGAATCCTTACAACTCTGAAGACTAGGTAAGAATTAGTATATCCCTATTATAGGGCTGGGGTGTGGCAGCTGAAAAGGTGCGTGGCTTGTCAAACCACTGAAACTCTTGGGCATCAGCAAAAACAAAAGCAAAAGCAAAAACCACAAAACCCCCTAGAAACAACACCTCCTTCCAGTATCTGTGTGTGTGTGTGTGTGTGTGTGTGTGTGTGTGTGTTTTTAAAGTCCAAGCAGCAGGGAGGAGAACTAGACAAAGAGCAGCACTGAGACGTTTAATCCTTTTCCTCAGCATTTTATTTTCCTGATCTAAATTGTCTTTCCAAAGTTGCTGTTTTTTTCCTGGATAGCAGAGGTGCAAAACCTTGGGCCCAGGGATCAAATCTGGCACTCTGGGAGTCACAATTCACCCCTCTGGGCATCTCCAGGAGGTCACAACGCTTCCCCCCAATCACCAGTCAATTAGTGGTTCCTTGGCTTTTGTGCAGCATTCCCCTTATTCTGTAAGGTTCGACTGCCTCTTGAGAAACTTAGCGGCTGGCAGTAAAATCTTTAAGCTAAGACATGCTGGCATTGTTTGGTCCCAGCCTTGGGCACTGCCCAGAGCAATGGAAGGGACAGAACATGAATTGTGTTACAAGATACAAGTATGCCACTGTACTGAATTTGTACCTTGCTGCGCAGTTCCAAGCGATGCCCGCCACCTGCAAGTTAGAGTGATTTCCTGATCCCTCTTCCATTAGATGCTTCAGTGAGGAATCCTGCGTCTCCATCCCAGATGTGGAAGGCTACGTAGTTGTGCTTCAGCCTGATGCTCCTCAGATATCGCTGAGCGGCAGTTCCCATTTGGCCCGGCCTGCCTCTGACTTTGAAGGTCCCGAGGGAGTCCCCCTCTTTCCTGATGTTCAGATTTCTTGCTCCATTTCACATCAAGTGGAAGCTAAGAAAGATGAAAGCTGGCATGGCACAGGTAAGTGGAGCATTTCCGCACGGATGCCGTGGCACGTGGGCAGGGCTGGGCCAGTGACAGCCCAAACAGCAGAAACAGAAGGAGGAGGAAGCGCCATCCTTCCTCCGTCTGCTCCTGGATGCATGTTTACTTCCTAATGCTGGCAACATGAACTAATAATCTCCTGCTACCAGGGCTGACTCAGCATTTTTGTGTGCCCTTTGGCAGCGTGCCATCTGTAGCCCATTGGCTTCTCCTCATCTTTCCATCTTCACTCTACGCATGTAAATCTCAAGGAAGTCTTGATCAATGTGGCCAACCCCATTGTCCAAGAAATACGATACATGGAGAAACACAATACGTCTTGCTTCATGGAATTTAGAATGTTATTATTCCCTATATAGAGGCAAAGCAGTGCTTGGCAGAAGAATTCATCCCACTTGGACCTTTCCACATTTTGTTGTGTTACAATCTGGAATTGAAATAGATTTCATTGGCACCGTTAGCACTTGATATACACAAGGTAACTCAACATGGATAAATAAAAGACCGGCAGTGTTGTTTTTGAAGAGGGATTTGTAGGGATTACAAGACTTCTGTTTTGGCAGGAAAGTGTACAGGTGTGTGGCGGCTACGTAGTTGCTCTGCAGTGTGGCTTTTCGTGTCATGTAAACCCTTCCAATGAGTTAAGGCCAACGTTGTGCTAGTGAACATCCACTACTGTGATGGGGCTTCCTCCTGCTTCCCTTGCACAGCTCTTTGGCCCCCCTAAAGTGGAGGGTCTCCCAGCCCTCTGGAGCAGGTTCTGAGCATTCGAAGGGGAAGGAGGAATCATCCCCCTTCTGGCCCCGCAGCCACACTGGCTGGCCTGCGTGGGAAGCAGGTACAGCAGGTGTGCTCTTGGGGCTGCTTCAGCCGGGCTCTTCTCACGGCCTTACGCCAGCCTAGGCCTGCTGGGTAGCTGTGCCCTGGAAGGCCTAATAGGGAGAAGGGACACTGGGAAGGGGAAGGGGTCACTATGAAGAGAGGAGGAGCCTCACAGCAAGATTAACTACAAGCTTGGGAGAAGAGATGAGACATCTGAAGACAGGCAAGTGTTGAGTTAGAGCGCATTTTTAAAATAAGGCCAAAGAGAGATGAAATTCGTTTGGAACACCCTGGGCTCAGTTGCATGAAAAAGCGGCTCTGCAGTTGTGAGGCAGAAGCAGGCTGAAGATTGGCCGCTCCTGCATTGCCTCTAAACCTCAGAGAAGTCGTGCAGTCGATGTCTTGGCTGGGAAGGGGTCGATGCCAACACGCATATGGCCTTGAAGCCACGGTGGCTTAAAGGGTGGTCCGATCCCAGGGTGGCTCAAGTTGGTCTGATACACCCCCCATGGCCAGTTGCAGGGTTTGCTCAGCCCTCCATGGTCTGCTTTGCTGTCCTTACTGGGACAACATAACCTATGTGGGAAGGGGGCCACGGCCTACACCCAGTGAGCTGTTTGGCAAGAATGGTATAGTTCCTGCGCTGTTCTGATCAAGCCAGTCCCAACAAGTGCCTCTGTCAGCCGCCTGCAAACAGGCCCGCAAACATTACGGGCCCCGGGCAAAGCAGTGTACCGGGGCCCCTAGGACAACTACAACTACTGTTAATTTTGGAAGTTTTCCAATTTTCCAAGGGTTAACATGCACAGATTAGTATGGGGCCCACGGGCAAGTGCCCACCAGGCCCATGCGTTAAGACGGCCCTGCCTGCAAAGTGTAGCCTCACCCGCCTGGTGTGCCAATCTTCCCGGGGGGGCCATATGAAAGTACCCCCCCCATGGGGCAATCCATGAACTGGGCATGGGGAAGGAGGCATGTTCTCTTGGATTTGATGTCTTTGCTTGGTGCAGCCCCTGCTTAATGGAGTGGTGGGTGTGCCAAGCAAGTGCAGGGGAATGCACTGCGTCGCACGCAGCCTCCTCTCAAGGGAGCGGATTACAATGCAGCGTGACCCCCTGCTCCACTCTGGTCCCCCCCCCCGCCCCCAATGCTCCCACTGAAGCCAGGAGAGCCATTTTGTTCCAGAGCAATCTCTCCTGGCCCCTGCAGAAGTGTGGGGCAGGGTAGCTGATGGCAGCTGCTGAAAGTGCCGCGCGGGCACGTTTGGGCAGCTGCCACCCCCACTCCGCTGCTCTCAGCCCTCCCTCATGGAGTCCCCGGGATATCAGGAAGGAGGAGGAGAGAGGAGGTGCCTTGGAACCATCGCTGTGCCCCGTTGTGTGTTGGGCAGAGCAGTGGATCCAGACTACTTGAAGCCCAGGTTGCTCTGCAAGGCCATGCAGCATTCGATTGCCCGGCATGCAAGTCTCTCCTTTCGGTTCTGCAAGCAGGGCCACCGCCTGGCTGCTGGAGAGGGTGTGTCTGCTCCCCTTACCCTGTGCAGCAGAGAGCGATGGAGGTGGGAAACGGGCAGTAGGAGGGCAGGAAGCTCGATCAACGGATCTGAAGTGTAGGAAGGAATGTGAGGAAATTGAAGAGGAAGGAGAAAGGCCAGGGCAAGGTAGTAAAGGCATTTAAAAACAAGTATTTTTAACAAGTGGACCAAAGGAGAGAAGGGAAGCCACCAGGGAGCGTGAAGGAGCAGGAAACTTTAATGGAGATTCATCTTCGTGTCAGAAAGAAAAGCTCAGCCTTGCAGTGCCCAGCTTTCTGATCCACCTGCCCAGATGCAAATGCGTATGCTAACACCAAGTGCATTTCACGTGTGTTATCACAGTGGCCTTTGCAACAGATTTGTAAGAATGATTACCCGCAGATGGGGCTTATCATGGCGGAGGTAAATCTGGGAGAAGGAGACTTGCCCGTGACTGCCCAGTAAGGCAAAATCTGACCCGGGAACCTCCTGGAACTGGACTGCATCCGTGTGAAGTAGACACTTGTGCCACTATTCACACATTTATTTATTTTATTTATTTTCGATTTATATCCTGCCTTTTTCCTCAAAGGACTCAAGGCAGCTTACATCATTCTCCTCCTCCATCTTATCCCCACAACAACCCTGTGAGGTAGGTTGGGCTGAGAGTCTGTGACTGGCCCAAAGTCACCCAGTTGGCTCCATGGCCGAGCGGGGACTAGAACCCAGATTGTCTGAGTCCCAGTCCCATGCTCTTAATCACTACACCACACTGGCTTATGGATCTCCGAGTACAGCAGGGGAAAGTAGCGAGTGTTTGGAATGGATTGCGCAACAGTCAGCGGGAGAGAAAACTGGGCTAGGCAGTCTGGGTGTATTAGTAACTTGGGCAGGGCAATCCTGCGGACCCTGTAGCGAACCCAGAGGCTGTAGGATAAACGGGAAATTCCCCTTTGAGGTCAGAAGCAGAACTTTGGCGGAGATTATTTATTATTACGTGTATATCCTGCCTTTTCCCCTCTTGCAAGGAAGCTGAGATGGCTTATCTGGTCCCCCTGCTCTCAGATCCTTGCTCCCCAGAGAAGGATTCATGTCCCTTACCTCCCTGACATCAAAGCTGCCATGGGAGAAAGCAGGGAAGAGGGGGCATTGTTGCTTTGGGGTGGGTGGAGGAGGGGAGGCTCCAGATCAGGCGGTTCCAACGCCCTCCCCACCCTACCCCGCCCTCCTCCAAAGTAGGGTGTCTTTTAGCCCAGCTCTAGTGCTCATCTAAATAGGTTATGGGGAGAAATTCCAGAGTAAGATGAGCTTTCCCTTCTGCTTTGCTGCCAGGAGCCCAACAAGGCTTCAGAAAATCCAGACTACCTTGACATGAAGATACACTTGTCTCTTAAAGGAAGCCAGTTTAGTTTTATCTGTTCATTGCATTGGAGAAATGTCTTTTTAAAGTTGATTGACTTAATCCTGTCTGCACTAGCTACATGTAATTCTTAGGCAAACTTGCATCTTTATCTTAGACGTTTTCACCTGGCTTTTGCATACACAATTTTATGTGCCTGACTTTTGCAACTCTTTACAGCAAGACTGACCTTAAAATACTGCTCTGAGCAACTGGGATGAAGGGCGAGATGTAGACGTAACAAGCGCAACTGTGAGATGTTGCCTCGGCTCCGTCTCTCACGCCGTCCCTACTTGCTCTCCCTTGCAGTGGCAGATACGCGGATGTCCGATGAGATTGTTCACAACCTAGATGGCTGCGAGATCTCCCTGGTTGGAGAAGAACTGGATCCTGAGAGAGAGACTCTCCTCTTGGATGGGGCCTCTTTGCAGCAGCGAGGGCTGGAGCTAATCAACACCTCTGCCTACCTCACTGTCACAGGTGGGCCCTTTCTTTTCGGACATCATCCGTCTCCTCCCTGGCACAGACCAGAGATGCCGGCATCCCCGGTGCTTTAGTATCCCGCTCACTCTGCTGACAGCATGCATAGACTCAGGGCCAAACTAGTGGGGCAGCAGCATGCCCATCCGTCAAAACTTCCTCTGCCCCAGTCTTGTTGAAGCAGGTGGGTGCACCAGAATTGGAGAGCAACAGGTGCTTGCTGCTGGAGTGCCTGTACAGACCACTCTCCTGCTTGCCTTTTCCCTCCTTGCAGGTGCTCTCCTCCTTTGCTGAGCTCTGATGCAGGACGTGTCCCGAGGGAGGCGCTGGGAAGACAATAGAGAGGGTAGGAAGGGTTTAGCATGGCTGCCTGGCTGCTTGCCAGCCATCGTGGAGCTGTTCCTTCGATGGTTCTTGAGCAGACCCTTCTTTCCATGGTTTCCTCTGGGCTTGCTCCTCAGAGATGCAGAAATGCAGAAAAATACATTGGTAATGGATGCAGAATCCAGCATCCCGAGCAATTTCCTTAAAAAGCAAGTTTCTAACCTAGAATGCTGCAAGGGTCAGGTCTGAAAGCGAGCCAGTGATGCCTGGTGAAATCTGAAGCAAGGGGTGGGATGAGTGGAATTCCCAGGTGCATCAGGGCCGGGCTCCGGTTTAGATCTCAGAAAATCTCTTCCATGATTCATGGCAAATGGAGCACATGATGTGCAGATTAATGTGGTTTATACAGACTGTTGCTTTCCTTTTGTAACGTTTGGGCTACATGGCTCATTTCAGTACTTAGTTGCACGAAGACTCAATTGGCCTTTGCCTTATTCTTGGCAAAGTCCTTGGAGAGGTGAGCTCCTTCTGCTCCACTGGATACTTTTGTGATAACTACAGCTGGTTTGGAAAGTGATCGCTGCGCCATTGCAGAAGAGACCTTCCCTTGCTTAGCGGAACGTTAGCCTGCATCTTTGCCTTGAGTTCTCTCGCTTCTTTGCAGAACTCTGCTGCCAAAATAATTTGCCTTTTGTCACTCAGAGCACATAACACCTCTTCTCACAGCACGGGCTCCCCCTTCCTCCTGTAGCTCGCGCAGATGCCTTGTCCGCGCATTCAGCTCTCAGCTTCGCTTTATGCTGCATGACTTCGCAGCTCTCGTTTTCCTCCGTTTCCTGCACCATGGCTTTCCACTCCCCTGCCTCCATCCATCTGAACCTCATGGCAGCTTCCCACTGGTTCAAGGCCGTGTCCCAACTCCTGGAACTCCATCTGTGTTTTCCACACCTCCACAAGGCTTGCTAGCCCAGTGTGTTTCCAAAGGACTTCCTCGGGGCACTATGTCTTAAAAATATCCAATGTATGAATATTATTAAGGCACATAAGCAAATAATGGTAAAAAGTGTATGACAGTAAATGGGCAACACATCTAGCATAAAAGCTATCCAAAGTAGGTTAGTTCTTTGCAACTAGAATCTGGAAACCTTCGGTTACAGAGCACAGCTGAGGACCCGGAGCTGTGCACTGAAGGTCAATAATGGGCCTCATTAATATGAGGCAGTTTAAACATTTTATTTCATGTTGTTTGTCTTCCTACTATTCCACACACATTTAGTCTTTAATCTGTACACCATTTTGAGCACTGTTGCTAATCGAAGAGTCTATAAGTGCCTTAAATTAAATGAATACACGTTTATATAGTCAATGTGTTTTTTGAGATGTTTGTCATATTCAGTGTTCTTTTTAGCTTTTAAGATTACTAAAAATCCAAGGGTTTTTGTTCTGTTTTAAAGTCCAGTGCTGTTACCTTTTAATTGTAGCATTCATGAGGAGACTACTTTCAAAATGTATTGTGAAGTTGAGTCAGCCTTGGGTTTAAGTGTCAACCTGCTAGTCAGCAAGTTCTGTGCTAGCAAGGAAGCGGGCAAATGGGGAAGGACAGCGCATTTTGCCCAGTCTCTAAGCTGCCGCAAGAACCGGGGTTCTGCCAGAGAGAGACTCCTTGTTGTGATTCCCCCTCGCTGGTTGGCGCAGCACACGCAGAAAATGCAAGGGCCAGCTGCCCCTGTGCGGACATGCTGTTGGTGTCGGCAGGAAAAGGAATCCCTCAGCCTCTTGCACTGAAACCCCAGGTGCTTTTCAACATCTTTTTAAAGTTAAACTAAGTCCACTCTTGGTTTCTTAGCATCATTTATGTCAACCAACGTTACCCATCAAGTGGGTGACATAAGCCTGGAGCACTGCACGGAAAGTGGGCGACTTAACACGGACAAGCAGTGGGAGCAATCCGTGACCATCCCTTGCTCACTCCGTGTCCCCCAAAACTCTTTTTATGCCACAGGACCTCAGAGGTTTGCTTGTGAGGTCAACCTGTCTGGAACCTCTGTGGGAAAAGTAGCAGCCCTGAGCAGAGTGGAAGACTTACAGGCGAGGGAAAGCTTTCCCCTTCTCCTTCCCGAGTTTCCCGCTCCCCTTGGTGTTTTGCAGTGATCAAGAAGCAGATCAGACTTTCATTATTTCCTCTGCATGTAAAGCTTGTATCCTGATATCCAGACTGGAGTTCAGCCAGCTTGGCATCCTTCCCCCTTTGATCTTCCTTCTCCATTTGTAGGTGTGGAGAGTATTGCGGTGTATGAAGAGATCCTTCGCCAGGTCTCATACTGCATACGCCACGGTGCTGCCCTTTATGAGAGAAAGTTCCGTCTTTCTTGCACTGAGATGAACGGGCGCTACTCCAGCAATGAGTTTACAGTTGAGGTACATCTGTCACAAGCAAATGCATGAAATTCAGAACTCCTGTGAGCATGGCTACTCCTGAAAGGAGTGAGGCCAGGCAGGTTCAGGGAGTAAATTTCTCTTTGCAGGTGAATGTGCTGCATAATATGAACCGAGCTGCTCACCCCAATCACATTATGAGCGCCCAGCAGTTCATGCACCGAGGCCACCATCTTCCACCAGAACTCTCCGGCCACAGCCTGGCTAACGTTCACCGTAACTCCAGTAGGTACCGATTACTATTCTGCATGGATTGCAAAAGGTTGGGGTAACATCCACATGCTTGGGGCCAAACCAGATGGCTCTCCCAAAGTACGTTTTAATTTTCTTCAGGATAGCCACAGGAAAGAGATGCTAACTGGATTGGGGCCTTCTCTAATCTGAGGAGGAGCCATAGAGGAGCAGATTCTTATTCTGGTGAATAAATTGAACAGAATGTAGAAGGGGAACTGAGCAGGCTTTTTTTGAAGGGTTTTCTGGTTTTTGCTTTTCTGTGCCATCACCGAGCTGTCACAGAGCCAGTCTGCCTGGAGTCCAGGGGAGGACAACGGCTGCATTCAAAATCCATCTGAGCAAAATCAAATGCCTTATAAGCAATTTGCAGAATTGCGATGAGAGTGAGAAGACTGGAAAGCCTCACAGTGAGCTTTTGCCTGGAACATCAGGTTGCTCAGTCCCTTGGAAAGTTAAATTGCCTCTTGCAGCAAAATCACCTGCTGAGGCAGCTCTGGCTTTTCTTCAGTCGGGCATCTAGCAACTGTTGTGCAGACCTCCCTTTCTCAGGGTTAACCTCTATTGTGCTATCTGGGCAGGGTGCCCTTAAAGCCTCAAGTCTGTGGAGGACACAGTGGCCTGGGCTGTAGAATGAGGACTGAACAAACAAACGCCCCTTCAAAGCAGGGTGGCCAATCTGCGATTGCCCTTGCTGCATTCAGGCCATTTATATTTCTCACTGGGACAGGCTGTTAGTTTGTGTGGATGTGCTGGGGAGAATGAGAGTATATTTGCTAAGATGATGATGTGCTTCAAGCAATGGCGGTTAGCCTGCTTGAAATACGGGGCGAGGCGTATGGCTAAGCCAGTGTTTGATTGACCGGCAGCTGGCCCTGTCAGGCACCCTGGAAGCGTGTAAGGAGCTCCCGTGAGTTGTCTTTGGATAGTATAGTTATCTTTGCACTTTTACTACCGACTGCCAGATCAGCTTTCATAAACAATGAGGTTTTGCCTGAATGTCGTCAACGAGGAAGCCAGCCCTCCTTCCCTCGGCAGAGAATCCTAAGCCTTAAGATGCTATTTTTGCTTGCAAAGCCATAAATGGCTTTGTGCCCCTTTCCCTGGCAACGGATCTGTTTTTGATATGCTTGTGCTTTCAGCAAAGGAGGCAGTGGCAATACAGAAAATACTGAGCAGGGCAAGCCACTGACTGTTGCAGCGGGAGCTGAGAAAGCAACTGCTTTGGTAGTCGGGACAAAAGTCTGTGGGAATACTAGGAACCGAACCTGTGAGGTGTCATCTGCAAGCGGAAAGCACCTGATGGGTAGGATTGTCCTAAGAACTGCTCTGCTGAACCTAATTCAGGGTCCCTGTTGTGCAGCATTCTCTCCTGATGGTGTGCCAGATGTTTTCAAGCAGGAAAAAGGAAGGCAGCAGCCCTTCCCCGCTCTGTCTCCCAGTAACTGGCACACTGCCTCTGAAGCAACCATGCTGCTAGCTGCTGATAGACTGACCTCTTTGAAGCTCTGCTCCTTTTCCAAAGGCATGGCAGTCACTGGCCAGCCCCCAAGCTGGAGAGGTAGGATTTAGGACACTGGAAATCACGTCCCTTCTAGTGAAGTGGCGATGGCTGGCCCTCAGGAAGCCAGGAAAGACCCCAGAAAGCAACAGCTGCTGGGGACCAGGTATGGCGTACAGACATACCTGGATGACATACGCTGTAAAAAAGCTAATTGGGGTAGGCATCTGGCCATGCAGGCGAGTAGCTGTGCTCATCCTATTATTTTCGCTTTTAAAAGGTACCTTGTCCTGTAACAGTGTCCCCCTCCTCTTTCCTGCAGTGGTCCCCAGCGCCGCCACCATAATCATTGTGGTGTGCGTGGGCTTCCTGGCGCTGATGGTGATCCTGGGTGTCCTGCGCATCCACTCCTTGCACAGGCGAGGGGCCGAGCGCGAGTGCACGGGGGACTCGGCTGGGGGCCAAGCGGGCGCCCATGCCAAGGAGAGCGAGATGTTCTGGGACGACTCTGCCCTCACCATCATCGTCAACCCCATGGAGGTGAGTGGGGGAGGGCTTGGAGGCTGGGGAGGGGCCAAGGGGACCCCCGGCAGAGCCCCCAGTGGCTCAGTCCCCACACCCGCTCTCTCTTCAACAGTCGTACCAGAGCTGTCAGGAGAGGGCAGCGGAGCGTGCCGAGTCCAATGCCAGAGAAGCAGCTGAGGAGGAAGAGGAGGAGGAGGAGGAGGAGGAAGAGGAGGAGAGCAGAGACTCCGAGTCACCGGGCAGCGACGCTGGCGATGACCAGCACATTGTGGGCAGGCGCGATGCCCTGTGCCGCTACTAGGGTCGCTTGCCGAAGGAAGGCGAGGGAGTGGAGCGTCAACGAGCGGGAGGTCCTACGTGTGTCTATTACGCGGGGGGATGGCCTGTCCTCACACCTCCTTTCCTTCTCCCCCCCACTCCTCCCCATTCCCCTCCTCCTTTCTCCAGCCCTCTTGTTTGCACAATGCAGATAGGCCTGAGATGGTGCATGTGGCAGAAAACTTAACTGGAGCCTTCCCCGTCTGTTAATCGTCGTGGGGCACAATCCGGTGGGATGCTCTCTGGGGCAAGCCTCTTCAGAGCGAGGGGGGGCTGTGCGGGAGCATTGCTGCAGGAGATGCGTGTTGTTCGGGGGGCTACCGGAAATTCTGCTGCCCCAACCTGCCTGCCAAGCTGGTTGCTCCACCTTGCCTCATGGGGGGTCCACTGCTGGCCCCATCTTTTGGTAGGGAAGGAACCTTTCTTTTCCCCCAGATTCCTGGCTCTTCCTAACTCCTCAGCTCCTTCCTTAAATCAAGTCCAGCTGGGCCCTCTAGCTTTGGTCTCCACCTTACATTTCTCACAAAGGGCAAGCAGGGTTGGCATGCTAAAGAGCAGAAAAACAGAAATGGGAAGGGAGCTTGCAGGGGCGATGACAAATGGGGTACAGCTGAGGCCCCAAGATACTATATATATATATATTGTATATTTTTTCAATGTTGTTGTTTGAGGTTTATTCCTGTTTTCTTGTTTGATGCAAAGAAAAAGCCTGCAGCTTGTGTCGCTTTGTAAAATTGTCAATAATATTCAAACAAGTGAAGGAAAAGTGATGTGGAGAAGGGAATGAAGCAGCTTTTAAAATAAAAAAGGATTTTAAAAAATGTAAGGTCTGGAATGTTGGAGGCTCTTTCTTCAGAGAGGGGAAGCTGTATTCTCTCACAAATGCCCCACCTGGCTCAGCTCCTCCCTGGAGCACAACCGGCAGGCTTCCTTCTTCCCATCTGGCTCAGGGATACCTGCAGCCCACTCAGCCATGGCAGGCATCCGAACAGGGCAGGCAACCGAAGCCCAAAGCCAGAACTCTGCTCCATATTCTGGGAGGCAGGGCTAGATCAGGGGACCTTGCCGGACCTCTTCCGGGATGCTGGCAACCTGCAGCGTTGCTCCAGCACTAACTGGGAGGCTACGGAGGGGTGGAATGGCAAGTCCCAAGCTGGGCCCCACAGGACATCCAGCTCTGTTCCCAAGGCTTGTCCTCGGAGGTGTGATGGCTTCAGCCGTCTGGGAATAATGTGGTGGTGCAGGCAGCATTCTTGATTGTGGGGAGGAATTCTTGGTGTTTGAGGATGGAGGCAAGGAGCCTGTTTGTCCACTTTCTCCTATGTGGACGTCTGCAGTGTGGAACGCCTCAGGGATTCCTTCCCAAGATAGTCCCATAAGACCACCGTCCTGCTTTCACCCTTGCCCAGGACCCCAGGCCTGCTCTGCCAGTGCAGACATGAGTCTCGGTCCAAATCCCATGTCATGATCCAATGTGTTCGGAGAGAAGAGCAATGTCTCAGCACTGGTGTTTTATTGATAAAATATTAAAAATGTATTAACTTAATAGAGAATTTCAGTGTACCTAAGAATGCATTGCATTGTTATTCCTTTGCAACAAATGGAGCCGGAAGTTCAAGCACAAATGCACAATGCTGGACTTTGGTTTCAGGCTACTCTCCACACCATTAAAATGCAGCTCCCTCCCTCATGGAGGAGATACAGACAAGCTGCCTAGAACCCTCTCCTTCACGTGTTCCTTTACCCGTTCGTTAGGAATGCAACATCTGCACATAAACATCTATAAAACAAAGGCCACAGAAGGTGCCTAAAAAGCTAGACTGGAGCAAGCGCTCTCTCTACAGCAGGGAGCCAGATTTCCTGCATGCAGCTTTGTTATTTGCTGAGCTTCCCTGAGCAGGGAAAAGCAGGTAGACATGAAATGGAAGGGCACAGATTTCCTAGCTGCCCTCAGATGAGGGCAAGCTGCAGGCTCAAAAGAAAACTGATGCAGAAGCAGAGGAAGGGAAACTCACGGTCTTCCGTGAGAGCCAGATTCTGATCCACAGGCTGATGCAGGCCAGCCTCCGATTTGAGGCTAACCTTTCAGTGCTAGTCTGCTTCCTGCAGAATTTCTCCCTTCTCCCTTTGCAATTGCTGCATCTTCCCAGCCGATGGGTGGCCACACCCAGGCCCCAGCAGACATAACACATCCGCCATACTAAATAGCACGGCCAACAAGCTGAAACCAGGAGCAGCGGGAAGACCGTTTCAGCAGCAGCCACTGGAAAGGCTTTTTATCAATGTTGCTTTGGTATTCATTCCTGCCCAGCTACTTCGCATGACAAGCTCGGCATCTGTCCAACGGTACCTCCGATCCTTAGCACAGGATTCAGCACAGCAGAATTTCTCCTTCAGTTGTCAGCACTTGAAAACAATGTGCTGGCTGCCGGCCTGCAGGCTTTCTCGGCCAGCTGGTACTTGGCCCTAGAATAAGGAAGCCCGCCCTTTAGTAAGGCAGCATATCCAGTGTAAATGCACTCGGCCATCTTGGCCAGTGGTCAGGAAGCAGAGCGTGTCACATTTTTGTCGCCAAATGGATGGTGAGTTCATAGGTGACCATGACAATTGCTGCATTGGGGATCTGGCGAATCAGATGAGCCAGCAGCCCGCGGTAAAGAGCCAGGGGGCCCTCTTCTCTGGCCACAAGCTGCAGCGTTTGCACGAAGGAGCGATACCGAGAGCCCTCCTCTCGCAGTCGTGTCCGGATGACCTCTACAGGCAGAAAAGAGGGGGGAGGTGGTCAAATTTTATTTATTTATTTATTTATTTATTTATTTATTTATTTATTTATTAAAACATTTTTATGCCGCCCCATTCGCCTCGGGGCGGCTTACAACAAATAATAATAATAATAATAATAATAATTATTATTATTATTATTATTATAACATTTCTATGCCGCCCCTTGCCGAAACCTCGGGGCGGCTTACAACATGATAAAATACATTGAAGTACAATAGTACATAAATTAAAATAACATTTTAAAATATATACAATAAAATACAAATATATAATATAAAACATACACTATAAAACAAGCCGCCCTGGCCAAATAAAATTAATAATAAATTTCTGGCCCGTGCTCTGGGGAACGCTGGTTGGCAGGGAACCTGGTGCTCCTCCAGGCCAGGCCAAACAGCTTTGGGCAAGAGCATGGAGCCCATCCTGTAACTCACCATGTGGGTAGGCGATGCACGAGGCACACATCTTGGAGATGGCAGCTGCTGCCATCAGCCCACAGAAGTCCTGACTGTTGGGTGAAAAGGGAAGCGCTGGGGGCAGGAATTGCCGATGCTCCTTGAGCCGCTTCTTCAGTGCTTCATAGATAACAAAATGGATGATGGTTTCGGAGATTCCAGCATATGAAGCAGTGATCCCACGGTAAAAGCCTCGCAGACCCTCTGTGTAGTAAATACGCATGGCACACCGAAGCCCACTGGTGGACCTCTCACCTTTGGCCCTGCAGAAGGAGCAAGAAAGAAACAGGGACGCTCTTGTTTGGCTCTGCCTGTAAGCACAGCTGCCCATTCCCCAAGCCAAAAATACGGGCTTGGTCCAGAATTAAGCTGGATCAGTTGCACTGGAGAACATGCACTTCTGCAGACGTCTCCTTCCCTGGGCTGCTCTTCCAATCCCCCCAAAATGGGAGACCTGGCTGAATGGAGTGAACTGTGGGAGGGGGGCGAGAGAGAGAGGCGGACCCCCCAATGCTGGGTGAAGGGACTATCTGCAGGAGGAGCTCTCTCTCTTGTGGAACGCAGATAATGCAGCCTACTCTTCATCAAAACCTTGTGCCCCAAATGGGGATTTTGCAGTCCCCCCACCCCAGTAAATTCAGTAAACTATTAACCATGCAAATCAAGTAACTTTGTATGACCGTTTCTTATTTTGCATATTTTATCCTGCTTTGTCCCATCAAAAGGGACACTGGAGGCCTGTCCATGAAAAATCCTATCTACTCCTTGCTGGGCTTCTGTGCTCCACCAGGCATCAGCAGCACTTCCACGCATTGATTTGCAGATGTAAGAGGAGAAAGAGCAGAGCTTCTTGGGGTTCTGATTTCTGTACTTATGGGGGACTGCGGCATAGGCACAGCCTGCCAGTTATCCGTATCTGTATGAGCAGGAGTTCTTATTTGGTCTGCTGGCTTTCTAGGATGCCTGGAAATGAATTCTGCCATGGAAGTATCCGCAGGGCTCAGTGCCACAAAATGATGTGAGGGACGGGGTGCAGCCTGCTTTGCTCACCTTGGTTCCAGTTGCATCCTGGTCTTCACCAGCCAGATGGGGTTGGTCAAGGTGGCAGATGTGGCTCCTGGAGAGAGGAAGAGAAAAGATTGAAGATACCAATGCAAATGTTAGTGATTTGTGGAATGTCACTACACATTTATGTGATTTTCCTGAGATTTTCCAGGACCCAAATCCAACTAAAGTTAGATCACTTTCATATCCAGTCCATTCCAGCAGGAGAAAAATAATGGGCTTAATTTTCCCATGCATTTCAGTGCCGGTGTGCTTAGATCTGGCTGAACTGTACCTGAGTCTCCTTTAGCTTAGCTTTGCCTTTCCCTTGTTGAAAATCCCTCAGTACCTCTGCCCTAATTTTATTTCTTGGCACTTGCCAGAGAAAGAAGAAAGCTACGGCTGCTTCAAACATGATTTTTTATTTATGAAGGGAAAGGGAAGAATCACAGATGAAGGTGAGACAGTCCTCTGCAGCCTGGGAATCTGCAGCTTCCCAAAGAGGAGTAACACACATGCAAATCTTCCTTCCTTCCCAAAGAGGAGTAAACACACATGCAAATGACAGCCCAGCAGGAGTCCTGGTGTATTCCCTTACTCCTACAAGTCATGACATAAATAGGTTTGTTTGTTGGCTTTTCAAATATTTTGATGGTTCACTAAAGGTCAGGACACAACATGCAATATGGGCCAAGGATGCTGTACACACGATACGCAATTTACCTGCACAGGCTGCTGAGAGCATGTGAACCTTCTTGGACTCCGGCACAAGCACCATGTTGAGTTTCTCTTTAGCTCCTGCATATGCAGCAAAATAAATGGCCCTAGAAAAGGGAGGAGGGAATTGGACACATTTAAGCTCCTTTTCCAACAGAAGCAACAACAAAAAACCAGATTCATGCTTTGATACCATTGTGCCACTGCTCAGATTTAGGGATTCTTGCTTTGACTGGTTTATAATGAGAATGTGACCTCTACAATGGCCAAAATCCTCATCCACAATAATAAAGCTCTTCTCTCCATTAACAAGGATCCATTGTTTGCAGAAATAGGATGAAAGGCTCAAAGGCTACTCAAACCTCTGTAGAAAAGCAGGCATAAAGCACACGTATACAAGTTTATGGGCAAATACCATATACTGCCCTACTGCATTGCCAAACCAACCAAAGGTCATGGCAGTTGATTCTCCACCACTTCCTCCACCTCACCCCAGGCCAAGGTTATTCCTTCCTCTGTAAGGGCATGTCAGGTTGGTGGCAGGAAGAGCCCCACCCCGGCTGGATCCAAAGGACGAGGAAACGATCCTGAGCATGCAGTTTTACCTGGAAGGGGCAACTCCAATAAGGTTTGGTCCCAGGCCTCTGAAAAGGGAGCGAACGCCTTCCTTCTCCAGAATGGTCCTGCGAGAGGAGGGAATGAATGACTGGATTACAGTTTGCCCTCTTCTGCGTGGGTAAAGGAGAAGCTGCTGCCACAGATGGAGGTACAAAAGGACCTGGAGGGGGGCACTCCATGAGTTATGCGCGCTTGCCCCTGCCGCTCACCTCAGCAGTTCAAGGGCTCCTACAGAGGGAAGTCCGGGGCGGATCAGTGCTCCGTTCACCCCCTGCAACTGCACTGCAGGAAGGCAAAGGGGCCGCAAGGCCAGCGAGGAGGACTGCAGGCGGGTCTTCACAACCTCCAGCGGGCAGGTCAGGATGGCTCCGGCTGTGCCACCGAATCTGGGCAGGGAGGGAGGGAAAGAGAAGAAATGCTGACTCAGCGCCTGCTTCCCCACTGAGCTTTCTGATGCCGTCTCCGTGGCTGTTACCTTGACTTAACAGTCTGTGTCTGAACGCGCAGCTTCCTCTGTGATGTTTTAGCGGCTCTCCATGCATTACATTTTGAATATAGATAGCAGAAAGCAGAAATAGCTGAGACGTATCATGCACTTGTCCATGGCCTGGCCGGGGCTTCCTGCTGAGCTCGCACAGTGGCAAAAAATGCCCTTGGGGTGCAGTGCCCTCAGGAACACCCCCCTAACTATTTTGGATCGTTCAGAGATGGCTGTGTTCTCCGTGGAACTTGCTCTACTCTTTGCACAATTAGCGACCTTGACATGAAGAAGAGGCCCCGAATATTCCCTAGCATTGCCAGTCTGACTAATGCCAATTACTGGTTCGCTCTGGACAAGTACAATCAAAAGCCGCTGCTGCTACAGGGCGACTAATTGTGTGAAGCAGGCATGTGCGTGAACGAACCACCCCAAACTGGGGCAGCAGCTCCCGCCACTTCCCCTCCCCCCCCCCCCTCCCCTCCCCCTGCTTTCCCCAAGCAGTGCCCTGCGGCATGGATGTGCGTCACACACACACCCTCTGCATCTGCAACTGATTAACATGCTGACGTCTCAGCGCCAGCCTGCTCTGAGCAGAGCCAGCCAGGTGCAGAAGTCCAGGGGCAGGAGGCCCAGAGGGCATGACCTCTGCACACCAGAGCTGCCCAGCAGGCCCCGTTCCCTCACGGCCCCCTGCCTTAGCGCCATGGCAGCTGGGCCCAGGGCTGCACTGCAGCCCGGCAGCGGCCCTTCCCTGCCCCTCCGCATGCACACGCGGGGCAGATGGAGCTCAGGTCCCGAGCTCACCACACCGCAGCACCAAGTGCCACAGGCAGGCTTCTCTGCGTCAGTTCTTGGGCTGAGTGTACCTCTATTAGTTTTTGGGGTTCGGGCAGTTAGCTGTAGGGACTGGGACCACTCCTCCCAAAGGACAGCATTCCAGGAGAGATTTCAGACCCTGACTGGGAATGGCCAAGGCCAAAAAGCTGTGAGATACCCCACAGCGGGTGAGGACCAGGCCACCTCTGGTTGGTGGGGGGAGATACTATGGAATGGGAGCCCTGCTGACCCCCAGGTCCTCTGTCTTGCCTCCTGGCTGTCAGTGCCTTCTTGCTGGCCCACCCTGAGCCAAGCAGCCAAGACAGCAGCAGTCGCCGCCTCTACTTGCCTTGCCCCTCACTGGGCCAAAGCTCAGATTAGATTGGGGGGGGGGTGCAACTGAAAGGGCAGCAGCAAGGAAGTGAACCAGCTCAGGGAGGGGAGACCACTGAAGGGGTTTTCCTCAGGTTTCTTCTTCTTTACTTCCTCTTCCTCTTCCTTTGGCAATTGATGAAATCAGGAGCTACTACAGCTAGTTAATGAAGGGGCAGTGGGGGGGAGGGTGATGTCCGGCTATGGAACCAAAGACAAGCAATACAGCTGCTGTGGAGGAAAGCAGGACCAAAGTGGAGGGGTGGTGACCAAACCACTGGAGGGATTGACCTGGTTCTCATGTAATAACAGCAAAGAGGACAAGTTGAATATGGGTTGTCATTGAATTGTGGGTTGTGGTTTTGTGTGAACTATGGATTGTTAACCACAAACAACCCAGAGTTCACAACCCAACAAGCCATGGATTGTTCATAGTTAACTCAGTTGAACCATAGTGCAGGGTTGACCCATAATGACAACCACAGTTCAAAAACAAAGCACACTTAACCATAATCTGAACTGTCATTACATGCAAACCAGACCAATGAGTGTATCCTCTGGGGAAGAAGAGCTGCATGGAAAAAAAGGGATGTAATTCATATGCTGGGTTAAAATAACTTACTGAATGTTCATGCAATGCTATTTCTCTGATCCATTCTCCAACACCCTTTGGCCAGCCAGCTCCATGACCAGACAAGGGAAACCAAAGGTCTTTCAGAGTTTCACAAAACTGGCTTCCTTTGTCCAAAGACTTAATTATTGTATAACCCCTGGCTTGAGTGACACCATAGACAAGCAGTTTGTGACCCTCTCTGTGTTGCATTGCATTGCTAAAGGGACACAGAGCAGAAGCAGCACAGAAGCCTACGTGCAGCATCTACACATCTAGCTAGCACAACTGGTATGAATAAACCTATAAAGAATGGCACCTGCATGATCACAGTTTGGCTCTCAGTAGTGGCTGGAAGGGATACAGGATAGTGATAGAACACTAGCAACAAGTGGTGTTGCCAAGAGGACGTGTTTTGTAAGTCTGCCCTTCTCCATTATTTTTGGCGTAGCTTAAAGCACATTCCCCGTGCATGGTGTGTGTGTGTGCGTGTGTGTAGCCTTTTGGTGTCATCAGTCAGAGTCTCTTGACATTCAGTGGCAGGTGTTGCAGCCAGCAGCATCTTGAATTAATATGGCGGCCAGTTCCAATGGCAGGTCTAAGACAACACTGAGCAAACGGCATGAAATCCTGGGGACACGCAAGGCAAATGGCTCAGTGCAGCTTATTAGACCCACTGAAAACTCAGCCTTGCTTGACGCATTGCTGAACATTTTAAGGAATAATTTGTATCTTTCAGACTGAATCATCCACTTTGAAATCGGCTACAGCCATGCGGAGAAAGGAAGGGTGGGGAAGAGGGGATGTGCATCTCTGTGAAAGATCAGCGAACAATTCTGCCTGTCTAAAAAGCAAAGGTGACATCAGCAGGCAAACAATTGGGAAACACCTTGGAACTCTCATTACAGGATCATGTTGTAGTCAAAAATGCTATTTTCTATGACTCCTGCACTGAAAGGAAGGCTGCATAGCAAATGTCTCAGACAAACAAGAACTGGAATTATACAAACAAACAAGAAGATATTCCTACTTCCTCAGGGGATCAGCAAACACCACCAAGCTTTCATAGCCTTCTACATGGCATAGATCTACCTCAGTTGGATATTGTACCACTTGCCCAAAACTCACAGCTAATCAATGCAATTGCACAGGCTTCAACCACATGGACACATTTAAATTAACTGCATTTTTCTCCGAGTCAAAATGCAAGAACCTGGAGTTATCCCATGAAACTGACTGGCAGGCAGTTCAGGGCAAATAAAAGGAAGCACTTCTTCACGCAGCACATAGTTCAAGTACAGAATTTCCTGCCGTGATTGGTGATGGTCACCAATCGGGATGGCTTAAAAGAGGATTGGACAAATTCATGGAGGAGGCTATCAGTGGCCAGTTGTCTTGCTGGCTGTGGGCTAGCTCCATCACCAGAGGCAGCATGCCTGTGTACTCCAGCTGGGTGGGTGGAAGTCTTTGCCCCATCCTGCTAGTGGAATCCTGCAGACAACTGACTTGCCATCACGTGGGTGGACTAGATGAACCATTGGTCTGATCCAGCATGCCTTTTCTTATGTTCTCAATTAATGTGTGTTTTTTTAAACAAAATAACCCAAAGTGCACACCCATAAGGTCCCCTTAAAATGCACGTGAAGTGCAGGGGCCACAGTCTTGGTGCTACAACACTGGCAGATGGATGGGCAGAGATACATCCTTTTTAAATTAGATATTTCACTCTAGCATAAACGACTTCCATTCTTACATTTTCTAAATAAGGAACGACGACTGCCAAGAAACAGACCTTATCCCAAAGTCCCATGAATGCCTCCTTCAGCAGCTAGTGCTTTAGAACTATAACTCAAAGAGCAATGCAGTTTCTTAAGAACTCAGGATTTTCCAAGTAGGCATGCTTCAAACAGAATTTCAACATACCTGCATGCCCATGGGCTCTATGATAATTTCTGAGGTCTTTTCAGCTTTCATCTGGTCACACATGGGCACCAATTACTTTTGTCCAGACTTGCGGTCCAGTTTCAAAAGATATCACTAATCAGTAGCTCTGAGATGTTAAGCTACCAGGCCTAAGACCTATTTCTTATAAACAACGGATGTTTTTGGTCTGCAAAACTTCACACTGCAAGATGGAGCTCTCATGACTAATGCTCCTCCATATGAACCCCGTAAAACAAAATGTTCTATACCAAAGGGAAGAGTTTCAACCTAGGCTTTCCCCTGACATGGTATTTTAAAAATATTTTTAATGGAGGCATTCTCAATTTTGATATCTACTCATCTGCACATGAAAAATAACTGTTCAGAAACAGGTTATTGTTTCTCCTGCTGCTGAGCTAAAGACAAGTTTCCAATGCTTCAAACAGAGTCTAGATGTCTCACTCCACTCCATCTTCCTTTCTTGTCACCTCATAACTGCTTTCTTCTACGACACATGCTTGTAAGCCTCAGTGGAAGCTCTGCAGCAGACAATCTTTTCAATGCATAAAGTAAAAACAACAAAGCAGAGGAACAATTTGCTCAAAAAGCAACAGATAGATAAATCAATTAATTGCAGTTAAATTTTCCATTGGATGCAGCAGTGTCTGTGGTTTATCTGGCAGAAAGAAGCTTGTTATTTGTACCCATCCAAAGGTAACCATTCTGAGTTCCTTTCAAGCTTTTCAATATTTTCCTGACTTGCCAGCTTTTACAGAAAGGGGAGATATTAACTCTCCCTCTATACTTTTCAAAGCACTTACTGCTGTGGTTACTGCACTTGTCTGACAGTTCTAACAGCCAGCAAAATATTTGCAAATATAGGGGCCAAGAAGTAAATGGAGGGAGAATTTGTACAACTTACAAGGACTGCAAAAATATCATAAAAATATATAATCCAGGTTGTACTTTTTGAGGCTCCAGAAAAAAAGCAGTGAACAAGAAGGTGTAGCAAATGGAGTGGGGGCAGGGAAATAAGGGTTATGCTGTGAAGGACACAAGATACTGGTGGAAGGATCAAGAGAAGAAGTGGAAGAACAAGTCGCAACGAGCCCACTCATCCGGCAGGTGCACTGAGGGTTGTTCAGTGAATCCATCATGGTTAATGTGCAGGGTGGCTAAGCATGCTGTGCAAACCCACCCATAACGAGATTAGAGGCTGAGAAAGGGAAATAGCAAGTCAAAGAGGTAGAAGGGAAACAAAGAGCTAGACTAGCCTAGGGAGGGAGGGACAGAGTGATTGACTTTCCTAACATTTCCAAGGCCTTCTTAAAACAATTTTCTTTTTTCTTTTTTGGAAGGGGTCAAGGAAGGGAGAACTTCGTGGGCATTGCTGGAGGTGCCCATGGCCAGTGTGTTGGGGACCCCTGCCATAAACAGTCAAGCTGGCTGAGAGGGATGTGCCACAGAGAAGGAGAAACCCAAATCAATGTGCTCCAATGGACCCTGTTTATCAGGGACACTCACTACTTTTTGATTCTTGTCCCTGGTAAAATATTTTCCTTACCTTGACTTCGGCAGCCTTCTCTAACTTGGTGCCCTCCCACCAATCCCAGCCCACATGGGCAATGATTGAGGATCTTGGCAGGGTAGCCCAAAACATCTGGACAGCACCAAGCTGAGAAAGGCTGCCTAGGTGTAACACTGGATACACCTTTCAAAAATGTTTAGCTGGTGAACTGGGCTGCCGTTCTTGAGTTTTTAGTGCCTTTCTTAAGTCTTTAGAGATGAAGGCCACAATCCTGTTCCAAAGATACACCAGCTGAGGAGCTGTAAGATTTCTTAGAAGGCCCGCTATCCTTGCAGAATGGGAGGTTCACCTCCACCACAGAGCACCAGTAGAACACCCGGGCTGCAATGGCAAAGGCCCACTGCAACACCCGGGTTGCACTGTACCACTGGTGAAGATGTGCTGCTAGTTGGCCAGAATGGCAGAGGTGTGGGCAGGATGTGGGTGACATGGGGAGGGGTAGGCGTATGCCACTGGCCCATCTACCGCCGGCTTCTCCTAGCATCGACAAACACAGGGCTAAACCACAGTGCTCAACCAGGTCAAGCGGGTGTGGTGTCAGGAGGGGCCATGCCGTCTCAGGGAATCTTTGTGAGCTGGATGAGGAAGCCCAGTAGGCCAGATTAGGAGGTTGCTCCTAATCTGGGCTGCTCTGCCAGTTCATCTGACTCCACCTGGGCAGTTGAGCAGGGCACACTGGCTCCAAAGGGGCGATCCAGAGACAACAAACAAGCAAAAAGGAGCAGCTGCTCTTCCTTGAAGGAGCAGCTACCAGTGCTGCCTGCTTATCTGCCCTCCACCACCTGGTTGTGTGGTTGGGAACTGGCCTCAATCCCTAACCAACATCTGCAGAAAGAACTCTGGTGAGCAAGCAAGTTGCTGTTCCTTCTAGGGCAGCCATCTTTGCTGCATCCCCCAGACCCAGGGCAAGCTGGCAGGCAGAGCAGGGGCTCTGGATTTTTCTCTAGGCAACACTGTGAGCTTAATCCGCCTGGGGCCAGGGACCAGGAAGGAAGAACAAGAGCGAGAAGCAGCCTGGGCTTTCTCTTGTGTCCTTCCTTATGGGCCAGCGCAGGTGGCAGAGCTTAGAGGAAGTGCCTCAAGGCAGGGGTGGGAGGAGAAAACGTTGCTTAGTGTTGAGAATTGATGTGACCGGTGCAGAATAAGTGCCAAGAGAGTGAGCTGCGAAATCCTGTCAAAGCTCCCCTTCAGCATGAACAAAGGCTTACAGTCCCAGACATGCTTACCTAAGCAATGTCCTGCTGAAATCAGGGCAGTGGGCTATTCCTGAGCAAACATGATTTGGATGGTGTTATTAGGTGGCTTTATTCTGTCACCCTCAGCACATCAGCCAGGCAGGCACAAGAATACGGGTGCACATTACAAGGCTGCTGAAAGAGTCCTCGAGATAAAGCATTAAAGTCAGCCATATACATGCAGGATCCAAGAGGGGTAAGGCTAACCCTTCCTAAAGTAGCTCTTCCACGGGGATCATTTGAAAGAGTCTTCCCCTTAATGGGAAATGCTAGATTGCAACAAACAGGTTGGGAATAATAAGCTGAGACCTGTTGCCATTCTCCAACAAAAGAACCCTAAACTCCCAATACCCCTATTTTTTTACTAACTGTTGCAAACGTTTCTGCCAAGTTCCCTGCATAATAAGCTGCTTCTTAAAGAAGCCTTGTTACCGTGCAATGAATCAGACCATCTCTAGCGCAGTGCTTCCTATTCTTGGCCGGCCGCTGCTCTCAGAGCGTGTAAATTCTCACCCTGGAGGCTTCACACTGAAAAGGAGACGCTGCGGACCGAACCTGGGACCATATGCAAAGCACGTGCTCCGCCTCCATCTTTTAGCGGAGACCCACCGCACTTCAGGCCTTTCCTGAACCTGCCGCTGCAGCAAACCCACGCATGCTGACTCGGAGGTAAGGTGAACAAGCTGGGATTCCCTTCCCAATCGACCCGCACGGCCACCGCTGTTCGTCTCCCGATGCAAAACCCGCTTGCTGCCACTCACCCGCCTGCCACGAGGTGCAGCGCCGTGCTCCCGCCAGGCATCTCTCGGCTCTCGCCCGGCATTGGCGCCAGGCTTGGCTTGGCTCCCGCTCCCGCCGGCGTCTCCCTGGCGTCCGGGCGCCTCTTCCCAGCGGGGCTTTGGCGCGACGCGCTTTCCCTTCAGCGCAGAGCAGGGCCAAGCTCTCGCCTCGGCGCTCCAGGGCCCACCGCTCCCCTTGCAGCGAAGCCCGCAGGGACGTCCTCGCGCGGCGGGGGCGGGCCGAGGGAGCGCGGCGGGGGCCGCCTCGTTGCCTTCTCTGCGGCTCCTCCTCCCCACAAGCTGCCTAGACAAGCCCACAGGGGGCGCTGCTACTGGGCGACATTGTCACCCCTGCTGCTCCTCCGCCACTCTTTGCTGGCCAGATCTGAGTGCTGCTCGCCAGACCTCTCCCCGGAGCTTGCCAAGCCAAGGGAGGAGAAGCGACGGCGGGGCTCCTGTGTGGTAGGCATGTCAGGAGCTTCGGTCATGGCGGCAAATGGCCCTTTAGACTGGTGGCAGCTCCCCTCCCCGTGAGGGTGGCCCAGCTGCAGACGCCAGTGGGTGATCTCCATAGAGATCATGGGGGATTTGGACTGATATGGTGGTGTGCCTGCCGAAGCCCTGGCTGCTCTGTGTGGCTGAGACAATTCTTTGGCATACCCAGAGGGGAGAGCAGTGACACAAAACAGGAGCAGATTAAGAGAAGATGGAGGAAAGTTTTCAGTAGAATCTATTGAGCCCTGCCATGTGCATACTGAGAGACGGTGAGCTGGCAAAGAAGCATCTCACTGCCTCTGTTCGGTCTTCCAGTCGTCGCCTGGGTTGGCATCACAGAACAGTATGGTAGAAATTGGGACTGTATCACTTGAAATTGCCTCGGAGAGCAGGATTAAAACAAAAAACTTCCTCTCTCTCATGCTGGAAGGGGTTTGTTTTGTTTCCCCCCATGTGTAAGGAGTCAAGCGCATGACCGCCACCCCAATTGTAGTCTGAAGTGGCCAAGCCACATGGCTCTCCCAAATTCTGCAGATTCTTCAGAATGCTTCTGTGCCCAACCTGCTGCCTGAAGTGCATGTACATGCAAATTATCTGTGCAGCTGGTACCTGATCAGGCTGATGAGACAAAGCTAAGAGGTTGCAGTTATCCAGATTCCACAAAAAGGGAAAACAGGCCAATTAGCAAGCTAAATTTGGCGAGTAGTTTGCTGCCAAACTTCAGCAGCACCATTACCAAATCCTGCCACACTGTAACACCTGGACTGTGGCTTGTAGGAAAGGGATGAAAGTGGCCCCAGACCTGAAATTGCCCACCCCTGGCCTGGAGCTTTTTCAGTGGATCCTTGTGGAAGGTTCTGCCAACAGAGATTTGCTGGATCCTGACAACCGAATATTGAGACGGTATGTAAAAGCATAACTCTTTAAGAAGCTATTTGGTTAAAAGTTTTAGAGCACAATCCTGTGCATATTTAGAAGGCAAAAGCCCTACAGTTTCCAATATTCAGCCAGTGTGGCTGGCTTTGGAATGCTGGGAGCTGCATGACCCCTTCCCGTCTACGCACACATAGGATTGCGTCCTGAAGTAGCCCCTGTGGGGTATTTTTTAGAGTTAACTACTATTTTGATAATATTGTTGCTTTTCTCGTTTGGTTTATTAAGATTGTTCCAAGTATTATTGACTTGGTTTACCATCTTGAGTTCCATTTCAGAATCTTGGCAGAGTATAAGTTTTTTAAAAAAGTAAATCTAATCTGTGTAGTTCATTTATTTATAATATTTTATAGGTGCACATTTAAGGCAGCCTCACATACTGTGCCCACTTATGACTTAACATCCATATAACCACACTTTTTCTTAGTCAACTTTCTTACTCTGCAGGTGCAGTTCTTGGATATTCAAAGATCTGGATATTTCGGGTACTTCTATGGGCATCAACATGAATTTTCCAGGTGGGTGGGCAGTTTATGACTTATTTATATTTTAAATGAGGCTCAGCGTGGAATAGTTAATTTATTTTATTGTAAAATAATGTTGTAAGCTGTCCAGGGACAACAGTAATGGACAGCATACACATCTTTTAAATAAATAAATAAATAAATAAATAATTCAGTGGGTAGTGCACATTCCTCCAGCACACCTGTGCAGTTCCCACAGGTGTGCTTTGTGACTTAGCATCATATTCCATGACATGTAGAAGCCAATACACAGTAATTGAAGATCCTCGGCTAGTGCAGATGTGTATTATATTCAAGAAGCATCGTGGACTTCAACAAAGCTTTATTTGGAGAGAGAGAGAGAAACACACAGACACACACACCTAGGAACAAGAGAAAATCACACATGCACCAATACAGTGCACCTGACCTGAGAACGTCAGGTTTGATATTTTATGGCATCCTTGCCCTTATCATAACACTGACAGTTCTGCATGACCTGCCTGGAATGCTTCTGCTATCTTGTAAACAGACTCTAGAGCAGTCTTCCCCAACCAGGTGCTGTGCTGTCCAGATGTTTTGGAGAACAGCTTTCAGCATTCCTCACCATTGTCCATGCTGGCTGGAGGTGAAGGAAACTGATGCCTAAAACATCTGGAGGGCATCAGGTTGGGGAAGGTTGTTTTAGAGAGTAACAGTCACGTCTGTGTGGGATGTCTCTAGCAACATGAGGAGAAATGGGTGTGCTTGATCAGATTCTGAAGAAGCCTTCAGGACTCATTTAAACTTCCCCTTGTTATTTATCCACTTTTTACACCAGCTGACAATACAACTTTTAAGGAAGGCTCGAATCCCAATGCTCAGCGGTGTCTTTTTGGAATTACACATATTCCTGGAACTGCACGTTTTGTTTAAGGTTGCACATTTAACTCTGATAGCACCCTCGGAGACTGTAAAAACAAAGCTGGAGCTGCAGTTTGGGAGGTCCTGCTTTGGGGGAAAGATGCCTGAATCTGTTACAGCTGCTCACTTTTTGAAAATACTGATTTAGATGCTGTATTGAAATGTTATGATGTTCTATTGCATTGTATCTTGTATTTTACTGTATTATATAAACTGCTGTGACCCCCCCCCCCCCAGAGAACTTTGGCTATTAGGCAGAATAGAAATGAAATGAACAGGACTACTTTCCGGGACAGGTGTAACCCCTACTTTCCCAGCCATAGCCCTGCCTCCTGCAATATGGCATTTTCCCACACACATCGGCAGGGTAGTTCTTTAAATGTTTATAAGCTCAGAAGAAAAGATTAGGGAGACCCAAATCGTGAATGCCTGTTTTGCTGCTGCCTTTTCTATTGTGTAGATACAGCATTGCTCCAGTTCTGCTACACTGGAGTTCATGGGGCTGCTGCAATTACTCCTCGCAGGGAAGATCCACCAAAGGCTGAATGGATCCAGGAGGCTTCGCATGCCCAGACCCTGGGCACGGTGCCCATTGCTATGACTTCTTCAATGGCCAAAACCCGTGAAAGGCAGGAGTAGACTGGCTTCTCACAAAAGGAGTGGGCAGAATAATGGCTGCACAATAATGCCTCCTATGCTGGATTCTACAAGGCTCCTGACTTTTCTTTTTTTAAAGGAAAGCTGGGAATCTGGAGATTATGGCTTATGGTGGGGAGAAGCAACTTCACTTCCCTGCCCCTTCCTGAGGTCATGGATGGGTGCTTCCAGAAGAAGGCTTTCAGAGCTATCAGTCAAAAGGTATTTTGCACCTAAATGGGCTTTTCCTCTTTAGCAGATTTTCTCATTTTTCTGGCAAGAAAAAAAGATGGATAATATGGCAGGAAAAAACAGGTGGCTTAGAAATGGAAGTCAATGATGTCTGAACTCCTGATAAAAGTCTGTGTTCAAGGCAGTGTGATTTCAGAATAAAAGTCTCCTTTGGAAGCAATATGATATTTATAGCTCTCTGTTTATAGAACTGTGCTGGAACAATTCCCAACAGCACTCGGGGCCTGGTTCCATCCAGAACGTGTGCTGAATCAATAATGGTAAGAAATTGCACGATACTTGTGGACTCACTTCTTGCTACATCCCATTTCACTGAGGCTTATCTGAGACATTTAGAAGTCTGATGGGATAGGCTTATAGTCCCTTTGCAGCAAGAGAGCTGCAACTCCTGCCCGCCTGAGTAGATTTCAGCAACTCTCTATCTTTCCTTTGGGAGGAAACTTCCCACATATTTTATTGGCACAATAATTTCACAGTAGGCTCCAGGATAATCTGTTTGCAGTAAACTATTGTTGAGAAAAACTACTGAACTATTGTACCGGACTTTGGTATATCGAGGAGATAGGGTGGTCTAACACAATTGCTCCCTCTCTTTCTATATTGCTCCTTCCACCTTAAAAACAGAGCCCCTTAAAACCCAGTTGAGGCTCTCCAGCATGAGAGAATGTGTTATTCTAAACCGGTTGCTGAGCAGGATGGTACGACCTTGGAATGCAGGAGAATAACGTAAACAGTGGAACTTATCATCGTGAGACTTGTTTTGAATAGCACGTAGCATATTACAGCAGGTAGCACCCTAAAATTTAGGATAAAAAGCCTCACAGCTCTGCCCAAGGTGAGCTTCGATACAGACTTGACCAGGGAGAAAGGGAGCTCTGACCTGACCTGACTTGACCTAGGGAAGGTTCTGCATACTGGCCAAATTGGGGTATTCCTTATCACCAAGGGGGCTCCCGACAACGGACTGAGGAAAGCCAGCTTGCTTGATATTGTGTGTGTGTGTCTACACATATGTATATTTCTTCATGTTGTTATGCCTGCTTGTATTATTGTGCCTGCTTTAGAATAAAATCTTTAGACTTTAACCCACTTGTGTGGTTATTGCTTCTGGATCCAAAAAGAAACCTTGTCTTGGCAAAACAACCAGCTCTCTGCTGGACGTCAAGTTAGCCTGATGTATTATCGCAGAGAGAATGACTACTGACTCGATCTCAGCAGTATCTTAATATGAAAGAGCGGTGGGGGAAAAAAGCAAATGGGGGAAAAAGGAGAGGGAAGCAAAAGCTGCAGGGAAGGGGTATGATACAAGGCCCAGCGTCACCACATGTGAGGGCTTCTTTTGAGGCACACATGCGTTCAGCCTGTTCTGCTAAACCTGCTTAAAGTCTTCTGTGCAATTATGATGCGCCAAAGGTCCCAGGTGCACAGAACATCTCCATCCAACACTGCTGGGGCACACCTCACATATCAAAGTTGGAAGCTGAGGGACTCTTTCCTGCCTCAACAAGCACAGGATTGCATCCTTAGGCTGCAACCCTCTACACACTTATCTGGCACTGATTCCAGTTGAACCCAGTGGTACCCACTTCCAAGTGGATGTATAAAGGATGGCACTGTTAGAGGCCTTTTTCAGATGTTCTTTGTCAGTGTGTATAGGCCTGAGGAACAACCTTCACATGCATCCCTGCCCCTACACAGTTCAGCCCAATCAGCAGAAGAGGGGTTTGATTAAGGGGCAATAATAAAAGCTGAAACCACACAAAGGTAGCTTCTTATTAAAGTTGTAGGGGACTTAATTAAATGTGACTTACATTTGACTAAACACTGTAGAACTTTTGCCATGCCAGATAATACAGCTCCATATTAAGCCCCCAAGTGGAAGCAGCATTTTGATTCCAGCTGGCTATGGAAAGGCAGTTTGAACGTTTCAGCGGTGTGAATGTTTCCCCAAAATCATTTCTTTCAACATCTGAGATGGCACCAAGATGGCAGGCCTTTTATCAAACAAATACAGCTGGCTTTTATTTCAGCCTGATCAAGAATGTCTGCTGTAACCCATCTATACTCCTGTCAAGTCTCTTGCCATTCCCAGCTGGTTAACTCTTGCTGGGTTTTCTGCAGTTGGACCCTTTTTTGCAACTGCTGATTCAGCAGCAAAGCCTCTGTTTCCAGGTGAATGGTTTTGACTTTTTTCTTCCAATGAGTCTGGCTAGGCTGGACTTTTACCAGCAGAGCAGATTGGACCTGCTTAGAGCTTTTCTTCCAAAAGAGTTGATTTACCCCATTAAAATCAGCAGGCTTTTTGATCTGTGACATTACTGTTTCTGCAGATGAAAAAAGCAGTAGAGCCTAGTGGCCTGCCAAACTGTTAGTGCTTCTGTATCCACACACCTGTCCAAATAAATGTAGGCCTTAATTTAACATTGTCAGAAAATTATGAGATTACAGACAGATTACCTGTAATCTGAAGTTCAGATATTCTTTCAAGGTCTCATTAATTTTATTCAGCTCACTAACTACTGTAAATTTTAATTCCTAATTTGGACTCTGTTCAAAGTTCAATCACCCTAAACAGGAATTTCCACATGGAGTTTTTGCTGGGGATTCATCCATCTCAGTCAGATACCCTTGACATAGAGGCATTCACTATCTATTATCACTCAGTTCACTCATTATCACTCACCTTCTGGAGAGGAAGGTTCCTGTGTACTCAGGGAGTCCCAGACTTTCAGTTTTGGGAAGCACCTGAAAGGAAAGCAGGAGGCATCTGATAAGGGTGGGAGATATGGCCCCATTATTGGGGACAGAGGGAAGACTAACTTGTTTGCTCCTTTGGCTGGAGTAAGAAGGGGGCAATGTGGCTTCATCATGAGCCATATTATGATTCAGTCTACAGACATGAATCAAAACAAAAGGATCTCTATAACAACATTGTTTTTGTGCCTGCCCAGTTACAACTTTGTATGTTAGAAAAGGGGGCAAAAGGATGCATTTTCCTCACCTTTTAATTTTTTCTCAGATCCTAGAATCCAAAAACTTCCTCTCTCTTTTGCTGATTGGCACTTCTTCTGCATAGTGACAAAAGGTGAGCCTTTCAAAATGTTGGTGTTGGTTTTGCAATTGTTCTCCTGTCCACTCATTGACATCTCGAGCTATGTTTTCCAAAATAAAGGGTAGAAAGCAAATCCTTTAGAGATACAGATTGGCCAAACGCAGCTAGACTCCCAAAGCTTGATTTCTGCCCAGGGCATATTGCGGGAGAAGGCAAGGAACGCATCTAGCGACCTGCCATGGCATTTCCCCCCTGTATTTATATGAGCTTCGCCAGTGGATTCTGTCTGACCTCTAGTGGTGGTGGCAGGCAAAAGCAGTTCAGGGCAGAATGTTTTCAGTCTAATCCCTGTACAGGAAAGCACCCTTAATTTAGTTTAACTTCGCCTAAGTGGACTCCGGGGGATGGTAGAGGACAGGAAGGCCTGGAGGAATGTTGTCCATGGGGTCGGGCACGACTTCGGGACTAACAACAACAATTCACATGTATGTGTGCATGCATGCACATATTTATGGGAGTGGGTGGAATTGTCCTCACTGAGTTCTAATAACTTTGAGCCCTTTACCTGTCTGGAATTTCCCATATAGCTGTGCTGGTGAACATATAAACCACTTTCTATCACACCCTTAAACAATCTTTAAATAACAACAACCCAGTTTACCTACTAAAAGTGTGACTATGAAAGTAGATTTAGATGAGGTTAAGCGATTACCTGAGGAAATTATGTTTTATTAACATTAATAAATGAGTAATTAATCATTAAGGTGAAAAAGCTTCTGGAACTGAATCTTAAAAACAATTTAGCATACTACTTTGATCCTAATTATTCCTAGGGGTTGCATGCGATGCTATACCTACTTAGAATAGACCTGTTGAGTTCAAGTCTCTTTCATTGTAATGCTTCTACTCTAATATTAGATAAAACTCACTCCATCCATAGTGGAATCTTATATATTTCCTCAAAAGCGACTCTCACTGTTTCAGTGAGGTTATTCCATGGCTTAGTATTAAATACACCGGACATGTGGGCTTGGCGACCAGCCATTACTGCTTTGTTCATATGGCAGTCCGAGTCTTCTCCTCCGCAAGCCTGCTTTGCTGTTCTTTGCCTCATGGAAGGAGGCCCTTCTCCGGGAGCCCTCCGTGAAGGACATTAGGAGGGTGAGTACCCGAAGGAGGGCCTTCTCTGCGGTGGCGCCTAAGTTATGGAATGCGCTCCCCAGAGAGGTCTGCCTGGCGCAGTCATTATTTGCTTTTTGGCGCCAGGCCAAGACTTTTTTTATTTAAGCAGCATTTTAATTGTTGATTTTATTTATTGATTTTAACAACTTTGGCCAGGATGTCTCCAACTGCATTTTATTAATGATATTTATTTGTAAGCCACCCCGAGGCTTAGGCAAATTGGGCGGCATATAAGTCCGCTAAATAAAATAAATAGTTACACGAGCCTCACTGGCAGTCTGTCCGATGCTGTCTGCTCTGTCCAGATGCTGCTGATAGCCTCAGGTGCTCGTCCCCCCCACCCCGGGGGGGACCTCCTGACTGGCTTGGCTACCAAAGAGACCAGTGGCTGGTTTTTCCACGTCTGTGCCATCTGTAGGAGTCTCCTGCAAAACCTTGAGCGTGGGCAGGGGCTTGAGGGTTGGAAAGAAACTTCGTCTGGTCTCCAATGCCCATGTATAGGGCTGCACGCCTATTGGTTGGTTGGGAGCTTGGTTGTCTTCCCTAAACACGGGACGGCCCGCTTGCTTCTGAGTAAACATGCTTAGCATCGGGCTGCATGCACCATAGGGAGCACAACCTGCCAATGTGCACGCTATCGATAAGGTTCGTTTCTGGCTCCTCAATATGATATATGAATCCGGATATTTCAACAGCATAGCCCTTATTACATAGACTCAGAGAGTCAGAAGGGCCACATAGGCCATCGAGTCCAGCCCCCTGCTCAGTGGCGGAATCCAGCCTAAAGCTCCCCCGGCAGATGGCTGTCCTGCCTGTTTGAATCCCTCCAGTCGTGGCGAGCCCACCACTTGGAGGCGTGCATTTGGAAGCCCCTCAGCACACGCACACGCTTTGTCAATGCTCTCAGCTAAGTCCAACGGACCCTTCAGGGACAAGAGTTTAAGATTCCAGCTGCTTCGCAGGATTTATGCATGTTTATCCTGAAATAAACTTTGCGTTCATTCAGTGGGATTTGATTCCCAGTAAGTTCCATCCGGCCTCACTCTTTATATCACCCCCTCACCAACGCACTCTATACCTTGTAAAACACCTATATATCGCCCTACGAGGATAACACTTCATGCATCGTGGCCTCGAGTTCACGAAAGTTCGTGCATGATGTAACTGGATTAGTAAAGGTTAACGGGCCACACGTTTCACCGCTGTTTTTGCTGCAGTTGTCTCAAGTGGCCGCCGTATGAGCAAGCACGCTGACTCAGAAAAACATCCCAGTGGGTTCTCTAGGCCTCGCTCCCAAGCCACGAGCACACTAACTAGCCTCTTGGCTTCAGTCGGCTTTCATTCCCGAGTTAATATCGCTTAGAGCCGCGCAGTCAGCTTCGGCGCCGTAACTGCACTTCCTTTGCAAATAAAACGATCAGCCATTGCTAGATGCTTGGCCCTTTAAGGGCTGGCTCCGCCCCTGCTTTCTTTGCGAATGTTGCAAGCTCAAGGCAGGCTGGACTGTGCAGACAGGTATTGCTTCGGACTGTGAGAAAGAGGAGGAGGAGGGAGGGAGGGAGGGGGGCCCTCCTGCCACCCCCCGATTGTGCACTTGGCCAATCCCACTCGGGCGGACACAGGACACCCCCCACCCCCGGTCTGAAAGCTAGCCGAGAAGGTGGCTCCGAAGAGAGGCCGGGAAATCCGGGTTTTGCAGCGGGAGGAAACGAGGCCTTGCAAGCCTAGTGAGTTGGTTGGTTGGTTGGTTGCAGCCCCAAAGCGTGTGGGGGGAAGGAGGCTGGTCAGTCGCCGGCGGGGGCGTGGGAGGCTACCAGGAGCCCGGCCGGGCGGAGTGACGAGCAGCTGAGAGGAGCAGGAAGGCGGTCCCGGGAATCCAAGCCTGCTCGAGGGGGTGTTCTCCTCTTTCAGTGTTCGCTCATGCTTCTGAGGGCTGCTCCTGAGCCCACTGCTCAGCCCCGGAACCCGATTCCGTGCCAAGGTCAGGACCACGTAACGTAGTTATGAGGCCACCACGCCTGAACGTGCACGGAGTTGCCCCTCGCTCACTGAGGAGTTACCGCCGCCCAGCTCCCTGTTACGGGGATTAGGAGATGAGAGCCGCACTTGAGTTTACTGCTGCCGAATGCATGCTGAAAACGGGAATGTAGGTCGACACGAACTCCCTGATAAATGTATCTGCCTGATCCCTGTATTGGCTACATCCACATCCTTAACTTGTATGTATAAAAAATGCATTGTTGTGAAGTAGCTCGCAGTCCTGCAACTGTAATGTAATTTCACTTTAGAAATTATTGGTGTTAAGTGGTTCTGTTTGTGTAACAAGTGGGAGACAGTTATTTTGGATTAATTAATGCATGTTACATGGGAATAATGTTAGGTTTGCTGCACCAGCATGCATGTTGAGCTGTAGGATAATGCAAGTCTGCCTTCTGCCTCCTGTAGCCTGCTGGATATGATGGCCCATCTTGGAAATTCCACCTGTAGCTGCAGGAGAAAATTGCCGGGCCAACTCTGCTTGCCCAGTAGGTGGGCAGATGGCGGTTCATCAAATAACCGGTACATAATTTACCATGGCTTCTCCTTTGCACAGGTGAGGGCCGTGTGGGTGCAGTGTTCTCCTACCGCCTGCCATGGCAATGAGGGAGCTGGTAGAGCCAGAGTGTGGCGGCGCCAATCCTTTGATGAAGCTGGCCAGCCACTTCACTCAGGACAAGGGCCTGCAGCAGGAGGGCCTCCCGGGGGCCCTGGCTTGGCCTCCCACTGCTCCGGTGCCTGAGGGGGTAAGTTTAACAAAGCTGGAGGGGCGGTTTTTGAGATGTCCTTTGCTCTTGGATAGCCTGAAGTGGGAGAAGACACAAATGCAGAAAAGGGCAACCTGAGCAACCAGGTGGCTGGAGTAGCTCCCCTATGAGAAAAGGTTACAACAGTTGGGGCTTTGTAGTTGAGAAAAAAAGGCGACATAGAGATGTGTAACATTATGCGTGGTGTGGAGAAGGTGGGATAGATAATGCTCTACTATAAGGCTAGAATCCAGGGTTGTCCTCTGAATCTGAGTGGTAGAGATTCAAGGCAGATCAAAGGAAATATTACTTCTCATCATGCATAAATACTGCTTCTCATCATGCATCATCATATGGGATTTGCTACCGTGAGGTGTAGTGATGAACACCAACTTAGACAACTTTAAGAAAAATAGCATAAATTCATGGAGGTTAAGGCTGTCAATGGCTACTCCTCAGCATTTGTATAAACTACTTCCAGGACCACAGGTGGAATGGCTTTGATTGCTCCATGAGAGGGAGCACAAGTGGTTGTGCTCAGTCCTGTTTGCGGGCTTTCCGAAGGGTGAGATGCTTGAAAGCACTGCCTGATGATGTCATTGCACTAAGGGGACCTGGCTTCCACCCGTGGCAGCGATTGTAGTGCCCAGGCTGGGTCTCTTTCACCCACATCCCAGGTTGGAGAAACTCGCCTTTGCTTATTTTGTGTATAAGGCACAACAGTTTTAAAAAGTAGTTAGAAGAGATTACTGTTCTTTTTGGAAGAGGCCTCTCAGCCTGACACTGCTGTGAACTGCCTGCCTGCCTGCCTGCTTGCCTGCCTGCCTCATCTGAGGAAAAATGAGCTACGCCTTCACTGTGCGGCTTTGCCTTGTCTGAAATTGCCCTTGTGCAAGTCAGCATGTCACACATGAAATGGCTTTGAATCTTTTGGGGTTGCCACTGTGTCACCAGATAACAGTCCTTTCTCTTCTAAAGGTGTCCAAACCTCTTGGAAGAGCCTCTGAAGATGAAGTAAGTCTTTCCAGGTCCCTTTTCTCTCTCTCTCCCCCCTTCCCTGACTTGTTCTGCATGGTTTCCGCCATCTTGTGTGTGGCACACGGATGCACATGCGTGCACCCGCACTCATTTACCTGCATATTCTCCGGCAGCTGCTGGCAGAGTTCCTACAAGAGCAGAGTGGCCCCCTGCTGTCGCGTGCCCCACAGACGTTCAAGATGGATGATCTGTTGGCTGAGATGCAGGAAATTGAGCAATCCAGCTTCCGACAGGCCCCGCAGAGAGGTAAATATGAGTAAAGGGCAGCAAACGTCTGTCAGGAGCATGGAGGAATGGCGTCCATCACAGCTTCTTGTTGAGAAGCATGAGTCCCCTGAGGAGGGAACAGGTAGCTGTAGTGAATCTGTAGGGGAGAAGATCCTTTTGTGTGCTAGCATTTCTCTCGTTCTCATGGCTGGTGGGATGCTCGCGCTCTGACTTCTTCCTCTTCTGTCCCTCAGCTCCAGGGGTGGCTGCGCTGGCCATGTCCGAGAACTGGACACAGGAGTTCCTTGATGCTGCTGATCGGACGGATGATGTTCCAGCAGATTACAGTGAAGCTGATTGGTCCCAGGAGTTCATTGCAGAGGTTGCAGGTGTGGCTGGTGTTGGGAGGGAGAGCTCATTTCTTACCCTGCCACTCTTCTTGGTATCTTTATTTCTTGCTTATTCACATACTTTATCCTTCAGTATATCTTGCCTAATACCCACTGCATCTTCAGTGTACTTTTCATCAATCTGATGAGTTAGGCTGGTACCTGTGGAAAAAGTAAGGTTACAGTAAGTGAGAGTCCATTGGGGTCCAGCCTAATGGTGAAATTAGTAAGTCTTCACTACATTGTATCATGTCTTGTTCTTTTGGAAAGCTCTGCTGCATTTCTCTTTGGCAGTCCATTTTTTGATTTTTGGAGAAGTATATTCTAATCCCATGATTGCTTAGCTTCATGTGTTTTAGAGGAGTAATGGTATTAGTCTGTTACAGCAAAAATAAGGAAGTCTTCTAGCACCAGAAAACTAACATTTATTATGGTTTCAGTCAGAATTATTTGCTGAAAGCTGTTTATGCAATACAATGTGCAATATAAACCAATTGAAATCCCTGCCATTTTGCAGCCTTTCTGCATAAGAATTTTGTATCTAATCCATTGGACTGCAAGGGCAAACATAAGGAAACATAAGGCCAAACATAAAGTCACTATTACCCAACAGAGGTAGATCTTCTCCTTCTTGCTCAGAAAATGAGCTCCTGCAACCATCTCTTTCAGAAACCCATCCCTAAAGAATTTTTACAAACAATGATGCAATAGAAAAAGATCTTCCACCTTTTTCGGACAGGAAGCAAGCCTTCACTGACTAGCCTTTTATACATCACATACATAAAGAGTTGTTGAGAAGTAGATGTTGAGCCATAATTATATGGCCTCACTTTCTAAATGTTTCCTACGATCTTATTCCCGTCTCCAGCAATTTATACTGCTTGATCTTTAGCCTGTGGTCTCCTTCTACCATCTCACCTGAATATGTTTTGAATGCGGTCTCTTTCTATTTTATTTCGTTTTGTTGCCCTTCCCTAAGAACTTCAGTGAACAAGTGCTTTCTTGTTTATCATGACAGTCTTCTAGACCGTTATCTTTGCGTTCTTCTGAATTTCTTCAGTCTGGCATTCCAATTCTGTTAGAACCTCTCTGTTGCTTTTCTCTCTCCTTCCTACAAATGAAGGTGCAGAAGATGGGAGAATATCCCACCACAGGAGTAGGTGTTAACCACATCTGCTTACAGCCTTTCTACTGTCTTTGGTTCATGGGCTCTAGTTCAGTTATTACATTACATATCTATACTGCCTGTAGCTGAAGCTCTCTGGACAGTTCACAACATTCAGATTTCAAACAGGCCTGACTCTGCTTAGCTTCCAAGATTAGGCAGAATCACACACTTAGGCTGTGCAATTTACGTTCTGTTGATTCTAGTGAGCCATAAGTATCACTAACTTTAATTAGATCAGGACTAACTTTTTTTAAGGCTAGTCAAAATGGAACACACATATATAGGGTGTGTGTGTGTGTGTGTTACATTTCTGCCTCTCATTTTTGATGCTGAGAGTGTAACACATGCTGAGCTTGCTCCATATTTAATACTCAGCATCTCTAGCTAGAGAATTGCAGATGGCAGGGCTTGGAAAGAGGACTGCATGAGGGCTTGGGCTAGATGGGCCAGTGGTCTGACCTGGGATGCTCCCAGGGCAACTGGTTAGAGGGCACTGTGCAGTTATTCCGTAATTTTCTTCTTACTGGATTTACTGAGGTGAGAAGAAAGTTGGAAGAAGCAATGGGAAAACATGGAAGCAATATGAGAGGAAGACATTCTTACCCAGATCTTTTGTAAAAGTCTGTGAATGAGGCAGGGTAATGTCAACATAAAAAGCCATGTTTGGAAGCACTTTTGGTATAAGACAGGTTCATGTGTTCCTATGTAATCATCCTCAATAACTGTTGATATTTCTAAGTGGTGTCCAGTTGCTCATCTCCCTTCTTTCAGGAAGGTCAATAAAAACAAGTTTAACAAGCCTTTTCATTCTACTTCTGCAAAGATCCATTGTCTGTGTCTCCTGCCAAGTGGGCAGAAGAATATTTGGAACAGTCAGAGGAAAAGTTGTGGCTGGGTGAATCAGAAGATCAAGCACTGGCAGATAAATGGTGAGTACCTCTGTAATTTCTTCCTACACTAATACTGGTGTAGTTTTGAATTTACAGACCCAGAGTAGCATTTTCCAGTTCAGAGTTGGCACATCCATTTTATATGAAGAAGCAGTATTCTTCTCCTGTCCCAAACTGTGAGCTTCAAGTATGTCAGGACGGAGTGGTTTTCTGTTCAATATGTATTTAAATGGATTGAGAGACATTCCCTGTATTTCACAAGCCCTAAAGCACTCTCGGTTGTTAGTCCATGTTGGTTTGTCACATCAGGTGAAAGTACAGTAAGTTCTTTAGAACAGTAACTCTACCTTTGTTGGGTTTTTCACTATATATTGGATTGGTCAGTCTCTCTATTCGTGTGTGTGTGTTGCTCCTAAAATGGTATGCTTCAGGTTTGTGTTCAGGCTGGTTTCTATGACATTCTTTGGTAGCGTGTGGTCAAGGTGATCCGTCTTTAGAACCTCAGGAGCCAGGTATTGAGACTTTCTATTCTGGAGATGCTTTCAAGGCCAGAATAGCAAAGGTGGCCAGAACACCCAGTCCCAGTTCTGCCTGCAGGCATGCATGTTGCTTACCCCGGCCAAGTTCACCATCTTTGCCTGACAGGAATGGAGAGGGGCATGTGCAGGGGAGCTGCAATGGCCCTCTCAGCATTTGGATGCTGAGCAGCTGTCCCCATCCAGGGGAGCTGCCATGCTGCTGTCGATGTCTGTGGCTTGCTTTCAAGCTCTTCTTGTGGTGCAGCTTCTCTGCTAAGTCTGTAGAGCCCTCCATGGCTGAGCTTGGAGAGCATGAGGTCAGGGGGCACTGCAGTAGTGCAGAGGCGTTTCCTGCTTCTTGTAGGGCAGGGTCATGGGCGCAGGAGAAAGAGGCTTCTAGAAGAGAAGCTACCTTACAGAAGAGTGTCTGTATGTTTGCGGATCTAGGCTGGGAACACACTTGAGGCAAGAGATTAAGTGCTCCCCTGTCCTCATGCCTTGTTCCAGTCCTACTGCTCCCTTGCTGTTTTCCAAAACAAATACGCAGTTTTATAGCTCACGACTCACTGAGCTTCAGTCTGATAACAGTTCCCTGCACTGCACTGTGTCTAAAGTATATGATCCTTGATCACTGCAACCCAAGGGTTACACAATGGATTTGGTGCTGTACCCGTTTTCCTTAGACATTGGGTGGTGTGCATTCCATTGCATGTGTGAGGGAAGAAGGCTTGGTGTAAGCTGCTTGGCAAAACGTGTGGTGAAGATCCCGCCCCCCTCCCCCCCCCCCACACAAATATTAGATGTTCCCTTAAGGAAACTCAGCCTAGAAAGGCGAAGGTTAAGGCTTGGAGACCTTGCAGGACAATTGAGGGAGTGGTTTAGCCATGAGGCCCTCAACACATAGTCAGCTCCACATTGCTCAACAGCACTCAGTGAAGTCACACAAGATTAAGTGGAAATGAGAAGTGGATCTGCACAAGGAGTTGGAATTTGCTGTGTCTGTTCAGGTGAATAATAAGCAACCTGAGTCTTGCCCTCACCTTTCACTCCTGTTACCTCTTGGCATAGTAACTGTGTGCAAGGATAAGCCTTGGTGCACTGCACACTGCTAAAGCATGGCCACCTTTTCTTGTCCCATTCTTGCGATCTCTCCCCCAAATCTTGGTCACTCAAGCAATGTCATGCCGCCCCAGTTTGCTGAGCTGGACCGCCACATTGTCCTCAGAGCCACAGTCCAGCTCCATTCAAGCTCAGTTTCAAGCTCAGCAGCTGGTGCGGTGTCTGAGATAAGTAATGGGCTGGACGAGGGGCAATAAACTGAAAGACAATCCTAGTGAGAGTAGGTAGCTCACCTGGCCCCATCCATGGCACTCAGCTAGTTCTGCATGGTGTCTGCCCCTTGAAGGATCAGGTGTGACGCAGCCTTATTTTAGTATGCCCAAGTAGCACAAAGTGGCCCCCATCAGCTTAGCTGCGCCCACTTCTGGGAAGAAAGAACCTAGCCACTGTTTTCCACACTCTGGCAAACTCTAGGTTGGCCTAGAAGATCTTGTGGCTTTAGCGTGTGCATAGCTGGCTGGGCCTTCTGTGTGAAGCCACCTTTGAGGGCTACTGAATAATCTCATATTCCAGTACTGTGCAGCTTACTGTTGCCTTGGACCAGAAAAATTAAATACGTCTTTGGGCAGTGCCTCATCCATCTTTTATGGAGCCCCTTTTTGCTGTGGTTAGTGCTGATCTGTCTCTTGGGATTTCTCTCTGAGCAGGCTTGCCTGGCACAAATGATTTTGCTGCCTTTCTGGCAGGTGCTGAAGATCATGGTTTTGTTACCCAGGCCTAACTTTTTAGGCTCTTACTGTTTTTAGGGGGAGCCGGTTATGCTGTTTTTGAAATTTTATGCCTTGATTTTCTGTATTCTGTATGCCACTGTAGGAATTGTACTGCAGACTCTAAGGTTGAATATAAATGTAATCAATAAAAATGTAATGTGTCATATGACATTCCCCATTTCTTTAAAAGCATGGCATCCTTTTAGCCTGTCCCAACCTTTTTTAAATTTTCTGGTCATAGGTATGAAGAATACCAGCCTGAAGATGAACTGAAGAAAACTGCCAATGATTTTCTTGCAAAAGTGGATGACCCCAAACTGAATGACTCTGAGGTAAAAAGACTGAAGTTCTCTTCACAGGGAAGTGTGCACACTTGCTAAGCAGGTATGCTGAGTGAGGCCATCAGTGTGTACATGTGCAGGAATATATTTGCCTGTTTCTCTGCCTTCCCTGTCCCTGAACACTCGGTTAGCTGGGCCCACACTTTATATTTTCCTCTTTCCCTGAATGAGAGCCAGTCCTCCTGTGATCATTTTGCAACACTGCATTCACACAGCAAAGTTTTACATACCATATTCCTAAGTAAAAATAAAAATCAAGAATGTGAGGGTTTTTTGTTTTTCTTAGAAAAGACAGCTTTCAAATTTTTCCCCTTCATTGTCTATAGAGGTTTTTAGCTCACTCACTTGCATCACTGTGAAGAAAAACAATACGACAAAATCCTTTAGAGAGAGAGGACAGAATGTAATTCATGATCCTGAGGGAGAAAGAGAGGCAACAGTGCCATTTTGCGATGGGTTACAGATGCACTGCAAGTTTTAGATGAGGCCAAGTGTAAGTTGTATTTGTTAGCCTGTTTGCTAGTCCCTTTTGTGAGGGGACTGATTCATGCTGTACTTTCCTAGAATCTGAGTACTAGTCTGTCAGCCAGTGTGATATGGTAGCTAGAGTTTGAGACTTGGGCCAGTGAGACCTGAATTCAAATCCCTACTCAGCCGTGAAGCAGCCTGGGTAATTTTAGAGCAGCTGGGTGGATGACTGTGGGAGTAAAATAACCCGCACATGCTTTGTTCTGAGAAGCAAGCAAGCAAGCATGGGATTGCAATGTGACTGCCGTGCATGCACAGGTGTGGACCTGCGGATGCACACGCTCACTGCTGCTCCTCTGCCTCCCTCTTCTTCGCACTCACTCACTGTCAGATGGCTGTTGTGTCTTAGAGACTAGGAACTGGATGCCTCCAGTCAGATCTGCTTCCCAGCTTCCCTGTTGCCAGTCCAGGAGAAAACGGGAAAGTTAAGGAACAGCAACAGGACTTGGGGGCAGACCTTGGCTTTCCACTCTTGCTTCCTGGAATTGTTTTCTGGGAATTTGGTTGCTGATCTTACATACTTGTGCATGTGGCGAACACCTGTTGAATAACCTGCTCCTGTGTTTCCACAGCTAGCTCTGCTGAATTTAGGAGCCAGGCTAGTGCAGATGCAGGAGTCTGTGGGAATGTAAGGGCTGAATAGTGATGGTCTCTCCCTTTGTCTTCTTTCTTCATGCAGTTCCTAAAGTTTGTCCGCCAGATTGGAGATGGGAGGGTGTCCATCGAGGCAAATCGGGTGACCATTACCCCCAGAGACCAGGATCAGGCAGAGCAATGGGCAACTGAGTATATACAGCAGCAGGTAGGACAGGACTCCCTGCTGCTCAGGGGCTGCCTTGTCTCCTGTTCTGTGTCGCCAGTACACTGCCCTCTTGTGTGTGGTTTAGACCTGGGGGCCAGAAGCAGCAACTCTGGCAAGGCAGCAGCAGTCTAGGGGCAGAAAAGAGCCCTTCTAGCCACAGTTCTGTCTCAGAGGCCTGATGCTTGCTCACTCTGGTAGTTGTGTTGTTCTCCTGGCATTGCTCGCTGAGAATGGGACAGCACTGCACACTTTATCTATCTCAGAGGTGAAGGAAGGCTTTCTCTGTTATGTTCTCATTCCAGAACACATCCGAAGCCTGGGTAGATCAGTTTGCGCACTCTGGGGACACTCAGGGCCTGGATCCAGAGTTTGAGCAGGCCAAGACTGCTGTAGAGGTAATGCAACTGGGGAAGGCGGGGCATCAGGCAGCTCCCCTGGAGTGAAGCCTACAGGGCCTACCAGCTTCCTTCTCTCCCTGCCCCCTTCTCTAGTCAGATGTGGATTTCTGGGACAAGCTGCAGGCTGAGTGGGAGGAGATGGCCAAGCGAGACGCAGAGGCCCATCCGTGGCTAACGGACTACGAGGATCTTGCTAGCTCCACTTACGACAAGGTACCAATGCGAGGAGGGTGCAATCCCTTGGCCTTGCTCTTCCCCCCACTTCCCGTCCTGCTTCTCCATCCCTCACATTTCCTATTGGCTGTGCAACTTCAGCTCATGGGCAAGTGAGCACCGAACCCCCCCTTCTAAACAAGAACTCTGAGAAACCTCAGAGTGAGGGACGAAGGTTTCCGCATGCCCCACCCCTTCCTTTCCCCCACATACTGCTGCCTCCTTCCCTACCTGTTGCCACAAGCCTCCACTGCTTCTCTCTTCCCCCCACCCTCCACGGAGGAGGTCAGCAGCCAGCAGGGAAAGTCAAACCAGGGGTGGGCGACTTGGTTCCTTGCTGCAGGTGTCTTAGCCCACAACCCCCCTTGGCATAGCCAAGGGCGTGGGGTCATGGGAGCTGTGGGCCGCAACATCTGGAGGGCCGTCGGTTGCCCGTCCTTGAGCTGAAGCCTGGGAAGGCGGCCTGCCGGCCTGCCTGCCTCCCTTCCTTAGCAGTCTGCCGGGTCGGAAGACCCAGCCTGCTGCTTCTGCCCTTGGTTCTAGGATCTGCTGTGCACTTGGCTGATTCTGGCCCAGGAGAGGACAGCGCAGGTCTGTCCTGGCAGAGGCGAGGGAGTGCAGATGTGCAGCTGTATGCAAGCCGGTGGATGCTCCCGTTGCTTGCCACAGAGCTCAGGTTTGGCTGCACCCTTGTCTGGCCTCAGGCCCCAAGACAAACAGCAGACTCCTGCCTGCTTAAAGCTCAGCCAGTTCCTTTCCGCAGCTGCCCAAGTTCCAGTGAACCCGCACAGTGCTTCCTATGCAAGCATTGCCTTCTCACCGGGGTTTCTAGTGGTTGGGGGACAGTGGTCAGGCGGTGGGCCGCTGTGATCTTCCTGCATGTGGGGAGGGAGCCTATATTGCTAGCAGAGACTCTCCCCCACCTTGCCCCCATCATGGCCCCCACTTGCATTGCTCAGATACCTCCTGCATTCCATCCAGCTTTGTTAACTGCGAACTCTCTTTGAGTCTCTCGCCCTCCCTGTTTTCCACCTACCAAGAAAACTCTGTGTTTTGCCTAAGGATGGGGACAGTTCTAAGGAAAAAATGGGGAATCGGCCATTCTTTGGTTTGCTGCTTCATCCTGGCAGTCCCAAGAGCAGTTGTAGCAGTTCCTATAGAGCTTAACTAGGCTGCCTGCAGCCTCCCGCACGTTCCGCATGGCACCCCCAGACCGTGTCTGCAGGCGGTGCTGCTGCTTCAGCACAGGCCACTCCTCACCGGCACCCCGGTGCTTTGCCTTGTTTACCACCTAGCCTGAAGAAGAGCCTAGAAAACTGGCACACTGCACTGTGATCTTTCAAGTTCCAAATGAAAGAGACTGCCCTGAAATGGAGTTTGGAAGACTGAGCCAGTCTGACGAATTTACAATGGGAAGTCAAAGTGGGAGAGTAAAAATGGCGGCTGCTTTGTGTCCCCCACCCACCATTTGAGCCAAACAGTAAATGCTGTGTGTGTGGCCTGGAGGGCATCTCTTTTGTAACCACAGATAATAGCTCAGCTCTCCCACCCTGACAGGGATACATCTTTGAAGAAGACAACCCTGTGCGGGGTCACCCCCATGCCTTTGAAGAAGGGCTGAAATGCCTGAAGGAGGGCGACCTCCCCAATGCAGTCCTCTTCTTTGAGGCTGCTGTGCAGCAGAACCCTAAGCACATGGAGGTAAGTGGAGGAGGGAGCACAGCTCTCTCTGCTTATCCTCTGCAAAGCTTGGGAGCTGGGAGGGGGGCCTTCGTGGGCAGAGGAGGTGTCTGGGTGGGACGATGTGAAGGATGGTTGGTATGGAGCTGGGGTGCCTCCCATCTTACACTGCTTTCCTTTCTCCGACCAAATGGTTGAGTTTGGCATAAGGAGCCAGTGGATATGAATACTCATGAATGCTCGTAGCCATTTGAGATCCAAGAAGCTGGAGTTCTTGCTTGTTCTTCCGAAGGTCTCCACATGTCTCTAGAGCATCCTCTGACCAGGGACCAATCTGTACCAGCATTAGTCAAACAGCTGGCTTCTGCCTGGGACTTAGGACAATACCCCAACCCATTCATCATCCTCAGCATAGAGTTGCTGAAGCTACTTTTGTGCTGCTTCTAGTTTCCAGGTGGTAGAAAATCAGGTGTTTTCCAGTCCTGTTGAATTGATTCTTAGTGGTAGGAAGGGCTATAAGGCTGCAGAGCCTGCTCTCTAATACCCTTCACCACTTTCTTTCTCTCCCCACCCCCCCTTGTCTTTCTCTTCCTCCTCCTCTCATTCCTTCATATTAACATTTACGGCATTTGTGGGCAGGAACCCTGTCAGCAAAAATGACACCTTGACCTCCCTGCATTTTTCCTTCTCCTCCATGGGTTTTTTTGCAGTCAATTTTGACCATACACCAATGACCGTAAATCATCATTACTGGTGCCTCACATGCAAATAGCGCTTAAGTAGTTAAGGAGATACTACTTAGTGCAGCAGCTGGGCATGTTTCTGTGTGCTTTTCTGTGTCCTGAGTAAGCACCTTGGGCTTGCAAGATGGGAGTAGGCAGAGAGTGAGCCATTGCAATTTTGGGCATTACTAGCAACATTTACACTTCCAGAAGAAGATGCAGAGCTGAGCACCCATATGCTAGATACTTGTGTTCATTGAAAATTCCAGCCCTCAGTATGTAGGTGGTATGATGGAATTTAGTTCACAACTTGGTCATGTTTTCATGGGTATTACTTGATTTTGGTATAACATAAAGAAATGGAAAGCTATCAAAGTAAAATTAACAGCACTTGTTCAAAGCAACTGAGAGGGATTGGGGTAGCAGGTTCCCACATGTTTACATACGTTAAAAAGATGGCCTTTGGAAGCTTGGAAACATGCATGTTACTGCTGATGCTGCAGGCGTGTGACAGGACAAGTCACCAGCTGTGTAAAGATGTTGGCAAATACAAGATTTGGATGCCATCCGAGCAGTTTCTCTTAGGCACGTTCCGACTAGGCCCAGTTGCATAATAATCAGCAACATCTTCATGATCCTAACTTGGGAGCTTTCCATTGGAAGATCCTTTCAGTATTGTATCATATGGTAGTTGATACCATGGCACTTCCTTCTAACTTCATTGCTCTGCTTAACCATGAATTCTCTTGCTCCATTTATTTGCTATTTCTCTGTAATACGTGAAATCAAAGAAAATATCAAAATGTGATGGGAAACTCTGAACCCCTTTTTTGTTCTCCAGTAAGGCGTGTACAGGGGAAGATGAGCTACAAGGCCAATTGCCTGCTTTCAGGGGTAGGGGGCAGGCTATCCTAGGAGGAAACGGCTATCTGCCTTGTCCAGATACACGTCCTGTCTCCTTGGCTGTGTCTGTGAGCGCTGAAGCAGGAGCACAGGAGAGCCGCTGCCGGCTGAGCTGTGAAAGAAGATCACCTCCCTAACTGGGCCAGATATATTTCAGCAGATAGCGGGGCCAGAATGCAGAAGGCCCTCACCTCTGAGGCAGTCGTCTTCTGCAGGGGGGCTGGTAACCTCAGGTGGGCGGCAAGCACCCTTCAGAGGAGTTCCGAAAGTGCTGCCAGCGCATTGTTTTGTTTAGTGGCGAGGACAGGCTCCGCCATGCGGCCACTGAGCATGGGATCTTGCAAGGGGGCTCTGTAGCCTGGAGCTGCTTACAGGCGAATGGCTTCACTAGCTGAAGGCCGTTGCTTTTGGGAACTGGAAGAGAGACCCTTCCGTGGAGTGGGCGGGGAGGACAGCTCCACTGAACAGCTTCCTCCTTCAGCCCTTCTTGGGCCGCCTACTTCCTCTGACACCCTAGAGGGCTGCAGGGATGACAACACGATGACATCAGGGTGCCCCTTAGCAGCCATCCCTGGGGGCACGGAGGTAACGGGAGGCAGGAAGGGCCTCGCCCTCTGCTTAGAGACTGGGTTAATGGCCGCTGCTCTGCTGCAGTTTGATTGGCCCGCTGAGCAGCATGGCTGTGAAGGAGGCTGGCTGCCTTGGCAGTGAGTGGGCACGTCCCTCCCGTCCCTCCTCCTCTGCAGTCATGAAAAGGGTGAGCACCGAGGGGACATGAAGTTGCCTGCAATTTGGGTTTGCGTTCATCCCGGCCGTGTGCAGGATGAAAGCAGCTGGTGCTCTTTGCTGTGTCCCTCGGCTAGGCCTGGCAGTACCTGGGAACCACCCAAGCGGAGAACGAACAGGAGCTGGCAGCGATCAGCGCGCTCAGGCGGTGAGTAGCCGGCCTGGCGGAGGAGCGGCGCTGTGGTGCTTTTCCCTAGCCGAGCTGAACTTTGTGAAGTCAGACTTGAAGCGATGCTGCTATGCTGTGGGTTAACCCCTGAGGTTGCTGTGATGCCCTTGGCATAAAGTTAAACCCTCGGTTCATCTCTGATTTGAAGTGAGGCCTTCAGTGCTTGTAACTGTGTAAACAGGGAGCCTGCTTTCTCTCTGATGGAGTTACTGCAGACCTGGAGACTGGGGGGAAGCACCCTGTTTCATTGAGGGTTGGCAGTCTGGAAACGGGGTTCTCTTTAGCCGGCATATTTGGTCTACCAGCTGGGAGGAGCGGCAGTTCAGGAGAGGCCCTGGAGCGTCTCAGACAGTGAGCTGCGAGTCTGCTGCCCTTTGGTAAGGTGAAGGCTCCGCGGCGAGGAAGGGCAAGAAGCTTGGCCTCTTTCCCTCCTGAAGGTCCTTCCCACCCTGTGCTCCCTAAGCCTTTGCCTCTCCTTGCAGGTGCCTGGACTTGCAGCCGGGAAACCTCACTGCCCTCATGGCTCTGGCGGTCAGTTTCACCAACGAGTCACTGCAGAAGCAGGCGTGCGAAACCTTGCGCGACTGGTTGCGGCACGCCCCGGCCTATGCTCACCTGGTGAGGAAGGAGGCTGATGGAGACAGCCCCGGCCTTGGGCCCTCCAAGCGCGTTCTGGGCTCCCTGTTAACTGAGTGAGTCTGGGAAAGGAGCGGATGGCCGGCACTGGGGGGGGGGGGGGGCGCAGGCACGCCTGGGGGTTGGGCCGGCCTTCATGCCCCCGGGCCTCTCTGTGTGCGTTCCATCCCCAGCTCGCTCTTTCTTGAAGTGAAGGAGCTGTTCTTGGCGGCGGTGCACAGCAACACCTCTGCCGTGGACCCGGACGTGCAGTGCGGCCTGGGCGTGCTCTTCAACCTGAGCGGGGAATACGAGAAGGCGGTGGATTGCTTCACTGCCGCGCTGAGCGCGCACCCAAACGTAAGGAGAGGAGGAGGGAGCAGCAGGGGGTTCAGGCAAAGCTGGGGAGGCGGGGCCTTGTTCTCCCCGATGTGAGGGCCTGTGTCTGGGCTGTACCACTCCAGGCTGTGGACAACTGTGTAACTAAATGCCCCATTTAAAACACTTAAATGCCTGCACATGTGTAACCAGAATGTCAAGAAGGCTTCTGGTCTCGCCTCCTCTCTTGCATTTCCTGTGTGCAGCAATCCTCTCCACCTGCCCCCAGAATTAGGCCGTAGTATTTTCATCCTCTGACAGCAGGGCAGGTATGGCTCACAGAGTCTTACAGTCTCAATTCTACCCAGAGAGAAATGGCATCTATGAACATTTGTTCTGAGATCTGTAACCAAGGGCTCATTCCCAGGAGTTTGCAATGCATTTGCTAACGCATTTGCTAACAAGCATCTTCTTGTGTTAACTCTCCCTGGAGGCTCTCTGTCTGGGCCCTTCTAGTGCTCTTTCTGGCGGGATGAGTTGTTCTGGAGTTTGTGGTAGGGAGGAGCCATGCAAGACCCCATCAGCCATCCAAAGTGGTACATTCCAGGCACAGGCTTACGTATATTTAATAACAATGCGCCATACTTTTCTGCAGTGACCATACCCAAAAAGGCTAACCTATGTACTGGCTTGGATTTCTTTGGGAAAGGCTGTAGCTGATGGACCAGCTAAAGCTCATGAAAAGTGTTCCTGGCTCCCGCTGATGCCAGACTGCCCGGAGCAGGGTAGATCCAGGTGCCCCACAGCTGCTCCGTGGGAGTGCAGATCTGACTGGGACAGGAAGTCCAGCTGTCCCCGGTCAGCCGCAGGCATCCGTTCTTGTTTGGATTACCTTGCCGCTTTACTTGTACTGCCCCAATTCACCCTAACCTGGGGCTACCCCAGAAGGAAAGGTGGTGCTGTGAGTCACTGGCGTACTAGCAGCACTTCAGTCCAGACCTCTGGGTAGCCACTCCAGCAGTGGCACATAGATGCCGAACAGCAGGGGAGGTAAGATGGGCTCCGGGGCACCCTGCAAACCAGAGGCCACGGGGAGCAGCAGTGCACTCCTGTCCCCTCTGCCGAGAGTGATCTTCAAGGAGCCACGGCTGGTGGCAGGGGCAGCGGTCCAGACTAGCACTTCGCGTTCCTCCCCGGAAAGATGTGGTTGGCAGACACTGGAGGGCCCTTCTCAGTGTTGCATGAAAGGCCTTCCACAGAGCAAGCAACTCACTCAGAAGTAGGCCCAGGGGTCTAATAAATCCAAGCCTTTACACAGAACTACTCTAGCTCTTCTCCACTAGGTAGGTCAGGTAGGTCAGTGTTCTCCACAATCACCTTGATATTGCCAATCAGAGGCTTGAAGCTGTGAGAGGAATATGTTTTCTGAGACCCCCCACAGAGAGGAGAGCTTTCCCATCTGGTAACCTCTATGTAACCCCAGTTCTAGTGAACCTGATAAAAAAATCTAGGAGAGGTGAAGGAACCTTGAAGCCTTGGGGAGCTTGGGAGGACTCTCATGTCCCTGTGTGCAGTGGGGAGGGTCTCGGAAACCTTGAGTTTTCTCTTCCAGGATCATCTCCTCTGGAACAAGCTAGGAGCCACCTTGGCCAATGGAAGCAGGAGTGAAGAAGCTGTGGCAGCTTACAGGCGGGCACTGGAACTGCAGCCAGGCTACATCCGCTCCCGCTACAACCTGGGCATCAGCTGTATCAACCTAGGGGCCCATAGGTGAGTTGGGGGCTTCCGGGAGCACGGAGGGAAAAAGGAAAGCAGGTCATCTCTGCCCGAAGCGATTAACCAAGCACTAGGTTGCGCTTGCAAGCCTTTTTTAATTTGGTCAGCTGCTGTGGTGGTGCGCCTGTGTGTGTGAACGCTGAAACATCTGTGGAGGATTTCTCCCCACGTGAGTGTTTCGCCGCATAGATTGAGCTAGCTGCCCCCCCCGCGTGTATCAGGCAAGCATGAAAGCTTTCCCAGGAGACACTGCTGTAGAAGCTGGCTAGTAGTGCCTTGTAGTCGCATCGCTGTGGTATCAAAGCGGCCCCATTCACCGATTCTGAATGGGACATTTGAATGGTGAAAAGAAGGAACTATCTGTGCCTTAAGATGGCCTGGCGTCAGTCCACTCATCTTGGCAGGGCTGGTGTGTCTTTGTTTCAGGACTCTGTCTGCAGCATATGCTTGCCCGTCTCTAACAGGGTTTCACAATGCCCAGGAGTACCTTCCATTAGCGAAGCAGCCAAGCTGCCTGTTGGCCCTTATGGTTTGTGCATGGAATAGAGCCAACATGGCAACAAATACATCCCTGTACAGCCGGGATCCCTTTCGGCTTGTGGGAACATTTGGAAATTGGAGAATCATCTATGTACATACACTCAGAAGTAAATCAGATTGGGTGAAATGGGACCTACCCACCTAACTGCAGGCTTAGAAAGGAGGGCGGGAGGGCATATCTGAGGGCAGGAACGCGTGTGAGTGAGTTGGGAGGGCAACAGAGAATGGGTAGCTTCTCAGCTTTACCAAGTGTTGGGGTCTCTCGTCTTGTACGCAATTTCTTCAGCAAGTTCCTTGTTCTTCATGACTGGCCAGAGCAGCCATGGCTGTGTCTGAGCCTCCAGTTCTTGTTAGAGCGCCTTCTGCCCCTTTTTCACAAATACAGAGACATGAATTCCTGCCCTCATCTATAGCCCCTGAGGGTCCTCTTCTAAGCCTGCAGTTGGAGGAGTTCCTTTGAACCTGGTTAGGCTACTCCTGAGTAGACCCCCTAGGGCTACTCCGTTCATGTACAATTGGCGCACATGCTTTTCCCCCAGCCCCCCTCTTCAGGTGAGGGTGTTCTTTCAGCTCCTTTGCTTCACCACCTCCGGTCCTCATGGTTGAGGCACATCAGGGCCACCACCGAAGAAGGGACCGGGGAGCGAGAGGCTGGGGGAGTGTGCGAAGGGCTGCAGGCAAAGCTTGTCCTTGAAGCGGCTCTGCCTTGCCAAAAGAGCGGCATGGAATGACTTCTTGGCTGCTCCACAGTGGCAGCCACACATTTCCCGAGTTCCTCCCCATGCCTTCTGCTGGTTGGCCAGAGGCTTTCTATGGGGCTGTGCTGTTTCTATGGCAGCAACGGGCTGTGGGGCAGCCTGGGCGACTTGGTACTACGAGCAAGAGGCCTGCGGGGTGCGGGGAGCAGAGCGGGGTGCGGGCACCGGGGAATGCTCGGCAGCCATGTTGCCGCCCCTGGACTCTGCGCTGGCTTTGGCCTGTTCTGCCTGAGGCAGGGTTGCATTGGGGTGGCAGCCCTGCAGCAGCTCTTGCCATCACCATGCTGCACCGAAGGCTTGGGCCCGACTTGTTCACGGGCCGTTTCCTGCCTTCTCCATCCCCTTGCACTGCTATCTTGACAGAGAGGCTGTGGAGCACTTCCTAGAGGCCCTGTACATGCAGCAGAAGAGCCGGGGCCCCCGTGGCCAGCAGGGTGCCATGTCCGACAACATCTGGAGCACCCTCCGTATGGCGCTTTCCATGCTGGGCCAGAGCGAGCTCTACGAGGCGGCTGATGCACGGGACCTCCCGACCCTGCTGCAGGCCTTTGGCATCCAGCAGTGACTCCTGGACGGGCTCCCCTGCGAGTGCAGGACGGGCCCTCTCCAGCACCGATCTCTCCTTTCTCCTGCCCACCAACACACACGCGTCTCAGTGCAGCAGCCTCCTCTGCCCTCCCCTCAGATTGCCCCAGAAAGGTAAACACACACACATTTCCACTTCCTCTTCAGTCTGGGGCACAGCACTCACCCACATCTTGTGTTGGGCCTACTGCTCCAGCGTTAACTTCCAGTAACTTCTGGTACACCCAGGAAAAGCGCACCTTCCATCCTTAGATTTATGGGCTATGTGGGGACACACATCCTTTCCTCTGTACTAATGTTCATGGGGGGAAACTGCTGCTATTGTGCCATGCTGAAAAATTCTTCTACACATGTAAGGTACAAGGGGAAAAAAACCTATGGGCCTGAAGGGAAACTAGACCTATGCGCTAAAATGGCAGTCTGCGTAGTGGTGTTTTTGGTACGTCAGTATGCATGATAGTTCTATTTAAAGGGTCCTTTTCGAAGAGTTTGGATCATGATGTGAAATTTTGGAGTTTTGCTTTCAAAGGTGCTACTGCCATTAAAGGTACCATGCAATGTGACTGAAAATATCTCACTGAGCATCAGCATAGCATATACACTACAGAGTTTGTTTCACTACTCCTAGAGGTGGGAGAAAGAGGCACTTTCCTGCTTGATTCCTGTTCAAGTAAGAATATTTCTGGGTTGGGGGCAGAAGCGGGATTGAACTGAAACACCTCAACAGTGCAGGGCAGGACCTATGTCTTAATTACCCTTCTGCCATTAGTTCTTGTAAAATACAAGGGGACTGGTTATCTCTGTGCATATAATTCTCCCCCTTCTGTGTAATTGGCTCTTCAAGTATCTGTATATGATTTTTTTTTGGTTGGGGAAAAAGTTTTTAAATTGTAAAGTATTTTGTATAATAGAAGCTAAAAGAATTAAAGCTGCCAAATTAAGCTGCCTGTTAGTTCTGTGCCTGTTTTCTAGTCACCATCCTCCCCATTTTTATAGCTGCATATATTTGAAAGCCCATAATAGGCTGTTCCCTCTTTCTTTATGTTAGAAGTCCTTCTCTGTGCACAAAATAGGTACTGCCTGCTGCTCATTTCCTCCAGCTGCTGTTTCTAAATAAAGATACGCTATTTTGTCGTTATTTTTAGAGCAATGCAGTAGTCATGCACATGTGTCCCTTGTTGGTTGATAAAAATATTATTTTGATAAAGCTGTCGTTTTGCAAAGTGGGCTAGATGAAATTGAACTTGGTTAGATCTGGCAGCTTTGTCTTTATAAGGATTATACTCCAAAAGCAAGCAGTAGTTTTGCGGGGGGGGGGGGCATCCTTCAGATTGTGCCTAACAATCATGTGGCTTTGTTCTTACTTTTCCTATTCAAGCAGCAGATGAAACTGGACTATGATCAGAATGTTGAAGATCATGCTTGGCTTTATATAGTGCTTCCAAGTATTCCAGTGCATCCTCAGTGTCAGTGCTCTGCAGACGGCGAAGGTGTGTGTTTCAAAGGCAGAATGGACAGGCAGTTGTGCTCAAGCCCAGCTAGGGAACTTATGGCTGAGACGAGATTTAAGCCTGTCAGATTTCAGTTTGAAATCTTTTACTCATTAATTGCCTTCAATTGCTCAGTTCTTCTTAACCTTTTCTGCTGAACTTTATTTGGGAGATCACATTAAAAAGGATATCAAGAAATGTTTAGAAAGGGTAAAAGGGTATGAAAAGATGTGAAAGTAACACTTGGAATACTTGCCACTTTCACTGCCTTCCGTCTGCCAAAATTCTCTTAGTCATCGCTCAAAAGGGACAGCAGGCTGGTCTCTCTTGGACTTGCTCACCTGAGCTTAAAAAGCAGATGTTTTTTGGCATGCTTGATCATCAGCAGTGATGATCTTTTAGCAGTGAAGCGCATACACAGGTTGCTGTAAAACAACTGGAGTGTCTTGTCTTCTAGCAATTTAAAAAAAAAAATCCCTTCTGGAAGACTAAGGGTGTGTGTGAAAGCCACTGCTGCTGGTATTGTCACATGTCACCTCCATTTTTCATATTCCCCTTGAGCCCCTCCCTATACTTTGAACGGGCCATGCAGAGAACTGACGCAAGGAAAACTTTCCCCACCCTTTATCTCTCTGAAAGGAAACTCTTCAGTTACTAAATGTCTGCACGTTCAAAAGGAAAGGGTCCACTAACAGGTTGGCAACTGCAACAAGACGGGGGGAGAGGTTGGCTTATTTGGAGTCTGAACTCCAGGGAGGGACATGCACATAAGGCCCAGATTTCAGGGAGTTCAGGAGGTCTCCTGTTCTGTGTAGGAGATGGTAGAGTATTAGGTTCATTCCTGCCAGAGTACACAAGCTTTAAGTTCATGCAAGTTGGTGTTAGAATGGAAGCCAGTAGCCAGGTTCATACCTTGCAGGAACACACTGGTGATTTCTTACCCTTGTTGGTTTGTTGTGGAGCAAATCAGTGGTCTGTTCTAAGGTTTCCATGCTTCACTGCAGCTTCCCAAGTTGTCTGGACCCAGGACCTCCATTTTACTCGTTAGTACAGCAGTGCTGCCTGCCTGCATAGCCATACATCAAGCCAGCATGTTGCTAAGCAGGCAAGGCATGGGCCTGCAGCTGGATGGGTGACCACATGTGGAAGTGGGGCAGGGGTTGGACAGGATGGTTTTATAAGCCCCTTCCAGCTCCTATTCTATTCTATTCTTCACCATAGAATCCTGTGAAAAGAGCAGCTGCAACAGCCATGCATCTTCTACTCCCCTCAGCTCCATGGTAACTCAGGGGTCATCACCTGTTTTATTTTATTCCTGTTGGCTGAACCAGGTGCCCATTTCCCCGTTTACTTTTAAAAATGGAGAAAGCAGGTAAATGCTCAGAGGGAGAAAGGGGAATCGTGGGAAAAGCATTTATGGTTTAATTGTAATTTAATTAAAAGGTCCAGAGTGGCTAGGGAGCATCGCAAAGATGCAGGTACACTTGGGAGAGGGAAGCGGGGGAACCTGCCTCAAAACCTCTGGCCCAATCAGGATGCGGCTGCTGAGGTCCACTGGGAGCAACAGTGAAAGCGATGAACTTTCACTCATGGGGGCTGCAAGAATGGGAGAAGGGAGCGGGGAGTGTGGAAACTCTGCTGCTGTGGGAACCATGCGATTATCTGACCAGTAATCTTGGGGGAAAACTCCATGCACCATGGAAACAGCGCAGTGTTGCTTGCCATGACATGGGAGCCCAGCCAGTGAAGCCATCCTGGTATCACTGGGTTACTGGGTTACACCAGTGACCTCTCTTCCAGTGAGTTGTCTCTTGGCAGGGCAGGACCTGGGCCTGGTTCACTCAAATACATGAATTAAGCTGTAGAGTTGGGAGACTGCTCGATGTGCTGCAGCTATCAGCTCCCATTTTTAAAAGGTTTCCATACAGAAAAGTCCTAAGAAAAATACAAAGAACAGACTCCGCTCTAACCTGCTCCTCTTGCGCCCCTTTTCTATTTGTGGAAGCAGCGTGTTTTCAAAGCATTCTCCCACCCCACATAAAGCCCATTCTAGTACTGTGAGATCTGCTATTGATTCTTCTTAGGTGACTCCTTGTGCATTGAGATCCCAAGATGACGGCTATTTGCATGTGCATATATACAGATTTAGAAATAATTATGATTTAAATAGAAATACATCTCACCATCATGTGCAAGACTGTGACCAGCAGTTTTTTTCAATGAATGACTGGAACTGTATACAGCTACAAATAAATCAACATCAGAAATGAAAACCCACCAAAGTTCCTAACAGATAAAGTGAATCTGTTATTTCCTTTCCAGTGTTTGTTCTAGGACAAAACCATTATAATGAAGTCTGGTGAAGAAGTGAAGGATTCGTACAAAAATTAAACATGGGGGTTATGAGTAAGATTTGGATAATCCACCTCCTTATTTACAGGAGATGCTTGATGGGCACTGCTCCTGGATTTCTAACATACGGATGGACAAAGAATGTATCCCAGTGACAGTGCTGTCATTACTTAAGAGTATCATATCTCACATTGTACTGAAAATTGCTAGCTTGGGAATAATGAGATGTGACAGGTTCTCCCACCATTGTTACTTTGCTGAAAAGCAGCTGCTCAGGCTGGTGGACTGGATCAGGGCCATGGGTCTCGTGAGGTCAACAGCTTCTCCCCGTGGCATTTTTGCAATTTAAAGAGACCCTAAAGTCCTATTAATCACTGAAGTGAAAAATGACAGGTTCGTATATAATATGTACCCCAACTAACAGCAGCTTTCAGAAGGGGGTTGTGGAAAAATCCTGAGGGGAAGGGATTGCTCGCCTAGCCTGGTTGCCGTGATCCAATTCCCTAACAGATGTTTTAAATCAAAGAAAGAGGTCTCATGATCTGGTCACATTTCTCCTACAGCTTGTCATTGTTATGGATCATAACTCAACCAGTGAGTTAAATGCAGCTGCATGTCCCACAGCAAATCAGTTTCAGGATGATCAATAGTGAAACTTGAGGACAGTAAGTTCGAAAGCACTGAGGCATAAAAACCCTATAAAAGCAGGGGCGTCCCTACTTCCCCCTAATCAGCTGGTGCCCTTCAGCAGCTACCTGGACCTTGCCCCAAGAAGACCACCCATTTCAGATGTGGCATGCTAAAGCAAACAGATGCAAAGTCCTCTTCTTCCTCAGGATCCAAAGCCTAAATGACTAGGGAACCACACTTTTTCAAGGACAGGTTTGAAGAGTGATGTGTTTCCCTTTGCATCTTTCAGTGACCGTGAATTGCAGCTGTTTCACTCCTTAAGTGTAGCGCTTTCTGGGATGACTTGATGGCCTACAGCCCTCACATTTCATGAACCCATATAGGATAAGAAAATGGCTCAGCGGACAGGTATCCCTTCCATACTCTGCAAACAAGAGGAAACAACTTAGTTGCAATTTCTTGACTTTATCTCTTAGGGAAAGGTCTGTTGCTACTTCTGACTTCTTCCTCTACTAGCACGAGTCACCTGGAATTCAGTTCCCAGCAATGGCAACTTCTGTTATATGTAAGAAACATTTTGGAACTCCAGCAATTACAGATGTTCAGAAGACAGAGGTCTATGGGCCTCATTCTGATCCATTCTGTCCACAACAAAGAGTAACATTAGCTATACCTATCATTTACTAGTCATTTTGTTTTATTCTTCCTGCTGTCATAGAAAAAGATTTACACACCTGTACATTTTCCTTTATCCTGGTTCATTCGTAAGAATCAAGCATTGCTTTTTAAAAAAAACCTTTGGGTTATTGTTGCATGTGAACTGGGCCACTGCTTTGGCTGGTTGTATGCATGACTTAAGCTCCTCTTTTCCAGATACCACAGAAAAAAATGGGTTTTGTAGCAGCAAAAAGTTTGATCTTTCCTTGAAGCCATCTTAGGGATGTTTTTCTCTACTTTTCAGGGCTTTTAAACCTTCTTTTAACACTTACTTGCTTGTTCATATAAGCCTGGAAATATCTTGGAGTATAGATATAAAAGAATTTTACCTAGCACAGTGCAGAGTAAACTGTAGAGTGATAATGTTAGCTATTTTGAAGGCCAAAAGCCCCAACAGCAGAGATATGATCAACGGAGGCCTTAAGTAAAAGTTTCATCTCACTGAACTCATCTGCATATTGTCCAGGACTACATTGTCCTTCCTTTCTAACTACAAATTGAGTCAGCCCTGGGCACTTTAAGTATAAAACTCTCTGGGTGAAGTTTGCCACTCTTTAACATGGTACAGTCTCTCAAGACGGTGGTATAGTATTTCTCATATATGAGACACTGATGCTATTTCCAATTGGCCTATCTTTTTACGTAAATACAAGGAGCAATCGCTATCAGCTTTAAATACTTTATAAGTTTGGCCACTAGCTGCAGTTTAGCATATTTCCATGGGGTTTGGAGAATGACATTTCCCTATGTCAGATTGCATGTCCTTTTTATATAAAGCAGCAAGTTTTCCTCCTCGTCATATGGCTAAGCAGTTTTACATATAAAGAAGAGCTATTATACATTATGAAGAGAAGGGATAATATACATCAATGTAATAGCAGAGCACCTCTCAGGTAGGTTTACTAACCAGTGGTCTGAACCACGACTGGGATGACAGTAACAAAAACAATTCTGTTACAACTAGGCTGGAGAAGGTTTCTCCTAGTCTTTCCAAAGGTCTTCTTCTCCCACATCTTCCAAACCAACAACGGTTCACTTGCCACATGCTTCTGACACTTCCCCCTCAACTTTCCTTCGGAGGCCAGTCTACTCTGCTGATTCGAACCGTCAGGAGTCTTTTCTCCATTCAAGAGAAAGGCAGGGGGAACCGGCTCCTCCTCCTTTGCTTATGAATGGATGGCATTCTCTTTGATGGTGTCACTGCCTACCAAATCCCGCAAGTATACCGCTGAGAAAGGAGGCTGCTCTTCTAACTTCTGTCCTTCTGGTTTGTTTTCTGCCATTACTGGTTCCTGTGTGTTGGTGTCTTGACCTGAGGGTGTCTGGAAATTAGGCTCAATGCCTAGTGATTCGCTGGACTGCAGAGGGAGCAAGGCCTTGTGCCGCATGAGGCTATCATCACTGTTTTGGGCTTCCAAAGAGTTCCTGTGCTTTGCGTTTCTGTTGGCTACTGCATTTTTCTGGTGCTCCTCAAAGCTCAGTGATAAGGTGACAGTCCCACCACCAAAACTCACTTTTTGCTTACACCCATGTTGCTGCTGTTGCTCCATGGGGGGTGGTAGTGAAAAGGGATCTTCATGGTTGCTTTTGCTACTAATGGATGAAGATGGGGTAGAGCCGGTGGAGCCTCCAAGACTATTGGACCTCTTGCGAGACACATTGCTACGCCGCAGTGTAGCCCTGGCCGCCACTTTGAAGGCATGTGCCGCGGTACTACAACGCACCTCCTCAATGGTGTTACGTGAGGGCTTGAAGAGGATAATGTAGACCTTGTTGAAGAAGATGCAAGCCAGGAGCCCAAAGCTGGCAGCCAGGATGGCGATGACCTCCACGGCTGAGACAAATTTGCCATAGGTGCTAGCATAGGCTGGAATGAAAGAGATCCAAACAATGAAGAAAATCAGCATGCTGAAGGTGATGAATTTGGCCTCATTGAAGTTCTCGGGCAGCTTACGGGATTTGAAGGCGAAAAAGAAGCAGATAGCAGCCAGGAGGCAAGTGTAGCCAATCAGGAAGCCCAGTGCCATCAAGGAGCCTTCATTGCAGGTGATGAAGATGATCTCATCCTCCAACTCGTGATTCCGAAAGCTGGAAGGCGGTGCTGTGTAGAGCCAGATGACGCAGATCACGATCTGCACAAATGTGCACAAGAAGACCAGGAGGAACTGGAGGTTAAGACCCCACCATTTGCGATGCAGGCTTGTTGGGATCTTGGCCTCGAAGACCAGCAGGACACGGTTAGTCTTCACCAGAATGCAGGAGATACAGAGGACAAAGCTGATACCAAAGGCTGGCTGACGCAAGCGACAATTCCAATCCTGAGGCTCACCGATGAAGAAAAGGGAGCTGGAGAAGCAGCAAAGCAAGGAAAAGAGGAGGAGGTAAGAGAGTTCACGGTTGGTGGCCTTGACAATGGGTGTGTTGCGAAATCTGGTAAAGACACCTAAGACAAATGATGTTAGGAAGATGCCCAGTACTGCAAAAAGGGTGAGTGCAATCCCAAATGGCTCTGTCCAAGACAAAAATTCGATTTGCTTGGGAATACAGAATGTGTGGTTCTCATTGGACCAGAAATTCTCAGCACACTTCTCACAGGCGCTTGCATCTAAAAAAGACAAGACGTGTCATTAAAAAATGTTCTAGGCCATCAGCATAGAGCATTCCAGCTGGACAAATCCGAAAGAGCACTTCTGTGGTCGCTCCCTCCTTCCCTCCCTCCCTCCCTCCCCAACAGCATGGGGCTAAATTCTGGAGCTTGCACTCCAGGGCCAGCGTGTGTCTGAACTGTGCTCTCTCATTCTTGCCACAAGAACAAATGGCTTGCAGGCACTTACAGCTTCCCTTCCTCCATCTGCCCTGGGCAGGCTTTGACAACTTCATCTATGCTTGGCTTTGATCCTCTTAGCTTTGTGAGGCTCCCCACAGCTTCATCTATGCTTGTCCTTTTATCCTCTTAGCCTTTCTTACCACTGTGGGAATAAGGACATTCCATGACTCCTGGATTCTGATCCCCTGCCACCTCCCTCTCAAAACTACTGGCATGACAGAAGGCCACGTATCGTTATCAGTGGGATTTGTCATGTTTGCTTTATTAGCAGAAATATCATTTATGCTGTACTTGGGGATGCCGGTAATAGCGCTAGCTAGTAAGAGGCCAGCAAAGACTTTTATTAATTGTTCCCCTCCCTTACATGGAAGCACAGCTGCAAGGCAGTTCTTGGACTTCTCAGTGAGGGAGCAGACCAGTGTCCCCACAAAAATCCTCTCCCTTGGCCATAAGAAGTTAGCGCACCAGGAAGAAGGGTTCTGTTTACAATTCTACCTGACATGCAAGCTTCTCTTTTCTGGGCGGCGTGGCGTGGGGGGATTGGACATTTCATCAGACAAGTGCACACCTGCACTCTGAGAATGCACGTCCTAGAGCTGGGGTCTCCAACGCGTGGCCCGCGGGCCACTTGCCGGGACGGGTGGGGCATGGGGGAGGGGTCCTGCGGCCTTCAAAGCGCCGGCGGTGCCCAGGCCGGCCTCCGGGAGCCACGCGGGATGAGCGGCCCACCACCACCGCTTGATGCGGCCCAGCCTCACCCAGACTCCACTTCCAGCGGCCCCCTGAGTTTGAGACCCCTGTCCTAGAGTTTACCACTCCAATGAAAACTAAGCCCAAAGGTGTAGACATTGCAAACGAAATGTCTCATGATGAACCACTTCTTCGACTATTACTATGGTTTCTACATTTCCGTAGTTCGCTCCTGTGAAACATGAAATGAACAGATTTCCATGAAGGAGGCGATTCAAGTTTTCTCAGAGACAGAATTCCTTTTTTAGTGGCAAAATCAAGAATAAACTTCTATAGATATTCAATGAATTTGGGTTAGTGTGAGTACACGGCCATTTCTCAGATGGTGTTTTCTGCAAAGAATGATCTCAGAACATGATTTCTGAGTCCATCTTGGGAGCGTGTCTAAGAAGAGGAGAGCACAGCTGTTTGCTTTGCACATTAGACCATACCTGTCTCATCACTGATCTCCCCATCGGTGCATTCTACGCATTCAAAGCAGCACGTGGGCTGCCCGTCAATGATGCCCTTCCTTGTGCCTGGCAGGCAGTCTCTGGTGCAGTTAGAGAATGGCACCTGAAGGGAAAAAGATAATGTAGTTAAGTGGTGGGGGGTGAGAACAATGAAGTACTTAACCCAAGAGAAAGGGGCTCAGGGCTAGCTCGTACCCAGTAGCCATCTTCCTCCACATGCCCTTCCGGTCCACCAACTATGACATGTAATGTGTGAGTCAAAGCACTCGAGGACATACCAGGTTTCTCTCCCACTAGATGCCAGTAGGCAGGTTCTCACATCATACTGACCCTGCTGGTAATCAGTCACGCCGGGTTGGCTGTTGTGTGAAGAACCCACGGTCCAGCCAATAGATGACAAGGCTTACCTTGGGTTGTCCTCTCCCTCCTTTCCCCGTGTCCCAGGGAAATCCGTGGCTACAGCTGCCTTGCTGCCTCTCCCTGCCATAATCAGAAGTCCTTTCCGGTTTGTCATGGCTTTACCATTGCTTTTTCCAGAGATCACATGCCTCAGTCTCTGAACTGACAGCAAATGCGAGTTCCTCCAGGATGCCCAAGGGGCACACTGGAGGGACAGGCACATGTGGCCCACCTCATTTTGCTTTATTTTTTTGCCTCCCAAATATGCAAATATCCCAAAATATTTCATGATTGCTTTAGCATGTGGTTTCATTGAACTTGTGCATCTACTGATGTACACAACTTCTTAGGTGCAAAAACAGGAAACCTCACCCAGGCAGCCTCCGAGTGGGTACCTATTGTCAAAGCGAAGCAGGTACCAACCCTGGATGTTGAACCAGAGAGGCTCCAAATGGTTTCCCCCACCCCTGCTTGCTTTCCCCTGACAGTTCTCAAAAGGTGAACCGAAGCAAAGCTGTACGTAAAACTGGGTAGATGAGATGTGTGTCCCCTTTCTTGTGCTCTATGAAAAGGACTCCCACCTGATCAGTGGCCTTAGAATCTCAGGCCTTAAAAGTTCAAACTGATCTTGCACCTGAGGCAATGCCAGGAAGTCGTTTCTGTGAATTTGGACTTAGAATAACAGCACATATGCATGCTATCTGTCAACATCTCTCAGTGGGAATTTATTATTTTTACAGCCAGTGGCAAGAAAATTCCATGCTGATGTAGCTTTCAAATGGAGTACCAGGCTGATATATTCAACTTGCTGCTGATATGTTGTGTTAGAAAGTGAACACATTTAAAAGCTATGAGTCTGCTAGCCCAGCAATCTCTGCTGTAGTTTTGCAGAGAACTGACAAATTAACAACAGATTTTGCACATGTCCTAAACAGCCACAAGATGGAGGCAGAAGACAAAGTTGCTGACTTTTGAACTGGTGGCCTAGTTGGAAGACAGCCCTTGGCCTTTGAAAATCCCGTAGAGCTGCTTCCCTCATGATGAAGAAGAATCTCTGCATGCGAGTTCTGGCACCCTGATCCTTTCATGGGCCTGTCTGAGTCGGAGGGGTGCCACAAACTGGCCTCGGCATCAAAAATGGCGGCATCTAACAGAGCACTTCACGGCATGGTCCTCTGTTCTGTGGCCCTGAACTCAGAAGCTTACCTGCATCCCACATGCAGTGGTGGTGATGACTCCCACTGCTGCAAGACCTGATGCACAGGATTTTACCCAGATGGCTGGTGCTGGCCATCTAGATACAGTGCCTGGAAGGGAGAAGGAAGGAGGCTGGGGGCTGACAGGGACTGATTTACGTCCAGTCTCAGCCACCTCCCTTTCCCCTCGCAAGGCCCAGTCGCACGCTTGGGAGGGCAGCCGCCATGGCTCTTCCCATGCTGGCTGTGAGACAGGATGCAAGGGCGAGGGGAAGCCTTCAGAGTTCTGGTCCTGAGAACGCAACTCCAAATAATCCTGTGACCTCCCAGAAGATCTGGGAGGCTACAGGGTGGCAGGTTCAGAAGGACCATTTTTTCTCTCCAAAATGCGTATGAAAATAATGAAATGTGTATTTAAGTTAGTAAGAAACAAGTAGAGCAACCATTCTGATTTTCATAAAGGAAAAGAGATGCTGGCAAACTCACCAAAGGCGACTGTCACTCTAATTCTGGTGACATCAGTTGTACTTCACCACAAGAATCACCCTTTGCCACCTTCCCCAGTGAGTTGGAGGGGAGAAGCTGTTACAAATGCAGATGCACATCTCCTGCCTGCCACTCCTCTTCTGTAAACAGGGCTGGTACCCAGAATCGGTGCAAATGGTCTCCTGCTGAGGGCCCAGACTCCACCAGGGGCCCACTAAGGAGGAGGCCCTGGGTTTGTTCCCTCACTTTCTCACTGCGATCTGCTCTTTTACCCATCTCTTGCTCTGCCCCCCAGAACTGTGTTGGTGGCAAGGAGGAACAGCAGATGCTGGTGTTTGCTTGGTCCTGGGCTCTTTGCCTCTCAGGCAAGCAGTGGCAGCAAGAGGAGGAGGAGGAGGAGGAGGAAGAGGAGGAGGAGGAGGAGGAAGAGGAGGAGCTGGTGACAGTGGCAGGGACTCCAAGGGCACTGAGGGAGGGGGCCTGCCAATGCAGCCTTGCCCCAGGGCCTGCCAAAACTGGAGTCAGCACTGATTATAAAATATTCTGACCTGGCAGCCTGTAGAGCCATGATGCAATTGCACTGCTTCTGTGGAGCAGGAAATAAGGGGGAAAGGCCCTTATCAGATATAGGGAAGAATTTCTGCCAAACCTTGTGGATTCTTGTGGAAAAGAACGGTATCTATTGATTTAAGTTCCAGGTGACTGGTGCTTCTTACCTCCTTGGAGAAGCCGCCCCACAGAATCTTGTTCTCATTGATAAACAGTCTCTCTCCTTTCTTGGCATAAACATTATAGTGTCCGACCTCTTCGAATACGATGGAGCCATCCTCTGGGGACAGGTGCCAATTGATAATTGAGTAGTTCCCTATGAGGCCTCCAGATTCATCAAAATCCACTTGCTCCCCCATATTATTAACGAAGTTCAGATGCCGCAGATGCTTCAGCACCTAGAAAAAAAGATACAGGCATGCTGAAATCACTGTGATTAGCAAACCACCTGAATCAGACAAGCCCTTTGTGCCAAAAGCAAAAGCCACAAAATATCAAATAGAATTAGTGACTACTGGAATATTTTTACTGGTGAGAATGATGTCCTTTTTGCAGTGTTATCCTTGCTTTTTCAGATGACTGCATGCTGATATCTTCATTGTGCATAGCATGTGGGAGAATAAACAATGGGTGGGGTGGGGTGGGGTGGGGTGGGGGTCAAAACACAAGCTTCCTCACCTCGAACTCCCATGGATCGCACGTAGCTCAATTCTTTCCTAATGCCCCTCACCACAAGGCAGGCACATGAAAACACGTCCAGCCACCCCATGCACAAAACCCTACAGACAGACATATTCCTTCCCCTCCGGTTGCTCCCCATTATCCTCCCACAACCCAGCTGCAAACACTTCACCTGCAGCCCCCAACTCCTCCACAGCCACCCTCCCCAGTGCTTCTGCCTCCTCAAGTTTACCAGGCAGCTGCAGGGCCTTTGTTCATTCCTGCAGATTTAATAGGC